TTCAACATTTGGCAAATGATAGTATCACCAATAATCTTTGCTAAAATCTTTTAATGAGTCTCTGTTTAATCATTGAATCCAAGCCAGCAGATTATCTACTGCTAATATTTTGATTTTGTTTTCTTAATTAAATTTAGTAGGCCTATATTTTTGCATTAATTACTATGTAAAAAATCAGATATTGCCTAAAAAATGCAAATGATGATCAGGAGTCTTAATTTAATTGTCTTATTAAATTCTGCAATTCTCAGATTTTTTATATCTGTGTAATAAGTAGGACTTTTGTTTCCAAAATATCATGCACAGATAAAGCAGGGAATACTAATAGCATACACATCATTAACTTAAACATAGAGCGAGAATAATAAATCCAAAACATCTTATATAATTGAGCACTATCAACCTAATGAACTGGTAAATTTTATTACAATTTCATTTTAATTATGCACTAAGAAAACAGATGGCAGTTACACTAATGCAGTCTAATTAAAATTACACCATACTATCATTTCTGTTTCATTTTTATGTGGTTTAAATTTATGCTACAGAGAGAGAGAGAGAGTTTAACTCCCATTCAACACAAAATAGTTTATTTTGGGCCTAACACATAGTATAATTTTATTTCAATAATTAGCTTGCAGGTAAGGGTCTTTGGCAGTGAAGAAGAAAATGGTTTGGCAGGAGATCCTACTCATTGGTACATACAAGCTACTTAAGCTTGGGGTTAAAACCATGCCACTTGAATCATGACAGACCATAATGATCTAAAGCGCATGTTTTAGACCACTCGCGCCCCCACCCACCCCTAGATGTAATTTTAATTAGATTGAAACTGATGTCAGATCAAGTTATATAAATCATCTGTAAAATCAACATGTGGTCTTTAACCCGGGGGCCATGCTAATTGTCGTTTACCCATAACATGAACATGAATATGATATACAGACTGACCACCATCGGGTCCGTCATTTATAATTACACGGTAGCCATTTTCCAGTCCTTGTTGTTTAGCAACTTTCTTGGCCACTATTAAAAGGTGTCCTAAGAGCTGAAAGTAGAAGAAAGTTTTTAAAAATAAGAATTTATACTGACTGATATTACACAAATCTGAATTATAGATTATAGTATTCAACTAGTTTCAACCATGCATAATTGCACCTTTAATAAATTAAACGATATTCATATGGATAGTCACTGTAATCATAGTATGACCCACATTCAGTGGCATCACAATCATATCCATTTGTCCTTGATTTACTGGATGAAGATTAGGCAAGGCCTTCATTTGACCTTGAAGTATTTTTAGTTTTTTCGCTACATTGTTTCTTAGAGGGAACTCCATTCCCAGATTCTTTTCTTGGATTTTGGTTTTTCCTTTTACTACCAGTCGTGGTTTCCTGTAAATTTTCCTTAAAATTCTGCTTAGTAGCAGGAGCATGTTTCGTCATTTTTTCAGCCATGTGCCTTGCTGTGTAACCAAAAAGCAAACTGCTTTTAACTAAAAGAGCATGCACTGACAAGATGCAATCTCATTAACCAGCACGCAGCAGTTTTCATCAACCCTTCCTCGAAGTGTCAAATTTGATAATGAATCCCTCCCATGTGTATGGCGCTATTGTGTGTCGTACATCAGTGGTTCTGTTGGGGCGATAAGTTCTTCATCTGTGAACATACTCTCAAAGCATGTCAAGTGTCCATGACTATTTATCATATCACAACCTGCATAGGTATTTGCATTTCAATATCCCCTACTTTTTTTGAAGAGTATATATAATGTTATGTCATCAGTGTATCAACCTTCAGTTATTTATTCTCGCTAACCCCAGAAATTAACTGGTATAACAATTCAAATTGACAATGTTTGATGACATATTGATAGTATATAAATATTTTTAAATTATATATTTGCACAGTCAGTGAAATATACATGTTTAAGGACATTAAAGTGTACCTCTTCATCACTATCTTCAGCATCGGCCAATCTAACGATAGGTTTCTTTGGTACAACTAGAAAATGTACCGGTGCTTGTGCTCCAATATCATTAAATACCACACACTGAAACATATAATAACTTATGTTTACAAAAAAACCAAAAACAAATGATAAAGATCCTTAATAATATACAATACAGTGGCACTTTCTGGTTTTGTTTGTGTCTATAAGTAATATGATTATGTCATCGTCTACAATACACAACTACCACAGCATTGTAAAATCTCTTTATTCAGATCCTACGCTATTGCCATACAGCATATGATATTATTTCAATAATTGGTCGTTAAGATAAGCAACCAAAAACTGTACCTTGCAACTTGTACCAGTTTGCTCACCACACTTTATTAATGTTTCGCATTTTCAGTACTTCTATCCGGATTATCACCCTTATTAGTGTTAATTTGTTCACATTGTAAGTCAACTGGCAGACTATCGCCATCAGGAAACGACCACTGCCAAGACCGTCACATTATTGCATCTTTCTTTTAAACCAATGGTTGTGTTTTTCATTTTGTATCATTACGTGCCAAGGAAAAATTTTAAAATATAGGAACAATATCAACTGGGGGAAAAAAATGTATCAGGACTTTTAAAGGATGTGGTTTGTCTGGTAGCAGTGTTAGGATATGTTTGTGTATGGGGATTATTGAAATTGTTATTGATTATTTTTTGTCCCCCGCCTTTCGAAGAAAGCAGGGGACTATTAAAATGGGTTTGTCCGTCTGTCCATCCGTCTGTCTGTCTGTCCGATCTGATTAAAATACCGATCCATATTTCGTTTCGTTTTTTTATACTTTCGATGGCCCAACTACATGAAGATCTGACGATAGGTAACATCAGGGGTCAAAAGACCGACTTATGACCCTATGATGTCAGACATTTGATTTACCAATCAGCATTGATGTTACTAGTAGATTACCCACAGTTCTGTGCAAAACACGCCTAAAGCTCGCCGTAACAGACCGTTTCATTGGCTTATCCCTGACACCATTCAGAACACGAGTTAAATAACAACTCTTCCAGATCCAAGTGTAGTAAAGACAAGTAAAACGAAATTTTGAACTATAAAAACGAAACGAAATAGGATCTGTGTTTTAACCAGATTGTCTGTCCGTCACACTTTTTTGGACACAATAACTCTCTTTCTAATTGAGCTAGAATGTTCAAATTTGGTGTAGGTGTTTATTAGGTCAATAACTTGGAGTTCGAAGATGAGCATATTCTGCTGAGGGTAAGCAGAGATAAGCAATTTGATTGGTTGATGCTTTGGACATGATAACTTTAGTTCTAATTAAGTGAGAGTGATGAAACTTGGTGTATAGTTTCATTACATCCATACCTTGAATAAGTTCGATAATGAGCATTTTCTGCCCAGGGTAAGCAGAGCGATAAGCAATTTGATTGGCTGAGACTTTGGAACGCAATAACTCTCCTTCTAATTGAGCTAGAATGTTCAGACTTGGTGTAGGTGTTTATTAGGTCAATGCCTTGATAGAGTGATATAGTTCGAAGATGAGCATTTTCTGCTAAGGGTTAGCAGAGATAAGCAATTTGATTGGTGGATGCTTTGGGACACGATAACTTTAGTTCTAATTAAGTGAGAGTGAGGATACTTGGTGTGGTGTATAGCTTTATTACATCAATGCTTTGACTAAGTTTGATAATGAACATTTTCTGCGAAGGTTAAGCAGAGCGATAAGCAATTTGATTGGTTGAGACTTTGGAACACAATAATTCTCCTTCTAATTGAGGTAGAATGTTCAAACTTGGGGTAGGCGTTCATTAGGTGAATGCCTTGATGGAGTTCAATGGTTAATATTTCGAGCTAAGCTAAGCAGAGCTAATTAATTTCATTGGTCGATGCTTTGGGGCAAGATAATCTTGATTCTATCTGATAGAGAGTGATGAAACTTAGTGTATAGTTTGATTGCTTGATGTTTTTGAAAAAATAAATGTGCAATTAATTAATATGTGTCATTTATTTATTTTGGGATTTTGGCGGGGGACATCGGATCAGCCTCACTGTTGGCTTGTTAAATTTGTTATATTCATGAAATTGTTATTGGTTATTCATTGAATTTGTTATATTTATCAAATTGTTGTTTATTGAATAAAATGATCGATTTACTTTGTTGTATATTAATGAACGGGCCCGCTCTACTGTGGAGATTTTCCAAAAACCAGGGGGAAATGATGATAAAGCAGAACTAATTCAGAATACTTTCTGTGTCCCGAAAGTAAACTATGTCGTGTGGATCGACTTTACCATCGTATTTCTACAACCCGACTCTGCTTCTGGACGGCTTGACTGGCATTCTATGATAATATAATGAAATAACTAAATAGGCCTATGGCTATGGTTTTATGAAATTTAATATTTTCAAGTCAGGAAGTAATTTCTCTCATAGGTGGACTGAACATACTTAATGATGATCCTACCAAAACCCAACAAGTTACAAGACCCTGTGATTTTTTACACTCTGCCGTCTCTGCCATACAAAAATACTCGCGTCACTCCTCATACTATAGTAGGCCTACTCATACACAGTAGCCAGTAGGCCCTTATGATTTATGTTGTTATTCACTTACAGATTCATCTTGATAAAGAAAGTTGGTACTAATCTCCCCTCTAATAATTTTCCCAAAAATTGTATCACCTCCTGGCTGTGCTGCCTGTGCCTTATCAGTTTCCGACGACATTTCTCCCTTTCTCATGCAACTCTTCTATTTCCAGGGAACGCTTTTCACACGTTACAGCTTTCCCAGAGAAACCGAGCGAGAGTCAAAATAACCGAGTCACAAGAAAAGTCACGTGACACTAAGCTATTTCACACACACACACACACTAACAAACCATTATATTATCTATGGTCTAAGAAAGCTTGAGATTTACATGTAATTATAAACCATACATTTAGAAATTCACGTTATTAAATATTAGGCTACCTAGGATAGAAATCCGACATATTTTACGAAACTAAACAAAAACATAAAAATGCTGACTTTGAATAACTTTCGGGCCAAAGGTTAAGGTAATATTGAGAGATTTGGGTTAAATCAGACTATTCCGTCTTTGGTGTCCTAATTTTGCATTTTAATCAGCAACCTTGACCAGCCTAAATGTCAATTGGTGAACAGAATATGAAATCCTTGGAGGCCAAGGTGGTGGTGTTAGGATCACAAGGTACAGACTATTTATTTTAACCTACCCCAGTAAATAATAATGGGGATTCCTTAGCTTTGTAAAATTGTTTTTCCCCATCCCATCCATATATTTTCAGTCTTTGTTGTAGAATTTTGTTTGTTTGTTTACTTCTAGACTTTAGGTAAAATTAGGGTTATTTCTAAATTCGACTATGTTTTATCAGTTTGGGTGTTATATTCAGTTATAAATAAAGGCAAATTTGGCATGTTAAAATTAAGAAAATGAAATTGATTATATTATACTAAGATATTGCCATTGAACTGATCTGACAATGCCTTGTGGCGTGGTTGTAAGTTTAAAGTTAGGCCTACTAGTAATATATAATGCCAGTTACATCATTATTATATAGTATATATAGATGTATGATAAATCTATATTTTTGTATGACTCACTGTAGGCTATCGTAAATGGTATGTTCCATGGTAAAATGAACCATCCAATACGTACATGTAGGGCCTACATGAATTAATTAAAAGATGAAATGCATGGTAATTATTGAAAAACTGCGAGTATGAAGAGATAAACAATTTTCAGATTGTGATAGAACCTTCATGATTAATATCAGTTAGGCCTAATATATAGACAAAGCAGATCTTTTTTGGCTTTAACATTTTCAAATGTTACATTTATAAATATGACAAACCCATAATTAAACTATTATTTAGACATTTATTAACATGAGTATGACAAATAATCAGCTCTCTAGATCTTTGGATGGCAGAAATTTAAATGGGACTTAGATTTTAAATATCCATGAGATTTGGAAATTTAATAACGATAAAATGGACACTCAAGGGTAAGTCTCAGTTGTCAAGTACCGTTGGCATTGCTACGATAATGAAATATCTACACTATTTCTTCAAACAATCTTAACATCGCTTAAAATAAATAAATTTGAATGAAATTTTTATCATTTTTCATTATCTATTTTTGAACTATTATAGCAAGAACATCAAGCTCTTTATCTAAATCATACACATTGCATCTTTAAAGTTCAACAGAATTTTCAGATACGTCCACATCCAGTTTTTACTCGTTGCAAGAAAACCTCTGCTTTATACGTTACCAGTAACTTATAATTTAAACAAGTGTATGTGACACATGATGAATAATAATTAATTATGATTCATCTGATATCCATATGATTAAAGACGTACTACTGTACCATCAAATTAGAAGTAGATTCATTTTTAAAAATTTCAATTAATCAATATATAGGTACATGTATTAAAAAGAGGGGATCACGGTGGCTAAGTAGGTAAGACGCTAGCTCGCTAGCCTGGAGGTTGGGTGTTCGATTCATGCATTGGCCGAGAAAGTTCATCCAGATTTTCCGGCGTGGTTCTCCCTTGTCAGTGATGCATGATGGAGGACCTGACAAGGACAACTGTCTAGTCATTTGGATGGGACAAAAAATCGAGGTCCTGTGTACACATTGGGGTGCCCGTAAAAGATCCCTTGACAATTGAAATTTTTTATAAGAGTAGGCCGTAGTGCCACTGTCCGGGCAAAATTTCCCTCATAGCACACTCTATGGCGTATGCCCATCTTCATTGGCCCAGTTTGGAGCAGAACAGTAGGACGTTAAACCCCATTACCTTTCATTCCATTTGTATTAAAAAGATTTGATAAGCATGAAGAAAAGTTTAAAATTACTAAAGTACAATGAATAAATAATCCTTTAATTTTAGATCAAGTGCTACATGTATCTCTACAGTATTATGTAAATGTATGGGTTAATATTAGTTAAACATTGCATAATTGTTTTATAAGAATATAACACGAGCTAGTAATTATTTATGATAGCTAATCTAATATATATGTGTAATATGATATGATGATACGGGACATTTAGATAATATACCTACACATAGATATATATGTAGGCCTATGTAATATGTGTCATGTTATTAAAATATCTGTTAGTCGATGACATTTTATGATCCCCCATTTTTATATGCCCACATTGCAATGTAATTAAACACAATATAACTAAAAAAAATCCATATTTTTCTTCCATGTTTCATTAATAAATGTACTGATGTCTGCACAGACGAAGATACAAAATGGCTGGAAGCTTATGTTATCGATACTCAAATGACAAGAGTTATCCATGATCTGCCTGAAATTGATATGAATAGTTCATAAGATGAAGAATCCATTGATTTTCAAAAATTTGTGTTAATTACTTTTTCTGAATTTCTAAAATTTATATATTGCATTGTTCAGACTTGTAAGTCCTAATTCAGACTACAGAAATTAAGAGTCTTATTGAATTTCAACAATTTATGTGACTTTTTCTTCAAAAGTTACTGTCTTTGCTCACTTTGTAAACAACTGTGAATACTCTAATGAAAGTCATAATATGATCTACTTTAAATCTATGTTGGTTCGATTACATGTGTTACAATGAATAACAATTACCTAGGTATGTTGTTGCTTGGAGTTGGATGATGCATATTTTAATTTAGATAAATATTTGTTCAAATGAGTTGGGAAAAGGCAGATTGTTTAGGTATTTAACACTTAAAGATTATTTTGTAGTGCATTGCACCATGAAGGGATATGGCAGCGATAGCTTAGAAAGGTACATTTGCTCCTATTCATTCAAAGGATTTAAACAAATGATGGATAGATTATTAATATATTGATAGAACTTAAACAGGCATAATCTTTTACTGGGTACATCCAAGCAACCCTCTTTATCTATTATAATACTGCTTGTCTCTTTTAATACTTGAAATGAAAAATGTTTTATTGTATGTATGGTTTTTTTTTATTGATTTTCTAATCTAATTAATTGAAATTCTGTATATTTCAGGTGTAGGTAAGACTAGTGTAGTAATACGATATGTTGGTGGAATGTTTAGTAAAGCTGTCAGTCCCACTATAGGAGCCTCTTTTTTTACCTATAAATTGTAAGTATAAACAAGCCAACAGTGAGGCTGATGTCCCCCGCCGAAATAGGAAAATAATTAGAGGATACATATAAATTTATCACAAATTATCTTTTACAAAGTATTGAACAATCAAACAGTATATCTTTACTTATAGTCTAACAATCAAAGTAGGAGAGTTATTGTTTTCCAAAGTCTCGACCAATCAAATTGCGTATCGCTCTGCTTACCCTGAGCAGAAAATGCTCATTATCAAACTTAGTCAAGGTGTTACTGTAATGAAACTATACACCAAGTTTCATCAATCTCACTTAATTAGAACTAAAGTTATCGTGTCCCAAAGCATCAACCAATCAAATTGCTTATCTCTGCTTACCCTAAGCGGAAAATGCTCATCTTCGAACTCCATCAAGGCATTGACCTAATCAACACATACACCAAGTTTGAACATTCTAGCTCAATTAGGAAGAGAGTTATCGTGCCCCAAAGTATCAACCAATCAAATTGCTTATCTCTGCTTACCCTAAGCGGAAAATGCTCATCTTCGAACTCCATCAAGGCATTGACCTAATAAACACATACACCAAGTTTGAACATTCTAGCTCAATTAAAAGTTATCGTGTCCCAAAGCATCAACCAATCAAATTGCTTATCTCTGCTTACCCTAAGCGGAAAATGCTCATCTTCGAACTCCATCAAGGCATTGACCTAATCAACACATACACCAAGTTTGAACATTCTAGCCCAATTAGGAAGAGAGTTATCGTGTCCCAAAGCATCAACCAATCAAATTGCTTATATCTGCTTACCCTAAGCGGAAAATGCTCATCTTCGAACTCCATCAAGGCATTGACCTAATAAACACATACACCAAGTTTGAACATTCTAGCTCAATTAGGAAGAGAGTTATTGTGTCCCAAAAAGTGTGACGGACAGACAGACGGACGGACAGACAGACAGACGGACGAACCCATTTTAATAGTCCCCTGCTTTCTTCGAAAGGCGGGGGACAATAAATAGAGAAATGAGTGATTTTGTTATTTTGACATTCTGGGATTGTGTTGGACATGATGACACTTTTAATTTGTAACCTTTGGCATTTTAGTTTATGGGTGATCAGATTTTTGAGTTATCCTGATAATGGGATTTAGGTTAGGTGTTGGGACAATTGCGATTCTGTTTTTCGAAAGAAATATATCATTTTGATCTTTATTTAGGCTCAGACAAAGCAATATTCAGAAAATATTGATGCAGTAAATAACACACACATAAAAACAATGTCTATCATAATAATCATATGGAATTTATATTCAAGAAGAGTTTGTAATAGTCAGACAAATTTAGCTGGTCCTTTAATAATTTTGGAGCACCGTTAGACATACATGTAGCCAAAGATTCATTATGAACCATTTGATATATCAGTGAGTAAAATTGTTTTAGAATTTGTTCAATTGTTGATTAGAATTAAATGAGCAAAAAAAGATATTTTCTTCCCCCAATGATTTGGTTTTCGGTGGACATATTACAGGGGCTAACAAATCCTCATCTCTATGTTTTTAAAATATTGTAATAAATATTTTTGTAGTGTTGTTACTCCTCTATTAACAGTCTATAAAATTACTATACTAATGAATGATATGTAATGCACCATTTTAAGCCTCTGACAGACATTTCTAGTGGTGGGGTACCCCTGACAGAGCTATGTAATTGCCAGACATTTGTAGTGATGGAGTATCCCTGCCAAGAGTTATCTAATATTTAGACCAAAGCTAGGCTAGATTAGCTCAAATCTGTACCACCTAAAACAGCTTTGCAGTTGTTCAGTACCACCACAGGAGTCATGAATGACCACTGCCAGACAGTTTGTGCGGTGGGTTACCCCTAACAGACACGCCCCAAAATGCCACGCCCCCAACTAGGCTAGCTTCGCAAGCACTGTTCCTGTGTTCTAAAAAATTAGATTTTTAGCCAGGATGCCTAGGATACTAATACCTAGCACGTATGGGGGTCGTGTTATTTTGGGCGTGTCTGTTAGGATAAACCCACTGCACAAACTGTCTGGCAGTGGTCATTCATGAACAACTCCAAAGCTGTACTGTTGTACTGAACAACTCCAAAGCTGTTTTAGGTGGTACAGATTTGAGCTAATCTAGTCTAGCTTTGGTTTGGAAATTAGATAACTCTTGTCAGGGATACTCCATCACTACAAATGTCTGGCAATTACATAGCTCTGTCAGGGGTACCCCACCACTAGAAATGACTGTCAGTGTTTTTGTAATACCTGAAGATGTACGGTACATTGCTGTGCGATTTTCATGTGGTACACTTTTGAGCTAATCTAGACTAGTTGGGGGGCATGGCATTTTGGGCCAGGAATACCACACCCACCACCAGAAACCCGGCAGACTTACATTCTGATGATACCAGATATACATATACTATTCAAAAAAAGTAGGGGATATTTGATTTTGGGGGCATAATACTAAAATATGCAAATGACTACGAAAAAAGTCACTATAGAACCTAACAGAAGAAACATTTCCAGTTACATGTGACGTCCAAACGCACCAATAGCTACCGCATGGAATGCAGGTGATGCTTGGGATCATCATGGGGGTCCAACCCAAGATTTGCACGACTCTGACTTTGAATGTTACAGTCATTGTGGCATTGAATTCCAGGGTGGAAACATCAGTTTAATTGTTTTAGTGACCAGAAAACAAATTTTGATATGCGTCGGCTTACCCAAAATGAAAGGTTACATGCCCTTGGCATGCTACAGATCGGCACAACACAGGCGGTTGTGGCGCGGACGATGAATGTTTCTCAGTCTGTCATAAGCAGGCTATGGTCCAGATACCGTGATACACAATCTGTACAGGACAGACCACGCTCAGGTCGACCAAGGGCGACAACTCAAGCCCAGGATCGATTTATCCATACCTTGGCCTTGAGAAATCGTGTCATCACAGCAAATCAGATCAGCGCTCGTCTTCAAACAGACACTGGTGTGAGAGTGAGTGGCCAGACGATTCGGAATCGACTGCATAGGGGTCACCTTCGCGCCCGACGTCCTCGCGTGATCCCTTGTTTGAGAGATCATCACATTCAGGCAAGACGTCGTTGGTGTAGGGATTGTCAACACTGGGATAATCGACGCTGGAGCAATGTGATGTTTTCAGATGAGTCAAGGTTCACTGTTGATTTTTTGGACAGACGTAGGAGGGTGTGGCGTCGTCGAAACGAGCGCTTCCAAGACGTTAACGTCATCAGACATGATCGATTTGGGGGTGGTTCTGTTATGGTGTGGGGAGGCATCACTGTTGCTGGAAGAACGGCTTTACATGTTGTTGCACGGCGTGTTACAGGCCAGTACTACCGGGACAACATCTTGGCAGTCCATGTTGTGCCGTTCGCACGACGTCATGGCCGCCGTTTCATCTTCCAGGATGACAACGCAAGATGTCACAGGGCCAGGATCGTTACAGGTTACCTCCAACAACAGAACATCACCACATTACCTTGGCCAGCACTGAGTCCCGACCTCTCCCCCATCGAGCATGTCTGGGACATGCTTGGACAGAGGTTACGTCAACGTCAACAACGTCCTGCCAATGTCCAAGAACTTGCTGCTGCGTTGCAACAGGAATGGGACAATCTGGACCAAAATGACCTTAGACGTCTCATTAGGAGTATGCCACGTCGGATCAATGCTTGTTTGGCAAACAGAGGAGGATTTACCCGTTACTGACTTGGTTGTGATGCTGTGGTAACTTTGCTGTTTGACCCCGGGTATCATTTTACCCTTATAATGGTCAGTCTGTGCCTTACTTAGTCTAACGATCATTTGGAATAAATCGATGAATGTGAACTTCATTTCATTTTGTCATTTGTTTCTTCGTCAGTTTCATTAGGTGACTTTAATAACACTTAAAAATCAAATATCCCCTACTTTTTTTTAATAGTATACATTGATACCATATAGGAGAAAATTGGTACACTTTTCAGCGAGGTTAACCCCCTGGGCTCCTGCTCACGAAAGTGAAATGTATTTAGTATTCAGACATATTTGTTCTTGTTAAAATCTAATATAGATGTTAATACATTGTATATTACAGAAATTTAGATAGTTATCGTGTCAAGTTACAAGTATGGGATACTGCTGGTCAAGAAAGATTCAGATCTATGGTAAGATATTTTTTGTAGGAAATAATTTACCGTAACATGTATATCATTTACATGCAATCAATTAATGAACAGTTGTAACCTCATTACATCATGTACTGTGGTGACCTAGTATTGCAAACTTTCAAATAGAGTTTCTACAGTCCTTGAATTATTAATACTTTTTGTCCCCCGCCTTTTGAAGAAAGCAGGGGACTATTAAAATGGGTTTGTCCGCCTGTCTGTCGGTCTGTCCGTCACACTTTTTGGGACACAATAACTCTCGTTCTAATAGAGGTAGAATGTTCAAACTTGGTGTAGGTGTTTATTAGGTCAATGCCTTGATGTTGTTCAAAGATGAGCATTTTCTGCTTAAAGTTTAAGCAGAGATAAGCAATTTGATTAGTTGATGCTTTGGGACACGAAAACTTAAGTTCTAATTAAGTGAGAGTGATGAAATTCGGCCTATAGTTTCATTACATCAGTACCTTGACTAAGTTCAATAATAAGCATTTTATGCTCAGGGTAAGCAGAGCTATAAGCAATTTGATTGGTTGAGACTTCGAAACACCATAACACTCCTTCGAATTGAGGTAGAATGTTCAAAATTGGTGTAGGCGTGGATTGGGTGAATGCCTTGATGCGAGTTCAAAGATGAGCATTTTCTGCATAGGGTAAGGAGAGATAAGGAATTTTATTGGTTGATGCTTTGGGACACAATAGCTTTGGTTATAATTAAGTGAGAGTGATGAAACTTGGTGTTGGTTTCATCACATCAATACCTTGACTAAGTTCGATAATGAGCATTTTCGGCTCAGGGTAAGCAAAGCGATAAGCAATTTGATTGGTCAAGACTTTGGAGCTCGACAACTTTTATTCTAATTGAGTGATAGTGGTGAAACTTTGTGTATAGTTTTATTGGATAAGAGCAATGAAACTCTGAGTATACATGTAGATTCATTATATCAATACATTGACTAAGTTCGATGATGATACTTTTCTGCTTAGGCTAAGTAGCAATAAGCAATTTGATTGGTCAAGACTTTGGAACATAACAATTCTGCTTTTAATTGAGATATAGATGTTCATTAGGCGAATGTCTTGACTGTGTTCAATGATTAATATTTTTCGTTAAAGCTAAGCAGAGTTAAGCAATTTCTTTGGTCGATGCTTTGGGACAAGATAACTTTGATTCTAACTGATGGAGAGTGATGAAACTTAGTGTATAGTTTCACACACTACCAGGTTTTATAATGAACATTTTATGCTTAGACTAAGCGTATATAATCAGTTTGATTACTCAATACTTTTGAAAAAGATAAATGTGCAATTAATTAATTATAATATGTGTCAACATTTTTTTTTTTCATTTCGCGGGAGACATCAGCCTCACTGTTGGCTTGTTTAAATTACATACCCACTTGAGTATATCTTTTGCACACTGGTGGGATTTACATATTAGGTCAGATTTATTCCTTTGGTTGATTTTGTATTACTTTAGGAAGATCGACCTCTATGAAAATAGCCACTCTTGAACGACTAAGAATTAAATTGACTGGTCAAAAGTAAACAAAGAGGAAGGGGGACCCTTTAGGACTACATGTATATCTTTTCATTAATGCCATCAGTTGCCAATGTTCTTAAAATGTGAATCCATATGAATTAATGGGCTTTTCTAGTGGCATCATTTTTGCCATTATCTGGATGTGCCATTTGCTTCAGTCCTCATAGACTATATAAAGAGGGCAACCACACATCCTTATTTAAGCCTGAAGAGTTTGAACTGAAAGAAACTTGTCGCTTCTTGAGAGAAATCTGGGAAGGCTTTTCGCCAACTTACAGTTATTTTTTCCTTGACTGGTCAAGTCATAATGTGAATTTCAGTCATTACTGAAAATTCTGTCAAAGAAATGATTTCTACTTACTTGTCCACTTGATAAAAAAAGGACAAAAACAGATCTAGTTTGTATATTAACAGGAGATCAGGCCAGCGTAATCACAAAGATACAACAGTCACACCAATACTCATGCCTTTTACATAGTAAATCCTACTTCTTTTTTAATTAAACATGACCACCCAAGGAATTCAGAGAGTACATCACCAGTTGATGGATTTATAAAACCATCTTTGACTTTATTTCATTAACAAATGTCTATTTCTTTATTTTTGGCATTAATTTAATCCATAGTTTAATAGATCTGCCATACAGTCTCCAGTTTCTTAAGGACAGCCCCTTCATGTGTATCATATATTCACATTTTTTACACAGTTAATACCAGTTTATTGATAGTTACAGTACAGTATTTTATGCACATATTATTCAGTCAAGCAGAAGGCAAAAAGAAAATGATTCTTTGATGTGAAAACTAAAAACAGGAAATGCATTATATTTAATACATAAAAATAATATGTTGAGGCACACCCAACTTTCTACATTGTTTTGATATATAGATTCATAAATGTTCAGATTTAGTATGGTGATCAAGATGGGAGAATGCATATTAATTCTATTTGATGCTTGCTGGGATTCTTTGACTAGTGATAAGTAAAAACCTTGTGAATAAGCCATTTGATGAATTTTTAGGAAAAATCCCATAGATTGTGGATTTAAGGGGGGGGGGGGGCGATAAGTAAAGGCCCCTGCGAGACAAAGTATGCAGCCCTAAGCAATAACAAAATCCAAAATAATCATAATATGACATGAACTGTATGTCAACTTGCATAAAAAAACTGTTTTCCAGTGAGATAACGACCGCCGAACAGCTATATAGGCAATACGATCCGTTTTGTTGACATTCATTGTGGGGTGGAATTGTGGATCGCGCCCTTGATTTGTAACCGCCCCCCCCCCCCACCATTCACACCATCTAGACCTGCTACTGACACCAGTCATTGAAACTGTGTAGTAAACACTCTACATGCAAAATGTTTTCTTTATAAATGCTGTTTTCCTGTTCATATTGTCAACAACTTCCGATAGTACTGTCTGAGTTATGACCCTTGATCATTTCGAAAAAAATATGGATGCTCAAGACGCTAAAGTTATCAATTGATTGACTTAAAATGTATAACCATATTTTATGTTCATAGTTCATGAGATTAAGAATCTAAGAAGCCTGTTGATTTTCGATAATTACTGTCAAAGTTACTACCCTTGATCCCTTTAAAAAATCTTCTGAACCCTCTAGATTTTTGTTTATTTGTAGAGTTATCTCCTTGAATCCTTGGAAACATTCTACAGGTTGAGGATAATTGCTTTCCAAACTTGTTTGGATTGTAATGCTATTAATAGTTATATGTACATGAACAAGGATGAATCCCATTGACATTCAGTGTCAAACATAAATTACTTACAAAGTTATTTCCCCATATTATAGAAATCATAGAAACGTACAAATTATCACCCTTCAAGAAGAAAATGTTGCTGATTGTCCGAGTTCTGAGTCGTATGTCAGTTATTGTCAAGTTTATGCCCTTGTCATTTTCAAAAAATGGTTAAATAAGCTTTCATTGACTGTCAAAGTCTGACAATTATAATATTTTTTACAGGCCCCAATGTATTACAGGAAAGCTAATGCAGCTATGTTGTTATATGATATCACTTGCACTGATAGTTTTTATGATGTTAAAGATTGGGTAAAAGGTAAGTGAAATTTTTTTTATATATCTTGAAAACATATTTTCAACATTGCAGCAATGACATTAATTAATTTGACACAATAGGTTTGATAAGTTAAAAATGATCTCATTGTAAAATATATGTAGTTATAAGCTTAAGTATAAAGTACTAAGTTATTATAATTTGATTATGTGTTTCAGAGTTAAAGAAAAATGTTGATACACCAATAGGTAAGATATTTAAAGAATTATTTTAAGAAATTTAACATGATACGGCCCAGTATTCCAGAATGTAAAGTAAATACATATTTTCAGACCACACACAGTAAAAAAAAATTTTTTTAACTTGGCCAGAAATGATTAAAATCAATCAATCAAATGTAAGTTATGGCCATTTAAAGTTCAAACTTCTTTTTGTTGATTTTACCCTGCCATCTTTATTTTCTTGTAATCATCTGTTGCCATCTGCTCTCTAACGCATTTCTTGTCCACAAACTTTGAAACCACAATGGCATCAAACCTAGATTTTTTGTTTTAGATTATTATCTAAAGAATAATGAGAAATGTCTATAGGCCTTTTGCATAATTGTGTCTTTAAGATTTTTGCACAGATACCTCAATTATTCATGTGATTGTGAATGCATTTTCAGTCTTCAGTCAGGTTTCATCTGTGATTATCATGTTTTTGACAGTACAGGCAAAAGAGAAGTGGATACATATTACTATCAATTTGTGGAAAGCAGATGCAGTGCTTAAAACTAATATAAGATAAAACTTAACACACCCTTTAATTTGAAAAATGCCTAGGCGAGCTTATCATATTTTAGGAGAGTACTATACAAGTTTCACCTTTTCTGTTGTCTACTATTACCACACTGCTTTGCTAGCTTATGAATTGGGTTGAAAAATTGTAGTACATACTGTTTAGACACTGACTGTTAAGAAAAACTGAAGAATAATGAAGTACTCTTTGGTCAGATTTTATCAGCTAGGGAAATTGATGAGATAAGGATATCTATTGTTTTGATCCCTCTGCTTTTTTCTTAGAAGATTTATGGTAAGCATTTATTAATGTTTTAATTTGATATTACAGTTATGTGTCTACTTGGTAATAAAAGTGATTTAGATAGTGGAAGAAAGGTGTCTATCGAAGATGCAGAAGAATATGCTAAATCTATAGGAGCTTTATTTTATGAAGTATCAGCTCTAAAAAATACAGGTAATTTTAATAGTGTCCTCTTATTCCAATCTGGGTTAATAATAAAAAGATAATCAGTTAATTGAGGTATTATTACTTGTATGGTAGAAAGCTTAAAAGCTTAACCAGCATGACTCATGTTTAATTATATAGCTACCTAAATATTGTTTTTTTCTGATCTGTAACAACCTTCCTTATTAAGAGCACGATATACATGTAGTCATTTATTTGATATCAGTAATAAAAAATAAACCCTCAGGTAATTAAAAAGTAAATTCTGTGGACAATGTTTTGTGTTTAATGCACAATTTCTTCAAAAGATAGTCAAAGATTGGCTGATGAGATGTTATCCATTGATCTTATGAATTTAATAGTGTTAAGAAATTAGGAAAACTCTCAGTGTTTTACTCTTAGTAAGACCAGTTAAAGAAATAATACAAGTAGAAACAATGCAGATATTGCTGAATATAAAATATAGAATAAACCATACTTAAATACAACATAGACCCCTACAACATAGACAAATACAACATAGACAAATACTAATACTACATAGACAAATACTAAAACTACATAGACAAATACAAAATACAACACAGACAAATATAAAGACAATGTAGACAAATAGTGTGTCATGTCAAAGTTAATAAAATGAAATGGGGTTTAACATCCTACTTTTCTGCACCAACTGGGCTAATGAAGACCGGCTTGTGTACAGTGCTGAGGGAAATTTTGCCCAAACAGTTGTGCTACAGACTTCTCTTATTTTAAATTCCAGACGTTGAGGGTTCTTTTATGTGCATGTCAATGTGTAGACGGTATCTCGTTTTTTCGTCCCATCCAAATAACAAGACATTGTCCTTGCCAGGTTCTCAATTCTGGACCACTGACGGTGATTAAATCTGTTAGTTATGTGAACTGAACAACTCACTACTCATTCCATGTATATCACCAGCTACTGTACAAAAACTGGACAGATGGAATATTTCAGTAAGTCCTTTTGTAAAAATTTACAAAGTTTTTGAAGAGTTGTAGACTAATGGCTTGAAGTGGAAGCCATGCTAGTTGGTACTGAAATCAAAATAAACAAATTCCAGTCAATATATCATATGGATTTCCTTGTGTTTTTCAGGAATTGAGGATGCCTTTTTACATGTGGCCAAGGAACTCATTAAATTATATGAAACTAACCCTGAGGCAGGTTTTCATGTGCCGGAACAAAACACATCTTCAGACATTTTTGGCTCAAATGAACCAATGAAACTTCAAGAGACTAATGAACCAGTACAAAAACAGAAAGAATGTGGTTGTTGATATTTTGATTCTGTGATATTGACAAGTAAAATAACCATGAGTTACATTGTAAACCACATTTTGTCATCAACATGCCTTCAATCATACAAGTGTGTATGTACAGTATAATATGGTCTCTGTAGAGGAAGGTGACAGTAATGTGCCAATGGATATATTATAGTCTTTCTTTCAACAAACCGTCTCTTATTTTTATATGCATTTCATAGTACATAAAGATTATAAAAAAAAATATTTTGTAAGTGTTCAATAAATATCATCCACATGTCCTATTTAAGTCTAAGTGGCCCATTACACTAAGCAACATATAATAAGTAAAATTGTACAAAATATTTTCTTTCTCTGAAATAGCTTGAGTAGAAATTGTTGAATTCATAGGCTTGGAGCGTGCTCTGAACTGAATGAGAAGAGGAAGGTTCATATCCAAAAGAAACAAAATTGTGAGGTATTCTCCTGATCCAAAACTTTATAGTAGCCTTTCACTAATTAGTGTCAATAAATGTTGGTATTCATAGGGGTATCATATTTGCTTTGTATAATTGCCATGAATGTACCTTGATTTCTAGGAATCATTATCCAAGGTACCATCTATGGAAGAATAGCCACTTGCATTTTTTAAGAGATTACTATTTTTATTTGAACTGTACATTTTTGATATGGCAGCTGTATGTGAGTAATAAACCATTTCTCATTAAATCCATCACAATTTTCTCTAAGATATCAAACTATAAATTTAAATTGGCATCATTTCAATTCTAAAGTTATAGTAAATGTATACATGTATTAGAAACTAAATTAATCAAATTAAATACAATATATTTTTTCCTGATTGAGGTTACTTTAATAAAAAAATGTTCTGGTAAATGATATTAAATTACAACATCATACTCTTTGTTATTTCTTCATTTGTTCTAACACTATTGTATATAGAAGATTAAAAGCTATCTTTACTTTGTTGTGGGTTATGGAGGTAATTTCATTACATATTAGACTTACGAGTCAAAAAATTCAAAACTATGGCTATGAGAGCAACAAAAAGATGTTGTTGAAGTAATTGTAATCTATAATTTATTGTGTCCTGCATATATCTTGTTCAAATATTAAATATCTTTGAAAAAGGTGGTGACCTTATGGATGTGTAAAACCCATTTTTCTCTCTTATAGATTATTGCTTTTAATGTCTTTAAGTTTGTACAAATTAGTGATACATGTACAGTTTGAAATCTACTTAATTTCATTGTATAAATGAATATGTTTATCATTGATGTACATATCTAATTTATCAAATTGACCCATATAGCTTATCTATGATTAATTTATTACTATTAAGCATGATACATACATGTAAGAAAATATAGAATATAGTCATGGTTTTTGACCTGAGGCAAATAGGGTATGTTCCATTGTCCTTGTTTTTATATAATTCTGAAAGTTATTTTATCACATACAGTGTGCTGGGGCTGATGGTCATACATATATGACAGGGTTATTTTATTCTTTTTACAAAAGGCACCTTTAAATTAAAGTTGTTTCTTTTTTTCTAACATAAAAAGCAGATATTACTATTTTGCTCATTATGAAATATTTATATATATATGCACAGACTTTGTTATTATTTTATGATTAATAAACTGACGAAATGACAGTTTTTGTGTGCATGGAGAACCTCAATATAATGTTTACTTGTAGAAATGGAAAGTTTTTTTACCTATATTATTATTAATACTATTTATACTATTATTTTATGTTTACAATTAATTAAACATCAGGAAATAAATTAAAGATTTCACTCTTCAAACAGGTTATTGAAATTCTTTGGAAATTGAGATGTTACAGAAAAGTTGTGTATCTGCTTAATTTTAATAAATTTGTTAAAAGTTGCATTATGTAAGAGATAAATGCAGGTCTTTTTTCTGGCTTCATTTATTAACATTTACATTTATTAACATGACAAACCCAAAATTAGATCTTTGGGCCATCAGATGGTTTCGATTTTAAGTAGATTAGAACACAGTGGCTATTTAAGAGTTTAACGATAAAATAGATAATCAAGACTTAATCTTGATTGTCAAGTACTGTTGCTATGAATATCGAAAAACTATGCCACATTTTGTGAAAACTTCAAACACTCATTACTTCACTCACAATAAAGTAATTTGACTGGAATTTTCAATATATTCATTTTTCATTATCTATTTTTGAACTATTATGGCAAGAATGGCCAGCTCTTTATCTAAATCTTACATAATGCATCTTTAATTACTTTAATTTTAATAAATTATATTTTCGTTTTATATATAATTTTGTTTATTATTACCAGTACATGTAAATAAATGTAAATAAAAATAATATTAAAGAACTAAGGTTACCCAAGTTTACCCAATCTTTCAGATTATATATACTGAGCGTCATGGAAAACGCATCACTTTTTTTTCCCAAATATTTTATTACTAGGTGGTTTTGTATGTATAATATTATGCAATACTATGAACTATTGTTTCACACAATGCTCCCAAACGCAAAAAAAATCGGCCCATGTGCACAAAAAAAAATTGCATGAGATGCACATGAAAAACCCAATATTCACGTGCAGCATTGTGTGTGAGCCCTTTAAAAGCATGTTTTCAACTTAATGTGCAGTACATGAACTGTGAAAGGTCAATCTGTCGTAATTTGTTGTTGGACGTGTGAAGGAATCGAGCTAGAGATGCCGAGACTTACTGAAAATCAACGGAATGAAGCCATGGGAATGTCCAGGGCTGGCATGTCTACACGTACTATTGCCAGACACTTTAATTGTCATCAGTCCACTATTGTAAGGTTGGTGGAACGTGTTCGAGTTACTGGATCAACACGTGACCGTCAAAGTCCTGGTCCACAACGCGTTACAACCCAGGCTCAAGACCGCTACATCCGGGTCACTCATCTGCGTGACAGATTCCGCCCAGCGACTCGAACAGGTGCAGCAGTCGTCGGAAGACAAGGACCAGTAAGTGCCAACACCGTAAGACGTCGTCTAAGAGAAGTAGGACTCCGTGCACGACGACCTTATGTTGGAGCTATCCTCAGGGATCATCACCGTCGGCGGCGTTTGATATGGACTCAAGGACACCAGACATGGAGAAGAGTAGACTGGCAAAGTGTGCTCTTCAGTGATGAGAGTCACTTTCATCTTTATCACGCTGATGGCCGTCAACGTGTGTGGAGACGTCTTGGGGAACGTCTTGCAGACTGCTGCGTCTTCGAAACGAATCGATGGGGTGGGGGAAGTGTAATGGTGTGGGGAGGCTTCACATTTCATCACCGGACCGCCCTACACATTTGCAGGGGTCGCGTTAATGCTATAGCCTACCGTGATGATGTCTTGCAACCAATTGTTGTTCCGATGTTTCGAGCGCACCCACAACTTCAGCACTTCCAACAGGATAATGCACGTACGCATACTGCCCGTTTTAGTAACAACAACATCAATGTCTTGGACTGACTAGCCATGTCTCCGGACATGGCACCGATAGAACATGTCTGGGATGAGATTGGACGCCGTCTGTATCGGAGACCACAGATGCACACCATTGCTGCTTTAGAAGCTGCTCTTGTCCAAGAATGGAACAATTTACCCCAGGCCTTCTTTCAAACATTGGTAAATTCCATGCGACGTCGCTGCACAACGTGCGTAAGAGCATGTAGAGGACACACGCGCTACTGACAATAAAATTGTGTCATACTTTTGGTTTTGACCCCTCTGACTTTGTACCGTTGATTACAGATTTAATATCCATAAGTGTACAAATGTTTTGTTATTGATGTGTTCCCATTTGAATATTGTTCACAATAAGAAGCAAAATAAATAAGATATGTTTACAGGATCATTTTGTTATATGAAAAACTAAGTGATGCGTTTTCCATGGCGCTCAGTATATAATCAAATTTTCTTAAATAATAATTTAGTCAATAGTGTATGACTTATTCAATCGTGGATCCAGGATTAATTGTGGTGGGGCAATTCAGAAAGGGTATTGTTGTGTTGGGATCACTACCTTCTAGATGCCTTCTATATATCAGCACGTGGATGGACGGTCATATTCATATCTCAAACCCCCCTATATATTAACACAAGACATGTTCGTACTTCGAGCAAGCACACTCCGGAGTATGTGTGTCTGTTTTATTCTATATATTACAGTGAAGAGTCGACAGGGGCAGATAACTCCCGCCTCACATGACTTATATTACAATATTGATCATCCAGTAGAGAGAGGATCAAAACGACATCCCCCTTTCTTCCAAAAAGAATAAACTGGAGTATTACAACATATTGACAAATTAAATAGTATCTATATGACATCCCCCTTTCTTCCAAAAAAAAAAAGAAGAAACTGGAGTATTTACAACATATTGACAAATTAAATAGTATCTATATGACATCCCCCTTTCTTCCAAAAAGAAGAAACTGGAGTATTACAACATATTGACAAATTAAATAGTATCTATATGACAGTATATTTGGTGCCCAAAAGAGCAAGGCAATTTTTATATATACTATTCAAAAAAAGTAGGGGATATTTGATTTTTAAGTGTTATTAAAGTCACCTAATGAAACTGACGAAGAAACAAATGACAAAATGAAATGAAGTTCACATTCATCGATTTATTCCAAATGATCGTTAGACTAAGTAAGGCACAGACTGACCATTATAAGGGTAAAATGATACCCGGGGTCAAACAGCAAAGTTACCACAGCATCACAACCAAGTCAGTAACGGGTAAATCCTCCTCTGTTTGCCAAACAAGCATTGATCCGACGTGGCATACTCCTAATGAGACGTCTAAGGTCATTTTGGTCCAGATTGTCCCATTCCTGTTGCAACGCAGCAGCAAGTTCTTGGACATTGGCAGGACGTTGTTGACGTTGACGTAACCTCTGTCCAAGCATGTCCCAGACATGCTCGATGGGGGAGAGGTCGGGACTTAGTGCTGGCCAAGGTAATGTGGTGATGTTCTGTTGTTGGAGGTAACCTGTAACGATCCTGGCCCTGTGACATCTTGCGTTGTCATCCTGGAAGATGAAACGGCGGCCATGACGTCGTGCGAACGGCACAACATGGACTGCCAAGATGTTGTCCCGGTAGTACTGGCCTGTAACACGCCCTGCAACAACATGTAAAGCCGTTCTTCCAGCAACAGTGATGCCTCCCCACACCATAACAGAACCACCCCCAAATCGATCATGTCTGATGACGTTAACGTCTTGGAAGCGCTCGTTTCGACGACGCCACACCCTCCTACGTCTGTCCAAAAAATCAACAGTGAACCTTGACTCATCTGAAAACATCACATTGCTCCAGCGTCGATTATCCCAGTGTTGACGATCCCTACACCAACGACGTCTTGCCTGAATGTGATGATCTCTCAACGCTGATCTGATTTGCTGTGATGACACGATTTCTCAAGGCCAAGGTACGGATAAATCGATCCTGGGCTTGAGTTGTCGCCCTTGGTCGACCTGAGCGTGGTCTGTCCTGTACAGATTGTGTATCACGGTATCTGGACCATAGCCTGCTTATGACAGACTGAGAAACATTCATCGTCCGCGCCACAACCGCCTGTGTTGTGCCGATCTGTAGCATGCCAAGGGCACGTAACCTTTCATTTTGGGTAAGCCGACGCATATCAAAATTTGTTTTCTGGTCACTAAAACAATTAAACTGATGTTTCCACCCTGGAATTCAATGCCACAATGACTGTAACATTCAAAGTCAGAGTCGTGCAAATCTTGGGTTGGACCCCCATGATGATCCCAAGCATCACCTGCATTCCATGCGGTAGCTATTGGTGCGTTTGGGCGTCACATGTAACTGGAAATGTTTCTTCTGTTAGGTTCTATAGTGACTTTTTTCGTAGTCATTTGCATATTTTAGTATTATGCCCCCAAAATCAAATATCCCCTACTTTTTTTGAATAGTATATTTTCATGTAGATGTATATTGTCATCATCCCTGTCCCTCCATCCATTCACATTTTGTCAGTGGACACTCTCAGGTTACAATTTTTATCCGAGTTTGACAAAACTTGAAATATAGGTTTATATCCCCAAGATCTCGGTTCCTTTCGTAACTTCATGGATTATGGAAGCCGATTGTACAAAAAGTCATATTTTTAGCTTGTGGACCCAATAGATGTCTCAATTTTTATCCAATTTTGACAAAACTTAAAATATATTTGTGCATTTCGGCCCCTGATTGAACGAAAAATCGCGTTTTTAGTTTGTGGAACCTCTAGAGGTCACGGTTTTTATCCGATTTTAAAAACTGTTCAAATATATCACTGTTGATTTTGAATTTCGTGAAACTGCCCGACAAATCTCAATTTTTATCCGATTTTTATGAAACTTAAAATATGTTTATATCCCAAAGATCTCAGTTCCTTTCTATATTTGCACATATCGGACTGTAACTTGATGGATTATGGCCCCTGAATGAATGAAAAATCATATTTTTAGCTTGTGGACCTTCTAGAAGTCACAATTTTTATCAAATTTTAAAAAATCTTTAAATATATCACTGTTTAACCGTAGGGAGGTGGGGGGGGGGAGAGGGAGATTGAAATTCAAGAAAATCGGACTGAAACTGCAAACACTGTAAAGATAGGTTGCCAGGCAACGATAAATACGCCCACAGCAGCTTAGTCGTCCGAGGAGTCAACAAGAGTTGGCGCGTATTTTTTCTATTGTCAGTAATAAAACATTTATAATACACTAAAATCTGATTAAGAGTAACAACGCATTAAGTAATTGTCAGAGAATCATTAGAATTTGTTTGGCTTTTTTAATTCTGCCCCATGCTAACGTTTAGTATACGAAGCATTAAATACGGTGGATTTAGCTGTTCAAGTTATCAAAATTCATTCAAAATCAATATACTTGTTCATCTCAAGATCTTAAGCTCTGTGTATCAAACTAAAGTCAATCAGATGATAACCTTGGTTTCATGGGCATCTACAAGATTTTTCAAAGTGATCATGGGCCATAGGTCTGGCAGTAATTATTGGAAATCATTGAAAATCACTGGGCTTATCCGTCTCATGACTTTAAACACTGTTTATAAATTTAAAGTCAATCTGATGTTAACTTTAGCCTCTAGAGCATCCACAAGATTTTTCAAAGTGATCAAGGGCCATTACCCGACAGTAATTATCGGAAATCGTTGAACTTCAATAGGTTTCTTAGTCTCATGACCTCAAACACTGTGTATAAATTTCAAGTCAATTGAATATTAACTTTAGCCTCTACATCGTCCAAAAGATGTTTCAAAGTGATCAAGGGCCATAACTCTGGCAGTAATTATTGTAAATCATTTAGAATTAATAGTCTTCTTCGTCTCATGACCTTAAACACTGTGTATAAATTTAAAGTCAATCGGATATAAAATTTAGCCTCTAGAACCTCCACAGGATTTTTCAAAGTGATCAAGGGGAATAACTCTGGCAGTAATTATCGGAAGTCATTGAAAATTAATAGACTTTTTCGTCTCATAACCTTAAACATTGTGTATAAATTTCAAGTCAATGGGATATTAAATTTAGCCTCTAGAGCATCCACAAGATTTTTCAAAGTGATCAAGGGCCATAACTCTGGCAGTAATTATCGGAAATCGCTGAAAATCAACAGGCTTGTTCGTCTCATGACCTTAAACACTGTGTATAAATCTAAAGTCAAGGGGATATTTACTTTAGTCTCTAGTGTGTCCACAAGATATATCGGATATCGTTGAAAATCAATAGGCTTCTTCGTCTCATGACCTTATATGCACTGTGTATAAATCTAAATATCGGATATGGTTGAAAATCAATAGGCTTTTTCGTCTCATGTATAAATCTAAAGCCAAGCGGATATTGACTTTAGTCTCTAGAGCGTCCTCAAGATATTTTGAAGTGATCAAGGGCCATAACTCTAACAGTAATTATCTGATATCGTTGAAAATCATTAGGCTTCTTCGTCTCATGACCTTAAACACTGTGTATAAATTTCAAGTCAATCAGATATTAAATTTAGCCTCTAGAGCATCCACAAGATTTTTCAAAGTAATCAAGGGCCACAACTCTGGCAGTAATTATCGGTAATCGCTGAAAATCAATAGGCTTCTTTGTCTCATGACCTTAAACACTGTGTATAAATCTAAAGTCAAGATGATATTAACTTTAGTCTCTAGAGCGTCCACAAGGCATTTTGAAGTGATCAAAGGCCATAACTCTGGCAGTAATTATTGTAAATCATTTAGAATTAATAGTCTTCTTCGTCTCATGACCTTAAACACTGTGTATAAATCTAAAGTCAAGATGATATTAACTTTAGTCTCTAGAGCGTCCACAAGGCATTTTGAAGTGATCAAAGGCCATAACTCTGACCTGACAGTAAATATCGGATATCATTGAAATCAATAGGCTTCTTCGTCGCATGACCTTAAACACTTTAGCCTGTAGAGCGACCACAAGGTTTTTCAAAGTGATCAAGGGCTATAACTCTGGCAGTCCTTATCGCTAAAAATCAATAGGCTTCTGCGCCTCATGACCTTAAACACTGTGTATAAATCTGAAGTCAAGCGGATATTAACTTTAGTCTCTAGAGCGCCCACAAGATATTTTGAAGTGATCAAGGGCCATAACTTTGGCAGTAATTATCGGAAATCGCTGAAAATCAATAGAGCATCCACAAGCAATTGTGGACTCTGGACGGACAGACGGGGGCGACGACAATATTCGACCACATTTCAATGTGGGGTAAAAAAAAGTATGTAATACAAAGGTTGTGGTCTTTCTAGATCATGAGCTCCCTTTCGATATTCGAGCATCTTGGACCTTAACTTCCAGGATTATGGCCTCTGTTCATCTCTTGCAAAATGTGGATGTATCTTGCATGGCAACCATTTGTTTTTTGTTGGGACTATTTTATCTACCATTGAACTCACAGGACAAAGAGCTTCTAGCTCTCCTTATTGACAATTTTTAATAAATAATTTTCACTTGTGATACATGTTCATAGATTGGGTGTAGACAACAAATAATGATTGTCTTATTATAGAATGAGTATTTCAACCAGCTGTCTGCTCATCTGTGGAAATTACAATGTCGCAAGAATTTGACTATTAAAAAAGACCTGTTATGCGAACAACACAATAAAGCGAATGTTCACCATGCTTTAAGTTGTTGAGGGTTTCATCAAATGATCTTAACTGGTGTTCCTTTAAATAAAATAGAGCAAAGTCACAATGAAGACAGTAGGGTTTAGAAGCTGCCACAAGAAGTGCCATACCAAACAATGTAGGTTGTGAGTAAACCTGATAGGGGTCTGGGGAGTTTTGTAAGCATTCATGCTGGTTAATGCCGGAAAATGTTAATGATTTTGAAACCATTTTACTTTTATAACAGTTTACAATTCTATCCTTATCCATGGAGGGAAGACCCTGAGAAAATGTTACGGTTTTGCTCTAAAAATGGATTAAACATACATTATGCAAGAGCTAAATCTGTCTGTTACAGGTTTTTCTTTAGGCCTGAAATGTTACCTAAATCATTAAAAAGACATTAATTAACCTATCCAGATCATAATCAACTCTTGATGGCATCGCTAGTGACGATTTAATGATTAAATGGATAATCAAGACTATGCTGTTTATCGTACTGACTTTAGTAATGATGATCGAGGCTAGGCGGAAAATTCAATCGCTTAATTTTTGGTTCATAGTTGATCAATTTGAATCAATTATTCAGCAAATTGCCTTTACATTATCTAGTTTTTAACTATTATAGTGAGAACTGCAAACTCGTTATCGAATCTCCCATATTGTATCTTTAAAGGGCCAATCTCGATTATATATTGAAGAATAAAACTGCTTGATTTTGTGTTAAAAGCCCTTAAAATCCTCTACCTTAACTCAATATATACGTGATACGTTTTCAAACAACTTAACCCCGCCAGTTTGCATCTGTAAATGAAGACTGGTGTCCCAAGCTGTATTATATGGTATCTGGATACTGTGTAGGTGAAATTTGCTTTTCGTTATCAAGTACAGCACTGGGTCATGCACTGTATAGCCCTCTAAAGGAATGGCAATAGATTATCAGGTCACCAAACAAAAAAAGTGACCCAAAATCTTAAAAGGGTTACGTGTCCGGATAAGCGGTTTTGACGTTCACGTCCAAACCACTCAATATTTTGAGCTGAAATTTTAAGACAAGGTAAATACAACATTCCTCTATATTCTGGCACTTAAGTTTCATAGGTACACAGACTTTCATTTATTGAGACTCTGACAGTCTGCTACTTTCTGATTACGTGGATCTCTTTATGTCCATATAAAGTTTTTTTTAAACCCTTCCGTTTATTCTCTTTGACACATAAAAATAAAGTTTAACTCCATTTTACAAAACCTTTTATTCTTTGCTATTTACTACAGACACAAACAACAAAGCCATTAGAAGGAAAAAAACACCCTAAAACTGTTATAAAGGGACATAATATAAAATTTATAAAGTATAAGCTGTGACGCCAATAGGCATATCATACTGGAATACAATTCAATTACTCTCCACCTTGATAAGCATTTCCTGAATCTGAATTCTAAGCAAATTTACAATCAGAAAAACAAAACATCCAAATGTATTTTGTATAAAACTAAACAATTTGTTTAATGATTCATTAAATTTTAATGATTCATTAACTATGGTTTCATTTTTTTTCAATTAAATTCTGCTTTTTAGTAATTTTCATCACAATATTTCATTTTTTAAACTTTGTATTGCACAAAAAAAATTTACTCAATATTTGATTTTGGGATTTCATGTTCCTGAATTTCTTTTGATATTTTTTTTTCCTAATAAAACATCATACATAGAAATATCTATTCTACTAACAGTATATATAAATGTTCATGCATAAGAATAACATTATAGCTAAAAAGGGGTTAACAAATAGAAAACTGTAACATCCAACAACCATGATAGTACTGTGATACTTGGTAATAAAGATAACTAAATAGATATCACAGAAAGATATAGAACTATATTTTGTCAAGTCATTAGTAAGTATCATAGTATATTGTAAACAGTATTACCATAAGCAAACTAGATTTATATCAATAAACTGATACTTCATCACATTTATGAATACACACAATGACCCTACTAATGACTTTTAACAAAATAACTCAAAATAAATAATGGTTATTTCTTTTGTCTTTAAATCTTGTGAAATTAGAAATTCATCTGCTCCATCTTTTTATTTTGATAAAGGAGATTTTTATTGGGAAGTATGTAGAACTACACCATTTTCCTAGACATTTTATTAGATACGTAATCATTTTAAAAACAACATTTTAAAACAACGGTAACTACTCAACAATCCCGATAGCACCAGATAACAATAAATAAATCAGATTGCACTCACTATGTTGTTAAAAGAAGACAAAATAAATAGTTTATTAATTTGATAACTTCCAGACTATTTTCCACGTGAGATCAGGATAATATTGAAAGTAGAATTTGTTTAGGCCAAAACAATATAATTTCTAGTTCTTAGGGGTCTTGATTTAGTATTTTTGGTTGTTAAATTATTATTTATTCCCTATTAAATAGGACACAATATTTTATTAGTTGTTCCCAAAGAACAAAAGTTCACATTGGTATGGCCTTTTAATGTAAATCAACAAGCCAACAGTGAGGCTGATGTCCTCCGCCAAAATCCCAAAATAAATAGATGACATATATTAATTAATCGCACATTTATTTTTTTCAAAAGTATCGAGCAATCAAACTATATACTAAGTTGCATCACTCACCATCGAACTTAGTCACGGTAACGATATAATGAATCTATATTCAGAGTTTCAACAATTTCACTTCATTATAATCAAAGTTATTGTGCCCCAAAGCAACAACCAATCAGATTGCTTATCTCTGCTTACCGTAAGCAGACAATGTTCATCATCGAACTCCATCAAGGTATTCACCTATTGAACGCCCACACCAAGTTTGAAAATTCTACCTCAATTAGAAGGAGAGTTATAGTGTTCCAAAGTCTGTACAATCAAATTGTTTATCGCTCTGCTTACCCTCAGCAGAAATTGTTCATTATCCAACTTAGTCAAGGTATTGATGTGATAAAGCTATACAGCAAGTGCCCTCACTGTCACTTAATTAGAACTAAAGTTATCGTGTCCCAAACCATCAACCAATCAAATTGCTTATCTCTGCTTACCCTAAGCAGAAAATGCTCATCTTCGAACTCATCAAGGCATTGACCCAATAAACACCTACACCAAGTTTGAACATTCTAGCTCAATTAGAAAGAGAGTTATTGTGTCTCAAAAAGTGTGACGGACAGATAGACAGACGAACCCATTTTAATAGTTTCCTGCTTTCTTCGAAATGCGGGGGACAATTAAGAACAATATAAGTAAAGTAAGTAGATTATAAAAAGCACTGAAATAACAAAATAACACATCAAACATTCAAACTTAACAAAATCAATGAAAATCACATCTCTACAATATTTCTAAGGGCACAAATAAAGGTGTCACACATTGTACAATTTATATTCAAGATTTTCTTCAGATTCAAGATTAAATACATTATAACCTGATTTTTCAACAAACGACCAATTATCTGGTGAAAGATCAGCTAATCTATCAAGGTCTTTATACTTTCTAGTCTAGACTACGATTTTAAGACATTTTATTACCACATATATAATGGAATGCAACGATCAGCATGAAGTGATAGCCATTTTATAGCATGTATAATATATGATAATATACCATTTTATAGCATCTATTATATATGATAATATACATATAGATGTTTCTTATACGCTAAATATATTTATATATATATATATATGAGTATTGACAGATATTCATAGAATCATAACTAATTTTATTTGCAGAAAGGAAAGCAGCTAGCCTTCACCGACTTTTATAAAAAATATTTTACTAACAATCCTTTAGAATGAAAACATATAAAGATGATATGAAGATGAAAAAGGTTTTTTATATTTTTAACTCCATGACTCAAAACAGAAACAATGTAAATTTAGTAAAAAATATGGACTCTTGGACCAATCAGCTTTATATTTCTATCTTGACTAATCATGTTGAAGGATATAGAAATTTGTAGAATGAATTATTTTAATCTGTTCATGGCTTCTTCTATTTTAATTATAATCCACTGAAACAAGAAAGTTAAAATTAGAAGCTAGGGTTTCACTTAACACTAACGAGTAACCAAGTCATTTTGGGACTAACTATATTTTATCTCCCGAATTTGCTTGTGTGCAGTGGTCTTGAGAAACCAGAGAACACTGACAAAAAAGATAGGTTGCCAGGCAACGAAACATACGCCCACAGCAGCTAAATCGTCTGAGCGGTCGACAAGGGTTGTCACATATTTATTCCTTTGTAGGTAATTGGGGGCCTTTACAAGACAGTTCCATACAGATCAGATTATAATTTTTGCCGTTTGAGGGTTTCACAAGGTTCTACAAACTGAAACAAGAGTCTCAACTCTGGAAGTAATCTACAGAAATTGTTGAAATTTGACAGGCTTTTTCGTTTTACTAATTTAAATAATGCATATAAATTTCATACTGATCAGATGATCACTTTTGTCATTCAAACATTCACAAGGTTCACAACCGCCATAACTCGTAGAAATTATTGATGGAAATTGCTGAAATTCAATAGACCTCTGTTTCACACATTTAAATGACACATATAAATTTCATACATATCGGATGATAACTTTCATCAATCGAGCACTAACAAGGTTGAACAAAGTGAAACAAGGGCCATAACTCTAGAAGTAATTATTGTAAATTGCTGAAATTCAATAGGCTTCCTGGTGTCACTAATTTAAATAATGCATATAAATTTCACAAAGATCGTATGATAACTTTTGGCGTTAGAGCATTCACACGGTGAAACAAGGGCCATAACTCTAGAAGTAATAAACTGAAATTGTTGAAATTCAATAGGATTCTTCGTTTCCCTAATTTAAATATTGCATATAAATTTCACAAAGATTGGATGTTAACTTTTGGCATAAGAGTGTTCACAAGGTTCAACAAAGTGAAACAAGGGCCATAACTCTAGACTTAATAAACGGAAATTATTGAAATTAAATAGGCTTCTTCATCTCACTAATGTAAACAACATATATTCATTTTACAACAACTGGATGATAACTTTTGGTGTTAGAGCGTTCACAAGAAATTGTGGACGATTGACGGACTGACGGACGGGGGCGACGGCAATATACGTCCACATTTCCATGTGGGCGTATAAAAACCCATGAGGTTAGGAAGGCAAGCCTATAAACCAAGGGTCAAACACATATCATCTGTATTGATAAGGTAGCATCAGGTTTTTCAACCGGTTTCAACTTGGTTAACCAGTGGCTGCCAGGCAGGATACGCCCACATTTTCGAGAGATGGATAGAGAACAAGCTAAAAATGTGATTTTTCGTACAATCAGGGGCCATAATCCATGAAGTTACAGTCCGATACATGCCAATATCGAAAGGAACCGAGATCTTAGGATGATAAACCCCCTATTTCAAGTTTCATTTTACCATATTTTACGGTATTTGAGAATGAACGGCGGCCATTCGAACTCAGCCGTCCTCAGGGTTTAACGGCTTATAATAAAACGTTTTTTTAAATCGGATAAAAATTATGACCCCTGTAGGGTCCACAAGCTAAAAACGCGATTTTTCATACAATCAGGGGCCATAATTCAGGAAGTTACGTTCCGATATGAACGAATATTGAAAGGATCCGAGATCTTTGGGTTATAAGCATACATTTCAAGTTTAAACCAAATCGGATAAAAATTGTGACCTCTACAGTGTGCGCGAATATCGAAAGGAACCAAGATCTTTGGGTTATAATCTTACATTTCAAGTTTCAACAAAATCGGATAAAAATTGTGACCTCAAAAGGGTCCACAACTTTGATATACCATATTTTTACGCTATTCGAGAACGAACGGCGGCCATTTTATCTGTCAGTTTTGGGCCGATTTTCACGAAATTTGAACTCAGCCGTCCTTACGTTTTTTTAAATCGGATAAAAATTATGACCTCTATAGGGTTCACAAGCTAAAAAACGCGATTTTTCGTACAATCAGGGGCCATAATTCATGAAGTTACGGTCCGATATGCACGAATATCGAAAGTAACCGATATCTTTGGGTTATAAACTTACATTTCAAAATCGGATAAAAATTGTGACCTCTATAGGGTCCACAACCTTGATATACCATTTTTTGACGCAATTTGAGAACAAAGGGCGGCCATTTTGTCTGTCTGTTTTGGGCCGATTTTCACAAAATTCGAACTCAGCCGTCCTTAGGGTTTAACGGTGATATAATAATACGGTTTTTTAAATCGGATAAAAATTATGACATCTATAGGGTCCACAAGCTAAAAACGTGATTTTTCATACAATCAGGGGCCATAATTCAGGAAGTTACGTTCCGATATGAACGAATATTGAAAGGATCCGAGATCTTTGGGTTATAAGCATACATTTCAAGTTTAAACCAAATCGGATAAAAATTGTGACCTCTACAGTGTTCACAAGCTAAAAACGTGATTTTTCGTACAATCAGGGGCCATAATCCATGAAGTTACAGTCCGATACATGCCAATATCGAAAGGAACCGAGATCTTAGGGTGATAAACCCCCTATTTCAAGTTTCATTGAAATCGGATAAAAATTGTGACCTGTAGACTGTTCACAAACAATTGTGGACGGACGGACAGGGGCGACGACAATATACGTCCACATGAAAATGTGGGCGTATAAAAATTGGGGAAAGTAATATTGTAAAATCTGTGAACCATGATAGCATACTGAATTATTACTACATCAATTATACTCGTACTTACATCTAACACTTTTTCATCAGCAATAGGGATTTCTTTTTTATTTGCATTACTACCAAAAAATTTCTTCTTTTCTTTTTCCTAAATAATAAAAATAACATTATAAACTGAACTATGATTATGCATGACAAGCTTGTTATTTAAAGGTTATATTGTTTCAAAAGTAATTTTCATAAATCCTAGGGCTATCTCATAGAAACAGAATAATGTTTATCTGAAGGGGCACAAATGAGAAATATTGATATCATGGCTTTACTACACCGATGTTATAGCAAGACCGCTATATCTTATAGTAATCAGTACTAAATTGGGGTTGAATTTAGGTGATAAAAATAGCACCATTTTCTATGTGAGAAAAATGACCGACTGGGAAAATTTTGAAAGTAGAAGCCCTAATTCGACCAAATCAACCTCACTTTGTAAATTGGAAAAAAAGTAAAAACAAACCTTTAATATGAGCTCCAAGCCTTTCGGTGTTTTCTTAGGTCTTTCTTTTATTTCAGTCCACGTGTATGTCCAATCACAGTCCCAAGCACCAAATAAATCACCTTTCTTTACCAATAAAACACGCCTACAAATATAAAGAGATGACTGAATGAAAACGTTTTACTACTAAAGGTTTCTCAATAACCCAGCAATCCCAGATTTCACAGGACCTATAAATAAATCTTGGCTTTAATTATGTAAATCAAATGCCAAAATTTAACAGTATAGCCTGTTTGCCTTCTCTAAAATTTTCAAATGAAAATATTCAGTTTTTCAGAATTGATTACAAGATTTGTTGCATAGGGTTATGTAACCAACTCTTGTAAGGAATTACATTTTCCAGTTGTATAATGAACGTGAATATATAAATGAGGTGATCGCTAACCACTATAGAATCGGCTAGTATATAATAAAGACATGGTTTTTGGACATTACCTAGAATTTGGGGACTTAAAACTGTAAGTGTGTATTTCTTGATAACAATATCACAGAGATACAGATAGTCAGTTGCACTGGACCCTTATTCACGAAAACTTAAACTAAGACACAATCAAAATTTTAAGAAATACTGCAATTCGATTGGCTGACCAATATGCAAATTGGATATATGCAAATTGATTTTACTGGTCAACCAATCGAATTGCAGTATTTCTTAAAAAATTTCGATTGTATCTTAGTTTAAGTTTTCGTGAATAAGGGCCCAGGACATTAAACCTTAAATTATAGTAAAACTATAAGTAAATAAAGCCTTCAACTTGAGCTGGGTAGTAAATTAAGATAAAAGATAAACATTGTTGTATAGATATACTTACAAGTCTGTAACTAAAAACACTGATTTTTTATCTTTACTAACTACGACATGAGCCTGATATTCATCAGATACAGAATATTTAGCTTTTTCAGTTTCCTACAAATAAATAAATACATTTAATATGTTAATACTTGTGGTATGACAACTACATTTTATGTAATAATAACATGTAGATCCACAGCTACTATAAACATCCCTTCTCTCTTAAACCCATTTTATAAGATGAATTTTCTGACTTTAATCCTGTATCATTAAAAACACAGAAAAGGGCCACTTGACAGGTTTTTAGGCAATAGTTTGTTACTTTTTGCTTTATCTACTTTTATTTTTGAGTGGTCGTGGCATGGGGGTGGGGGTATTGCTTGAACCCCTGAATCTGTCCTTGTTATACTTACCATAAGAATAGCGTAACCTTCTGCTTCTTGATGATTATATGGTCTCATTACATGATCACTGTGAAATCTTCTTGGTGGTCGTAATCTTCGAATTTCATCACTCATATCAGTTATACTGTTAATTATATTAAACAATCACTCATATCAGTTATATTGTTAACTGCATGTATATTAAACAAATCACTCATATCAATTATACTGTTAACTATATTTAACAAATCACTATCTATTTCAATTTTATTTCAATTTCACAAGAAATTACTCTATATATTAAATCTTAATCTATTTAAGAAAATCAATAATATATATTCACCGTCTTATTCCTTCCAATGAACTACTAGCAAAATCTATAGCACCACTAGTTGGTCTCGTTACAACTCCTACTAAACCTTTACCTACTCCTAAAAATATAATATATACATCTTATTTCATATACAACATTACAGAGATACCTGTAGTACTTCAGCTGTCCCAAGTATTTTCAGACGGACTTCCTATATACCCTTTGTATCACCGGCTAATGTATTTTTTTAAAAGCTTATTCTGTAATAGAAAAATCTTTCCACTGAAGAAAGAGAGAGAGAGAGGGTTTAAGGTCCACTAGACACAAACTAGGTCATTTCAGGACTAACACATGTTTCAATTTTATTTCAATAATTAGCTTGCGCGTAGGGGTCTTTAGCAGTGGGAGGAAACAGGAGGACCCGGAGAAAACCTACGAGGTTGGACAAACAATCTTACTCCTTGTCACGTACAACCGGGGAATCAAAACCAAGCCAGTTGACTTAATGGCAGACCTTATGATATAACACGCACACGGTAACCATTCGGCTATCCACCCCCCTCCTTCTACTGAACACAAAATTGGGTAGAATAATATAAACAGATAATACATACTCAATAAATCAATTATTTACCTTTAAAGAAACCTCCTACACCTTCTTTCTGAGCCCCTTCTATAGGTTTTCTAACTATACCAGTTACACCATCAAAGACACCCTACAAATAGTTTCAAATATACTAATACACAAATTTATGTACAGATAAATCCATTGAGCAATTATCACTCTGCATAACTTGAGCAGAAAATTCTAATTAAGGTACTGATGTAATTAAACTAGTTACTAAGTTTCATCACTCTCACTCAATTAGTCAAGACATTGATCTAATGAATCTAATGAACATCCCTTGTATGACAGACAGATGAACCCATTTTAACACTATTGGTTCACAATATTTACATGTCAGATTTTAAAATGTCTATCAAATTATATAGACTTATTTCTCTTGCTAAAAATATTCTATGAAAATATCAGTCAATGTAACAGGGAATTGACTAGTTCTGGATGATGGTGTTTATACTATTTGGTTTATATATTTACTAGCAGGATACCCGGCTTCGCTCGGGGGTCATAACTCCGAAACCGGAAGTGGTAGACTAACGCCACCTGGCCTATGTTACTCCCCGGTCCGAGCTACCCCTATACCCCAAATTTCAGACTCGGGGCAGACCTAGTGTAGCCGCCAACACCGAACAGACAGACAGACAGACAGACAAACGACAGTCACAAATATATATATAGATAATTGATTTATTTAATTTTACAGCCAATGACAAGAACTATATATATCATTTATGTTGCCATAAGTCTAATGACAATTTTTCACTACAAGGTTTTCTTGCTCTACAAGTTTACAATGTATTGATAACTTACTGTTACAAAACCTTTTCCACCTCGAGCAAATCCTTCTGCTGCTGTGGCAGGTTTTTTATTTAACTGTTCACGTCGTTTCTTCTGGTAATCATCATCCATGGTTAAAGTAGCAATCCCTTTCCCCACAGTTCCAGTTATTCTAGATGCTGCTCCAGCAGCTCCACCTGTTGATAGATTTATAAATCAGTTGAGTTAGACCATTTCCATGGAAATTATATTATACCAATTCTTGAAAATAGTTTTTCAAAATTTTGTTTTCAATAATATAACCAAATACTTGCCTATGGCGTGACCAAACAAACTTCTGACACCTATTACCATTCCTTCCGCAAACTCTTCAGGTCCTTGAATCAATCCCTGTCACAAAATAAAAGTAGATATTTGGTTAAAGTTCTACGACTAGAATTAAACTGCACTCAAATACAAAAGTATACAAGGAATTATTAGCTATGTTTTATTTGCGACAACTCTTAAAATAACTGTAGGCTATACAGAGAGAAATGGGGTTTAATAAGAAACAAACTAGGTCATTTAGAGACTAACATATGGTCTTTAGCATTGGGAGGAAACCGGAGAACTCGAAAAAAACAAAAAACAAGCAGAAATTGGACAGGAGACTCTAGTCCTTGTCACATACAAGCTTGGGTTTGAAACCATGCCACTTGACTCAATGACAGACGTTTTGATCTAAAGCGCACACACTAGACCCCCCCCACCCTAAAGGTTGTATATAATGTGATGTACTAACCTGGTATGGTTCATAGAAGAGATCTCCTACACCTTCTGATAATCCACGTAATAATCCAAATGGATTACCTAATACATCTAATCCTAATACTAATACATACATCTGTTTAATAGCCTAGTAAACAAAAACATGAAAACCACAATATTAACCTATTTAAACACCAATCATAGGGTCAATATAATTATATTAATTACAATAATAAATTTTTATTGTCAGTCGAAATATGGATCAATTTAGATTTAAAATAAAGTTTAAGATTTAAACAACCAACCTGTCCAGCATAATGTCTCGTCATTTCTTGTATTAACTGTGATTGGTTATAGAAGGCATGTTTTCTCTCAAAATACCCCAATCTGTTAAAAGGATGCGATAAAGCTTTCAACTAAATACATTTATAAGTTAACATGAGTTAACCCTATACAGTTTCATTGTAAGCTTATATGATCTTGTCAAACCACAATTTATCCTAAACTTAAACTAATATTATGTGGTCTTACATATGATGAAAATTATAATAAACCTACTTGAAGACGACATCTTGTACATCAGTAAGTACAACTCCTACACTCTGTAAGAACACATTGACTATATCAGATTTAATCTCTGTGGGTTTACCATCTTCACTGGAACCACTTTGTAAAGAAAAGCTTAGATGTATCTGAAAACGTAATTGATAGAAAAAGTACTTTAATCTCCAATACTGTGTGGGTCAACAAAACAAAGGATCTCCAACAACATTCTTAAATGGGTGTAGCTCTAGGTAAATAAATGTGAAAATAAATACTATCATCAAAACATTGCATATTAATAAACCAATAATTGTTATTCTATATATATTTTTTAATGGCTGCCGTTCAATTACCAGTTCTAAATGCCACTCAAAGAAACTTCTTGTATTAGATTAAGAGAGATATTGCTTTTGGTCTTGGGACAACAAAATTTCTAAATGTTTCTGTTTAAAAATATTACCAGTATCAAGTCATAATTTAGTTTTGATTATTCTATGTAATATGTAGTAACATGTAAGAATGACTATTGAGTGTCCAAACCTCAACATCGGTGAGCTGCTCAATGGCAGTGGCTGCTCTAGAATCACATTTGATTTAATTTCAGTCTGATCTCGTAAGAAATATCTAGTTACTACCTTGATAGGTGAGAAATGTAAATCGTCATAGTAATTCTTCTGTTCTTCAGCTAAAGATACACCAACAACATCTAATAACTCAGAATCTATCTTCTGTAAATCAGTTTCAAACAGCTTAGTCTAGAATTAAATTTTAAACAAATATAGATATAATGTATATATTATAGTTATATGTATGTATAAATGTTAACCAATTGTATTGTCTAATAATTCAGTTCTGGGAGGAATAATACAATTAGTGGAAATCAATCCTGGCATAAATCACAAGTGGAAAATGCGTTCTAAACCACAGAGACCAAAGATTTCACGTAAATTCCAATTTTGAATTGCTCTGGACAATTTGAACGTTTTTTGAGCACACTTCCTAGATCCAAGCTAACAATCAGTAAAAACACTGACTAAAATATCCAAGTAGAAATATGTGTAAAAATAAACAAGGATAGGTAAGATAGAAAATAAATACCTCAGTTTCTCTAGAAACACGTTGATCAGCAGCAAACAATTCTAATATAGCATTCAAAAATCCTTGATCAACATTCAACGCCATTTCCTGTATTAATGCTCTAAAATATCTGTAATTATAAAACATATATGAGTATTATAGAAAACTAGATTTACCTTGATATAAGTTAACATATAAGTATATACAAAGATAGTGTAGTAACCATTCAACACAAGTACAACAGACTACTCTTTCTGTCTGTATCATTTTATGAACCAATAATTATGCAGATTTAATTGTTTGTCCAATCTGTTCGACTCATTCAAGGTAAGAAATAAGACAGACGTTTATATCAGTGTTTTTCATTTACACAAAAGTATAAGATAACTCCTACATGTATAAATAACTCTATAGTGGTATCAGTTGTTTTAGCCTATGATATTACTGAATAAAACTTACGTTATTTGCATTACATTGCTATGTTCATGTTTCCTCATTAACATACTGACTTCAGTAAATGGTTTTGGAACTAAAAATAGAGAATAATTACAATTTTCAATCAGTACCATATATAAAACAAACTTTACATACTTGACCATCTGAACAGAAGACCAGCAAAAAGGGGTAACTTTGAAATGTCTAAGACTTGTCAAGTTACCCCATTTTACGTTAATATTTACAGTTATATTCAAGTGCAATTTCGGGGAACATTGAACATTTCTAAAATCTGATTACAATTCATATAATTTGGAACATTCTGGACAATCGTAGCCTTGCCATCCATCACATAATTTGTTAATAATTACTGGCATGATAGTATATTTAAAATTTTGATAAAACCTGAGTACAACTATGTATTTGATGCAAAATCCTACAACATAATGTGTCAAGGAATTACTCATTTAGATGCTTACTTACCACTTTCAGCAGCTACAGATTTAGGTGGTGGTAAGGGAGATAACACTGTAGGAAACGTGGCTTGAGTTAACTGATTATCAAACTATAAAATATAATTATAAATAATTTATCCTTATAATATATAAAAAGATATATCAGCTATCATCTTCATAAAACCGGCAGAAAAGGAGGACATTAAACCCCATTTCGTTTTATTTGTAGTATTGGATGTTAGTATATGAATATACCTGAAGTCTGTTTAACTTGGCATGGAACTGTAAATGATGAACTGATGTTTTATATTGAATCCATATACCATCTACAAAACTTCTCTTGATTTGTCTATTATGTGGTTTTATCATCATTATGTTATCTTTATCACTAAAATCAACCTATAAATACACACCCATTATTTACAAATATACATTTAACTTTAATACAGAAACAACACATTCACAAAATATATAGTCATATCGCTACTGTGGTTAAGTTTCAATCTGGTAAAAAAAACATTGCACATCAATTTACTTGAAGAGATAAAAACATGCTCTTCTTTTAAGGTTGTCAGTTGAAAATTTTACAGACTGGCACTTTGTCAATACACAACCCAGATCTCTCTGTTCTTATAATCCATAAAAAGTGCCCTAAGTTAAGGTTTAATGTAGGAACTTATAACATCATTTACAGATACCTATCTGGGAGAATTGATAACACTGTGAGATAGGTATTACTGACAAAAGTTAAATATGTGTGGAAGACACTCAATAATCTTTATTCTAGTCCTGTACAACTGAATCTCTATGGTACTATAAAATCTGGGACTGCTTCTTTAATTTAGAATACAAACCTCTATTTTATTGTCTAGATGTAATCTAGCAGCTGGACTATGACCTGCAGCTAATGCTAGCATATATTTCTGATATGCTGCTTCCAATATATTTGTTGTTTTTACATTTAACCCTTTAAATTTCTTCTTCTTCTCTTCCCAAATAATACCAGAACTATAAAAAAAAAACCCAAAATATACATAAAAACATATTCTAGAATATAACAATGTTTTAAAGACATTTTACATAGGTCAGTTAACAATTAAATATGTCATTTTGTCATATAAGTCTATGTCTATGATATGGTAATTTTATGTCTATGATACATAATTTTAAAACTACATGGGTCATTTTAAAGACTGATATTGTAAATAATTTAGTTTCTATGGTTACATGAGCAATTAGGTTTATGAAAATACTGCTTGGAAGAGTGGCATTTTTTACTATTTGCACAATCTTTTGTGAACACCACAACCCTAGCTGTATAAACCTAAACACGCCAGGAATTGAATAATATAAATGATATTGCTTGCTAGTTATGGTAACTTTAACTTGATTCCAATAAATAGCACAACCAATTCCATTTTGTAAAAGAGACTAATAAGAAAATGTGAATAACAAATAATCACTTACCTTGTTATTCCCATAAATGCTACTTCAGTTTGTGAATAATTATTAACCAATGAAAAACCCATACCAACAATAGATACAACTATTTCTTGATCCATTCTCTCTAACTCATCGGCCTAGAAAATATTTTACATATAATATATTGTATATCAACACATATTGTAGAACAAGTTGTTAGTGATATTGTTAGTATTATAAGAATGAAATGACAACACAAATAATATTAGTTATTACAAAGTCAATGTGTGCAGGAAAGAAATTGTAAATGATTTACTTCCAATCAAACAAAACGTCATCATCCTATTAGATACAATATAATCACTAAACTGTCTCATACTAACACATTGTAGGATTGTTATAATGGGTCAATTTTTTCAATGAATTGTGAATTCTAATTATTACTTCATTATGGATACTTTTTCAAAGTGGCTGCATGTAAAATTTCAAAGTCATTGAATTTAAAAAGTAAATAAATTTGAAATAGAAAAAAAAATATACCCTAAACCTCACATTAAATGTAAAGGCAACTTATTCAAATCTGTTTCAAGAGAAACATACAAATTTGGAATCAAAAACCTCTGAAATTTGATAGGGCTCTGTTTTATTCCAGAGAAGAACTCTGGTTTGTAAAATATTCATAAGAAATTGTAAATGGACAAAAGTTACAACAATATAATTCTGTTCCAATTGAATATGGGTAATAAAAATATTATCCTTTAAAAAATAGAGAGAAAAAAAAATCACATCTAATAAACAGTAAAAATCAAATCTAATGTAATAAACAATAAAAATCACATCTAATCTATTAAATACAGACATAATAGGTTGCCAGGCAACAAAACATATGCCCACAGCAGCTTAATCATCTGATCAGTCAATAAGAGTTGTCTCATACTTACTTTTTTGTAGGTAATAGGAGCATTTACAAGACACTGATATCAATTTCATACCATATAGTTAATAGTTTTTGGCTTTGACAGTTCAGAAGTTCTTACAAAGTGAAACAAGGGTCATAACTTTAGAAGTAATTAATAGGAATTGTTAAAATGATAACCTTTTTTTTGTTAGAGCGTTCACAAGGTTCTACAAAGTGAAACAATGGTTATAAGCTTACCTCTGGAAGTAATTAACAAAAATTGTTCAAAATCATTAGGCTTGAAAAATAAATATAAAATTCTAGCAGTTTTGATGATAGCTCTTGTTGCTAGGGCAGTCACAAGAACTTACAAAGTGAAAAAGAGCCACAACTCTGGAAGTTATTATCAGAAATTGCTGAAGTTCAGTAGGCCTTTTCGTCTCACTAATGTAAAATGATCAGATGATAACTGTAGAGTGTGAAGAAAGTGTGGATGGCGGACAAATGGAAGGACAGAGGAAATGACAATATATAACCACATTAATTACAATGTGGCATATTAAAATCAGATTTAATTCTAACAGAGTAAAAATATCTGTAATAAAAATTCACATCTTGTCTAAGAAATACATGTAGTAAAGATAGGATGACAGGCAACAAAACACATGGCTACAGTTGCCAAATTGTTTAGGCAATCACATTCTTTTATAGATAGCTAGAATTAGGGTAAAATTACATTTTTTAAAATTTGAATTGCCTTTTTTTGGCTCTACATTACACAATTGGAGAGCATTTTGGGCACATTGATCAGCAGTTTTAATATTTTCTATAAACTATTTTCTTGAATAACATTTTTTTCTTCTAAATGAGAGTTTTGCAGCAAATTGTAACAACACTGTTTATTTTGTTCCTTGTTAAAAGATACTAAAAGGCAACAACTCATTTATCTCAATAACATAAATAATTCAAAAATGTTTCCAAGTTAAAATCAATAGATAACTATGACATCTAGAGTATCGATAAGACAACTGTGTAAGATGAACCATAAACCAGATGAAGGGGGTTAAATGGGAATATACAAGTCATACGACCACATAAAAATATGTGTGTATAATAAAAAACAAACTTATATATAATAAAAAACAAACTTATATATTTATAGTTTTCAAAGATCTGAGACTATTTGGATTGATCACATCAATATTTTGTAATAGTCAGATCCAAAATAATCTACACTCCACTTTTAAAAATTGTAAAACCCATAAACCAAATAGTTGAAAACATAATAAAATTTGATGTTGTTGTATAATATTCCAACCTGTTTAACTGATCGTAATCCTGGCTAAACACAAACATAGTATCAACTTTATATCAAAATAAATCTTTCCATTTATGAAACGGTTATTTATGAGGAGCAAAAACAAAAATTTTATAAATACGATGGGTTATTTGGGACTTCCAGGAAGAATAGCTGGTCGGTAACCTTATCTATTTTAAATTGACATAATTTGATTTTAATTACATCAAGAATGTTTAAATTAATATTGAATGCAACATTTGAAACAGATTTGGCAATTCCTTGATGAAGAGCAGACATTCTGTGTTTCGATTTTAGTGACCTTTCTTTCTGTAGATCAGTACTTGTTTTATTTTATAATTTCGCAAGCATATAAGGTTATTTTATCCATAACACTTATTTTCTAGTGTACTATATCTATAAGTTTTGAATAATGGCTTTTGAACAAACATGCTCTATGTGAATGATCTATTTGTTTTTATCTTTATAATGACATTATACTGTACTCACTTCTTTAGCTAGTCTAGCTATTAAACAATCTTCAGTAAATAATAACACTCTCTGTAATCCATCTAAGAATGATACCCAATATATCTTTGTATCATCATCTAAGAAAAATTCTCCTGATTCATCCTAAAAAAAATATTAAAAGAAATACTACATCCATAGATCATCAATGATAAAAATACAACCATGGATTTCAATTCAGTTATACAACCTTGGAATTCAATTTAGTTACACAATCATGGAATTCAATTCGATAAACAAAATTGGAATTCAATTTAGTTACACAACCTTGGAATTCAATTTAGTTACACAACCTTGGAATTCAATTCGGTTACACAAACATGGAATTCAATTTGGTTACACAACCAGAAATAAACTGTTCTATTTGATACAGGACACTAGTGGCTGATTTACCTTAAGAAGATCAGTTTTCATATCTTTCACTTGTCCACAACTCCATATTAATTGTTGCTTGCCCAGTATATCTTCCCATGTATAAATAATTGATTGTTCACGATCCAATGTGTGAATAATTGGGTGACCGCTAAAAAAAATTAAACATATTTTATTTTTACTGCCAATGTACACATTCTGAATGACACTTAATATATTATATTATGCCTTATTTATCTCCTTAACCAATTTAACCCTAGAGCCTATGAAATGAAATGAAATGAAATGGGGTTTAACGTCCTACTGTTTTGCTCCGAACTGGGCTAATGAAGACGGGCATACGCCATACAGTGTGCTATGAGGGAAAATTTGCCCGGACAGCGGCACTACGGCCTACTCTTATATCGAATTCCAACTGTCAAGGGATCTTTTACGTGCACGCCAATGTGTACACGGGACCTCGGTTTTTCGTCCCATCCGAACGACTAGACAGCTGTCCTTGTCAGCCCCTCCGTCCTGCATCACTGACAAGGGAGAACCACGCCGGAAAATCTGGATGAACTTTCTCGGCCAATGCAGGGATCGAACACCAGACCTCCAGGCTAGCGAGCCAGCGCCTTACCCACTTAGCCACCGTGATCCCCAACCCTAGAGCCAATTAAAAGATTAGCTACGAGCATACCTACCCCTAGACACATTAAATCAGCAGGGCCCATCTCCCTAAGCCAATTAGTGGATTATTGTTAATCCTAATACCCTCTACAAAATTGCAAATACAGTAGAATCTATATGAGCAGCCACTCCTATTCAGCAACATCTCCTTGTAAGCGGTCACGATAAATTCCCCCCGTAGAAATTCTGTTGTTTCATCTCTTTATTCAACGGTCACTCCTGTAACGCGGCCAGCGGTCACTATTTTACTAATAAATTCAACAAAACATTGCCCATTCAACGGCCATTGTTGAATGATACCATCTTGTCGTTCTTTGTAACACCCCCGCTAATCCCGTGAGTAGTAGTTAATTAACTGGACCCCCACTGATCAGGTAAAAAGAAATGTAAACATAACAATCAACCCGGGATTATCTGTTAATTAATCTTTTGTTTTATTAAACGACTAACCTGATCATTGTTTTCACGCGTAACGACACATTATTTGATACTGATTGAATAAAATAAAAGTACCGAGTTTTGTCACGATCATCTAGTATCTCTCTTAGCGCCTCCTATAATATTACATACAGAGTTACACCCCCTGTAAATAGGGGATAAAATTAGCGATGTTTTTTGTTCATGTGCTTTTTGATAAAATAAAATGAATTCATCAATTTTCTTCACAAAAATGGATAAATATTATCGAATGCATCACAATGGTAGACAGTAGTATCGAAGGTTGGTACAAAATGACAAGTTTACAGAAGATATGTCTGAGATTTGAGTAAAGAATTTTCGTCCGGCACAAGATTCAGCGACGGCCAAATTTACCGCTTCCAATGCATCCAAGCGTAATATTTAATTTATGTTGGTACAAAAAGCAACAAGATTTTATTAAGAGGCCACTCCCGTTAAGTTATGTCCGAGATTTGAGTAAAGAATTTTCGTTCGGCGCCAGATTCAGCGACGGCCAAATTTACCGCCTCCAATGCATCCAAGCGTAATATTTAATTTATGTCGACACAAAAAGCAACGAGATTTTATTAAGAGGCCACTCCCGTTAAGCGGTCAGTTGTGAAAATTCCCTTGGGTGGCTGCTTAATGCAGATTCTACTGTAACTAAACAAATATTTTCTATACAAAGAAATACTCTGTTACAAAAATGTACAGATTGTGGTGTTCTTTCCAATGATATAAAATTCAATTGTACAAAGTGCCAACTATATTATAAACAATATTGAAAAGTCAGTTCCACTAAAATTATGATTTTTCTGTCATAATGGTAAAATAATGTGCACAAGTATCCCCTAAGAATTTTTTTTTTAATAAATAGAACGCAAATATAGTCCCTCATGGTGGCAGCAGTGTTCAAAGTAAATATAAATAAAACTGTTAAAAGAAATATCGCCCCAAATGACCGTGACTTCATCGCTACCGGCATTTGACATTTCTGCTTTTGTTTAGATATATGGCTGGAATTGTCGTCTTCTTTGCTTCATTGCGTCGAAAATAGAAATATATACTTGAAATCTTTGACAGTATAGTATTCCTCTTGATTCGATTTAGCTTTCCAAAGTCTAGAATTATTATCGGTAAGTTTTGTGGTATCGTCTGTCTGGAAGCATATCCAAGATGGCGGCCGACACGCTTGTTCACGGCTGGAGTATATGTATTCTTTGCATCATAACGCCAAAAAAAAATATAAATAGTTGATTTCTTTGACATTGTCATATTCCACGATATGCCTGGCAGTAAATCATAAAAAATCTGGTTCCATTTCACTCTCCAAATCATCAGCCGTAAGTGATAACGTGAAAATATTGGAATAAAGTCATTGACACAGTGTGAATTTTCACCTCTGACCTATTACGTAAATACCGTAAGATCCTTTGTTGAAACGTATTTCTTTTTTTCGATAATTAGCGAATATAGCATTTCTTTTCATTTGGTGTTTTACTTTTATTACTCAATCACCATTAATTTAAGAAATAAAAACAATAGAAATCAGTTGATTGATCAGGCACTTTTGTTCGCTAATGCTGTTGTCAAGTATGATGGGTTCGCGAGTTGATTCACTACAGCAAAGTGACAGGTGCGAACTGACTCGCATTCGTCAATTATGGGTTAACATCAGACATGGTTTGTGTTCAATTACTCATGAAAAGAATATAATAAAAAATGTTTAAAGTAATTACTTCTGATTATAATGAACTGTTCCTGAACTGGTGAAGTTAACAATGTTGACTGTTGCAAAACCAGATTTATAACTTTTAAATGATGTAACCATGGCAGCTTCAGAAACATTACATTCCACTTGTATTCCACCATACTGTTAATAATAAACATATATATACTTAAAAATACACAAACATACTGAAAAGGGATAGAGAGAGAAAGAAATAGGATAGGGACATGATAATCTACTGTCAGTACAAGCTTGGGGTCGAAACCACCATGCCACTTAACTCAATTAAAGATCTCATGACTTAAAGCCCACATTTAACAGACAACTGTTTCCCACCCACCCATACAATACTCTTGGCCTTTTTACTGTAGGTTAATTAGGCAGGAGGACCAGGTGGACTGCAATTTCCCCACATTACTTTACTCAGAAATAATATATATTAGAATCTCTAAAGAATTGATAAGTGTGTAAATTTATTCTCACCTCGTTTTCTAGTTTCATCAGACTAATATGTGCTTTATTTATAAAGAAAGGTCCTGTAGTAACTACAGTATCAGCAACTCTAGCCTTAAGTTTCATATCTTTCTGTTCTGGCCAGAATGGTAAACACTGAAAATACAATTCAAATCAGTGTATTTCATAAATGTAGGAAGGAACTGCCATATTAGCATCATTATTTATAGAAGCATTGGAGGTCTTTCAAGTAGATAGTATTGATGTTTATCAAAACAAAATAATTCTTCGTTATACAGCTACACTGAACATGTTCAACGTTTGGCAATGTTAAGACAAATTTGCCAAACCATGGCTGAACTATATATGCATGTTTTAAATCTCAAGGTTGTCAAGGAGTTTTATAAACGCGTATTAAAAATATCTTACTCCTAAAAAGTTTGGGAACCAATGATCTACAACAAGATTGAACATCCTACCTCAATTATTGTGTCTCAAAAGTCAGAATCAAATTGCTCATCTCTGATGAGCCTAAGCAGAAAATGTTCATCATCGAACTCAGTCAAGGCATTCACCTAATTAACACCTACACCAGGTTTGAACATTCTAGCATAACATTAGGAGCAGAGTCATTGTGTCCCAAAAAGCGTAACATACAGATGGAGGAACCCATTTTACCGTAATAGTCTCCAGCTTTCTTTGAAAGGTGGGGATTGGGAACAGAATCATAAAAGTATCACTGTATTTGTGCAGTACCAGAAACAAGGGTTTAGAAATGGATACATATTGTTTCAGTGAGCGGTATCCAGGTTTGAGGACACCTGTATAGTTTACAAGGCTATAAACTTAATAACACTGTATAAAATTAAACCATGTATACAGTATACCAGGCATAGTTAGAGATCTAACTAACAATATTTAACACTGTATTTTATAAAACTATATATTTACCTCTTGTGGTTGAATATTGAACCATTTCAGTTCTTTAACTTTGTCATTGAATTCAGCACACTGTAGAACATACTAAAACAAAAATAATAAAACAATTAAATAATAGTAAACAGTATAAATGATAAGGTAGTTTAACATGGTAGTTTTATAATAAGCCGTTATTGACCATGTACCACACTTTATCAACATAAAATGATATCAATGTGACAGGATGTTTTTTGTCGGGAATCAAACCTGTGACTCTCAAAATGGAAGCCATACACCTCTACCTTGTGAACCAAAGAGAATTCCCTCGACCAAGTCAGTAGAAAGTAGCCTATTTTTAAACTGAAGACACTGCAGGACAAAACAATCTAGGCATCCCCAGATATACGAACAATCCCACAGCACACTACATATTTACATCCCTCTGCTACATCAACATATATTTTATACATGTACTTACATCAGCTGTATTGAGTAGAAGATAAAATGGTGTAAATGTTACAATCTTTGTTAAACCAGCACTAGTTAGAGATATCTTTACACCAACCTATTAATATCGAAAATAACATCAACATTCATGTACATACATATGAGAGAGAGAAACAGGCTTTAAAGATGGGTTCCCAGAAAAGTATTTATTGGGTGGTTATTTCCAATAAAAGTATGACAATTTTGGTATATATGGAAAGTAGAGATATCCAATCTTACTAGAAAAATACTCTGTGATTCCCCGAAAAACACTCATGGAGCGTATACAGGACAAAAATGTAAGGGTTCCCCTAATCAACAGTCCGACGATTAGGAACTTCTGCACGCATGATGTCAAAGGTCACAAGCGAACATTGAGCGCTTGATGTACAAGTTGATAAACTTTATGAAGAGTTAGACGTACAATACTTTCTGAGATAAAAATGACGGAAAAAGACGCGGGTAGTGGATAATCCTAGAATTTAATTAGGATTCGATATTTGTAATAAATAGTAAGCGATTAAAGACAACATCGTCTTATGTATGCAATGAATTCTCCTCTGACTCCCAAGACGTGACGTAAACATGACCTGGTTTGATCAAATTTTAATAGCAGGGCATTCCTTCGCAATTACAATGTTTGAGAAGGATTTGAAGCATAATTATGACAAATTAATTAGTTTGAATATGTTTTTGGTCCATATATACCATTAAATCACCCAGTTTGTACGAGGGAACCCATCTTTAATAGTCACTTAACACAAACTAAGTTAAATCAGAACATATGCTACCATCTTTATTTCAATAATTTTTTTTTTTTGATTTTTTTTTTTAAAGCAATGGGAGGAAACCGTAGGAAACAGTGTTAGGCAGCCAATCTAAATCGTCTGTGCTTGTCATTACATTTTTTAATGTCAAAAGTAAGAGTCTAGAGTTAATGAAAACAGAGAGGCAACACGACAATTTACCATAAAAAATTAAGATTTTTTGATAGGGGTCTTTCCTATATGAATATATCTATCAACTGCAAGTTTGTGACCATTTAAAGATAGGTTGCCAGGCAACGAAACATACGCCCACAGCAGCTAAATCGTCCGGGCAGTCAACAAGAGTTGTCGCATATTTTTACTTTTTTCGGTAATGAAACATCTATAATACACTAAAATCTGATTAAGAGCAACAATTCAGAAAACCATTAGAATTTGTTTGTTTTTTTATAAAGTTCTGCCCCATGCTAACGTTTTGTATACAAAACTTTTAATATCATGAAAATCAATATACTTCTTCGTCTCAAGATCTTAAACTCTGTGTATCAATCTGAAGTCAATCGGATGATAACTTTAGCCTTTAAAGCGTCACAAGATTTTGCAAAGTGATCAAGGGCCATAACTCTGGCAGTAATTATCGGAAATCGCTGAAAATCAATAGGCTTCTTCGTCTCATGACCTTAAACACTGTGTATAAATTTAGCTGTTCAAGTCATAAAGATTCATTGAAAATCAATATACTTGTTCGTCTCCAGACCTCAATCTGAAGTCAATCGGATGATAACTTTAGCCTCTAGAGCGTCACAAGATTTTTCAAAGTGATCAAGGGCTATAACTTTGGAAGTAATTATCCGACATCACTGAAACTCAATATGGTTCTTCATTTCATGGCCTCAAACACTGTGTATAAATTCAAAGTCAATCGGATAGTAACTTTAGCCTCTAGAGCGTCCACAAGATTTTTTGAAGTGATCAAGGGCCATAACTCTGGCAGTAATTATCGGAAATCGCTGAAAATCAATAGGCTTCTTCGTCTCAAGACCTTAAACACTGTGTATAAATTTAGAGTCAATCGAATATAAACTTTAGTCTCTATAGTGTCCACATTTAAATGTGGGCGTATAAAAATTATCTGCAGTTAAGATTTTTACCTCATATATCCTTTCTTCAGATTTATTTTTACACTGTACTGTTCCTGAACTTCCTACAGTATCTAGAGAAAATTTATCAGACCATTCTGTAGTTTCTCCTAATCTTAACATAGCCTGTAAATAGTTTAATATATATATATGTATATTTTAATAAGATAAAACAAAAGTACTATAACAATTAACAAAGGAAATAAACATGATCAACTGTTTAAGGTGACATTAAACAAATTTACTTCTTTCAGGCACAGCCACAAAACAATACAAATAATAAGATAAATTATCTACAAGTAAATACAGACACTATCTATTTCAATAACAGAAGAACATAATTTTCTAACAAACAATAATTAAATTATGACCTAAACCTCTGTTAAATTAGACTTGTATTAATTTTAAAATATATTCACACCATAAAAAAAAAAACATGAGGCAACCCCCCCCCCCCTTTTAAAAAAGATTCTAGATGCTTCAATCACCTGAATTACGCTAATAGTAAACACACATGGAAAATTTAACCTGCTGTTAATCCAATAAGTTTTTTACTATATCTGAAGTTTAATGAAAAATTTATTGACTAAAAAAGAGTGGGTATCAAATCGATCACATAGGAAGAAAATTTAAAAAAAAAAAGAAAAAAAAAAACTAAATAAATAAAAGAAAAAACTTTACCACCATAACAAATAAAAACACACAGACAGAAAAATACAAATTCAACAAAAATAACAAAGACAATTATGTCCAACGACTGATTAGTTATCCGTTTATTTCACAAATATATTTTGGATATGTATGATCAAATTTGGTTTGAAGTAATCTGGATAACATGTCAGAAAATACTAACAACAATTTCTCCCATTTTATTTGAAGTCTTACATTGGGACTTCATTATTTCATCTCATTTGAACGGCTAGATACTGCTTGCCCTTGCCAGGCCATCTGTCCTGCATCACTGACAAGGGGAAACCACACCAAAAAACCCCCGAGACCTCTTGGTTAGTGAGCCAATGTCTTATTCACTAACTCACACAAATTTTGTGGGAAAACTAACTGACTGACAAAGGCATGCACCAAGAACATGAATTTTGAAGTGGGACACTCACGAGGATAGGCAGGCGATTGAGATGACCCTACTCATATCTTAAAATAACATCAGTATGTAATGCAATGGTAATATAGACAAAAAAAAGTAAATTCTGAACGTGCGATCTGGTAGGAACAGTAATTATTTAAATTGTACAGGGACGTATATTTACAGATTTCGCTGTAAACACTATAGATGTATGTTGAAATATTTTCATAACCCAAGCCATAAAGATTTAACATGCAACTCTGAAAAGATTTGATAATTTCAAGATGTAGAGTTTGAGATTATTAAAACAGGGTTTTGTTAGCCCCTTAATACCTGACATAGATTTTGTTTCTCCTTCTGTTAGAATGATGATGAATATATGTTAGTTGATTAATATAAATAACATCATTTAAAACAAAAACAACCCCAAAACACACATATATATAAAACACATTAAACCAATAACATCCTCATTTTATTTTCAAGACATTAAACAGGCATTATGTCAAGCTAAATCTGCCTATAGCAGGTCTTTCTTTGGGCCTTAAATGTTATAATAATTATTAATTAGACATTTATTAACGACGATAATCAACTCTCGATGCCATCAGATTGCTCCAATTTTAAGTAGATTAGAATGGTTCGGCCATTTATTGATTGAATTTAAAAATAGAGAAGCGAGGCTAAGACTTGAATGACCAGTACGGTGGTTACGATCAATGCACACATTGATAACTTCGCTCAAAATAAAGTAATTTGAATGAAATTTTCAAAATATTTATTTTGCATGATCTATTTTTGAAACACATGTATTACTACTAGAATGGCCAGCTCTTTATCTAAATCTTACATAATGCCCTTTAATAAGAATGTCTAAACTCTAATCAAGGTGCAGCCAACTACTAATGAAGTCTAAGCTGTGAAACATTGCGTGGCAACATCATAGATACTTACAACACACACACATAATACATCAAATTCAGATGTGACTAGTTCTGGCTAAATGGGACATATTCCAAGCTCCTTAATTTAGCATCATGGTACAAAAATCAAAAAAAAGATATGTTGCCATGCATTAAAATATAAACCCACAGCAGCCAAATCATCCTAGCAGTCCTTAAAGGTGTTACATGTTTATTTTGTTGTAGATAAAAAGAGCATTTCGAGTTGTCAGAATCCCTGACAATAAATACCTAGTAGGCTTTTTCGTTTCAAAGTGATCAAACTCTAAAATTGATTATCAGAAATATGTTTTGAGGGTTTTGGTTTCATTTAGCTAGATCTGGTCACATATATATTATATTTTATAATGAGAAGATGTACATCTATAATGATATTAAAAAACGGTTACACAAAATCTTGATAATGATGAAAAAGATTTCTACTGTCTGTGACTGAAAATATTAAAATGTTCGGAAACATTTTGGACAGTGACAAGAAAATTTGACAGGAAGGGTAATAGTCATATTTTTTGTGCTTGAAAACCATATGAGGACATTTTTCGAAATGCTGTGCTTATATATATGAACCATTGATTGTTGTCCCATATAATAAACTAGTGATTGTTATCTTGTTATTGTATAATAAACCAGTGATTGCTGTCCCGTATAATGAACCAGTGATCGTTGTCCCATATAATAAACTTGTGATTGTTGTCCTGTATAATAAACCAGTGATTGTTGTCTCGTAAAATAAATCAGTGATTGTTCCATATAACTGTGTTAGTTCTGATATATACACACACACACACTCATACATATATATATATATATATATATACACATGTTGTTGTATTATCCTAGTAACCCCATAATTAATGCATGCTATCATATTCATATTATTGTATCTTCAATGTAATATGTAAAATATATCTTCTTAGTTCATGCTTCCTACTATTACCATTATAATGAATGTTATGTACAATGATATAAAGCAATGATAAAATCTACACTGTTATAAATGTTATTCTACCAGTAATCAAATGATGCAATTGAGAAGCTGTAATAAAGTCATTGTTTACCAACAGACAATGTTTATACTCTATTCTTTATGACATTCAACTAATTTCATGAGAAATTCACATTTACTGCTATCTATATAGCAGTATTACACACAAACACCGAAAATACATCATGTTTCATTTTTGTATTTATAAAAGTTTTATTTTTGTATATTAGTTGCAAGTTATGTCAGAATCAAAAGATTTTATGACCAAAACAGAATAAAAACAGAATAAAATCTAGATTTTTCTTTAATATTTGTGATCATTTTACTTTAGCTTATTACTTACATTTATGTATGTTTCTACCAAGTTTATTGTAAAGTGCTTTTGAGCACTCTTTGTGGAAATGGCACTATATAAAAATTCTTAATAATAATCATAATAAAAGTTTAAGTTGAGATCATACAGAATATAGTATAAAATAATGATAAGTATGATACAGTCGAGTCAGTGCAATCTATAAACTAACAATCTCAATATTCACAATATATATACATACTTTACCAATCTGTTTCATTTCTTTCACTTTAACAGCTTTTTTATCATCAGACTTTTCCGAATTAATTTTCTGTGACAATAGTTTATTTGGTTAAATTTTACTTGATGATTTTGAAGCATTATTTATAATGATCAGATACTATTTTAATGATATGAGAAAAGGAGTAAAAACCGTATTACATTTGTCTATTCAATTTAAAATGTACTTGGCAGACACAAAAATGACCTTTACAAGTAAGCATTTGTTATATCTAAAACTGTAATAATTATGTTCATATTTTACTACTGAAGAATATCATAAAAGGATGAATTTTGTCTATATTTTGGTCAATAATGAAATTTATACAAGATATTATTGTGACTTTATGCATTGGTGAATGGTATATAAATCTTAAATATAATTATGTATAATGAATTGTAAATCATTGTTAGTTATATAATAAATAAATAAATGCTTCATTTCCAGCATTTATTTAGAATGAATTGTATATATGGTATAAATATATATATATATATATATTTGAACCAAAAAGAGAGCTAATCAATATATACTTACTTTTTTCTTACTAAACATAGATTTAGGTTTAAATGAGAACAAAATACAGCCATCAAATATTGGTGGATGTTCAATAGGTTCATTGGAATCAGAACCCTGTAAAATTATGCACAAAATGAAAATTAATTCTAATAGACCATGTCAACAAAACTATGCACATTAAAGATATGTTGCCAGATAACAAAACATATGCCCACAGCAGCTAAATCGTCCTAGCAGTCCACAAGGAAAAATCCTTAGACCGTATATCATTGCTGAAATTTCACTAATCTAAATAATTAATAATTCATGTAAATTTCATACAAGGGCAAACTAGGTCACTTCCACTTCAGGACTAACACATGGTTTAATTTTAATTCAAAAATTCTCTAGCTCTTTGGGGAGCTTTAGATGCTAGAGGAAACTGGAAGACCCAGAGAAAACCAACGACCCTACTCCTTTTCACGTACAAACGTTGAATTTGATAATTAAATAAAGCATATTAGCTAACACAAATAAAATAAGTTGTTTGCAGTCATTTTATTTGTCTTGATGAAAAAAACTAAAACATAATGCACGCCCGCCCAACTATCGATATGTAAGTCATAAAAAAAAATGTTGCATGTGCCCACATGCTTCATACTGATTTAGATGAAAATACTTATTTACGGGTCTTGACTTTATTATAGATATTAAAGGAAGAACCTCCATTTTTGTATCACATGATATTAATTACCTCCTCTGATTAAATAGAAGTTCATTCGTCCACACAGAAATCCTTGGTCTCACACGCAATTCATGATTTACTTAGCTACCTACAGGGGTGACTTATACAGGGTTTCCATAAAATAAGTCTACAATTTAACACATAATATGTACCACTTTTGGATCGTCATGTCTTTATTGATTTCCATCCAAATTGAGAAAGGCAGTATACCTGTTTCCCTGTGGACTATTATTGGAGTTGAAAAGGCGACAATGGTCGCTGAAGTCACTCCTATTGCTTTGCCGGTATTTATGTAATATTTTTGATTAAAATTATTTCCCTTTCAGTCAGTGTTTAGTGCTTGACAAATGATCGCTTTCTGTAATGATCTCATTTAAAAAAAAAAAGAAGACCGCTCTCCTGCCCTTACAATTTTCAGCAATAGCCAAATTTTACTCTGCACTCTAGCCAGCAATGTGGTTAAAAAAAAGAAGAAAAAAACAAAGGCTGCCAGGCAAGATAATCCCACATTTTGCAAGAGATGGATAGAGAACAAACTAAAAAAATCCCATTATTTTTCGTACAATCAGGGGCCATAATTAAAGAAGTTATGGACTGAAATGCGTGAATATCGAAAGGGACTGATATCTTTGGGATATAAAGATTTCGTCAAAATCGGACAAAAATTGTGACCTCTATAGGGTCCACAACCTTCGTATTACAGACTTGTACACAATTTGAGTGCAAGGAGTTGCCATTTGTTGGGCAGTTTTGGTTCTATTTTCACGAAATTCAAACTCAACCATCATTTGGGTGTAACAGTGATACCGGTACATTCAAAAGTTTTTTTTTAAATCGGATAAAACTTGTAACCTCTAGAGGGACAACAAGCTAAAAACGTGATTTTTCATACAATCGAGGGCCACCATTCAGGAAGTTACGATCCAATATGCTTGAATATCGACAGGAACCAAGATCTTTGGGTTATAAACATGTATTTCAAGTTTGATCAAAATCGGATCAAAATTGAAGAGCCCCGGGGAAGAACGATCTAAGTCACTTTTTCAACGAACTCCAGTTAATGGCGCCAGCTGGTAGCAAATTGTAAAAGCTTTCTGTGGAACAATCAATTTCAGGTTAAAACGATCGGAGTCACATCGAACCAAGGCCCTTCTGAAATGGTCTCCTGGACAAATACAAGTCCATCATATTTATTTAACCTTAATTTGGCTGAAAAGTGGAAGTCAGTTGTTGTACTGGTAATTATGATTTGTATTAAACATCATTTTGAAGTTGTAATTACACCCAATCGTTGTTCTGTTCGCGTCAAGCATTCTCGTCCAAAAGTCTGTTTTGCTTTTTATGTGAAAAGACAAAAATGTGACTTGGATCGTTCTTCCCCTGGACTCTTCAATTGTGGCCTCTAGAGGGTCTACAACCTTAATATTATTTACAATATTTGCATACGAGGGACGTCCATTTTGTCTGGCAGTTTTGGTCCGATTTTCTTATAATTCAAACTCAACCATCATTTGGGTGTAATGGTGATATATTCAAACATTTTTTTAAATCGGATAAAATTTGTTACCTCTACCTCTTTAAGTTATAAACATACATTTCAAGTTTCATCAAAATCGGATGAAAATTGTGACCTCTAGAGTGTCCATAAGCTAAAAATATGACTTTTCGTACAATCAGGGGCCATAATCCATGAAGTTATGGTCCGATACATGCCAGTATCGAGAGGAACCAAGATCTTTGGTAGATAGATCTAGATTTCACGTTTCGTCAAATTTGGGCATATAAAGAGGCCCCCCCCCCTTCCCTAAATTTTTAGCTGTCAGTTACCAGAGAAACATTACATTTATTTAGTGTGTCCTTAAACAAACATTATGCAAGACCTAAATCTGTCTATTAGGCCTGAAATGTTATCTAAATTATTAATTAACCTATCCAGACCATAATAAACTCTAGATGGCATCGCTAGCCTGCGATCTTTAGTGGACTGTGAGCCGATTTACTGCATAAGTTTACTTCACGATTTAACTATTAAATGGATAATCGAGACTATGCTGTTTATCGTACTGACTTTAGTAATGATGATCAAGGCTAGGCGGAAATTCAATCGCTTTGTTCTCAGTTCATAGTGGATCAATTTGAATGAAATTTTCATCAAATTGCCTTTACATTATCTAGTTTTTAACTATTATACTGAGAACTGCCAACTCGTTATAGAATCTCCCATAATGTATCTTTAACTAAATACAGATTGGGTGATAACTTTTGTTGTTCGAGCCTTCACAAGGGTCTACAAAGTCAAACAAGGCCCATAAGTAATTATGAAAATCAACGAAAAAATAGGCTTTTTGTCTGACTAATGTAACCAACATATATATAAATTTTAAAAAGATTGGATAATAAATGTAGTCTGTGATAGACAGAGACTTACAACCACGTTTCCAAGAGGGTATATAACAAAAATGATACAAATAATTTACCTGATAGAACAAGGTTTGACCAGTTTTATTTATCATCCAATATGGACTGAACAAGGTTACATCAAAACTACCATTATTTATTTTAGTATGTAGACCAAGATCCTGAAAAAACCCCAAAAAACATGTATATGTAGGTTCATTTAAAATTATAACTTATGGGATACCTTGTTGTTAGATATGTACAAACAAATAAACACTTAAAATAAAGATAGGTTGCCAGGCAACGAAATATACGCCCACAGCAGCTATATCGTCCGTGCCGTCAACAAGAGTTGTTGCATATTTTTACTTTTTTTCGGTAATGAAACATTTATAATATTAATACATTAAAATCTGATTAAGAGTAACAACTCATTAAGTAATTATCAGAAAACCATTAGAATTTGTTTGGTTTTTATAAAGTTCTGCCCCATGCTAACGTTTAGTATAAAAAACTTTTAACATCATGGATTTAGCTGTTAAGTCATAAAGATTCATTGAAAATCAATATTAACTTGTTCGTCTCCAGACTTAAACTCTGTGTATCAATCTGAAGTCAATCGGATGATAACTTTAGCCTTTAGAGCGTCACAAGATTTTTCAAAGTGATCAAGGGCCATAACTTTGGCAGTAATTATCCGAAATCATTGAAAATCAATATGATTCTTCATCTCATGGCCTCAAACACTGTGTATAAATTTAAAGTCAATCGGATATTAACTTTAGCCTCTAGAGTGTCCACAAAATTTTTCAAAGTGATCAAGGGCCATAACTCTGGCAGTAATTATAGGAAATCGCTGAAAATCAATAGGCTTCTTCGTCTCATGACCATTAAACACTGTGTATAAATTTAAAGTCAATCGGATATTAACTTTAGCCCCTAGAGTGTCCACAAGATTTTTCAAAGTGATCAAGGGCCATAACTCTGGCAGTAATTAGCAGGAATCACTGAAAATCAATAGGCTTCTTCGTCTCATGACCTTAAACACTGTGTATAAATTTAAAGTCAATCGGATATTAACTTTAGCCTCTAGATCGAGCGTCCACAAGATTTTTCAAAGTGATCAAGGGCCATAACTCTGGCAGTAATTATAGGAAATCGCTGAAAATCAATAGGCTTCTTCGTCTCTTGACCTTAAACACTGTGTATAAATTTAAAGTCAATCGGATATTAACTCTAGCCTCTAGAGCGTCCACAAGATTTTTCAAAGTGATCAAGGTCCATAACTCTTCGTCTCATGACCTTAAACACTGTGTATAAATTTAAAGTCAATCGGATATTAACTTTAGCCTATAGAGCGTCCACAAGCAATTGTGGACGCCAGACCGATGGCCGGCCGGGGGCGACAACAATATACGACCACATTTCAATGTGGGCGTATAAAAAGTAGATATGTGGCATGTTAACAACCATATACCTGTCTGCAACTTAGTCAAGATGGTGCTAAGTTAAAAGGGGGTCAACTAAATATCTGTTCCATATATAATTTAAGTTCAATATCTCAAAGTAGTATGAAAAGAAATCAGGAAAAGTTGAAATTCCATGAAGTTTGGCAAGTCCTAGAAAAAATAGGTCCAATGATACATAACTTTATTTGTAAAAACCATAATACACCTTCTTTATGTATGGCTATATGTCTAATCACCAAGTCAATGGGCCATAACTCCAGTTGAAGTGGGTCGAATGGACATTACCCCAAGATCGTTTGTAGCTACCCATAATACACCTACATATCAAGTTTCATTTTAATATCTTAAAGAACTACAAAACAAAGTCAGGAAAACTGAATCTGAAAGGATGGAATGACAGATTGACAGAAATATGGCGGAATAACACCACAAAACCTTATTTTAACTTTGAGACAGAATACATGTACATTCTGCTTATTCTGTCAAATAATAGATGAACAGTTTTATGAAATATTTACAAACTGTTCTAATCTTGGAGGTATGTTTGTGCAAAATAATTTATTAAAACAATTTCTACTAACCATTGTTATTTTAGTACTGCCTTCATAAGTTTCAAAATTCCATACAGATAATTCGGGTATGTCCATCTTAAGAATTCTCTTTCCCGTCCATTCTCTTCCACGATAATTTGGTAGCTGAAAAAGTGTGAAGGTAAAAGGTCTGATTTATAAAAGGAAATAGAATCTAAATACATTTTAATGTTAATATTTAGCAAGACAGTTTTAAATCAAATTAATGGTGTTATATAAGAATAAGAAGTATTCCAGGAAGCACACCCAACATATCTGACCCAGTTATTAAGTTGCAAAAAGCACACTCCATTTACAAACAGTAAGCTGATTTGCATTAATTTAACAAACCCAAAAGAAAATAAATTTAAAAAATCTGAACAAGCAAAGCATGAAATAAATTCAAGCATATGTGTCTGAATTAAAAGATTTTGTTACTTAGATAAAATCATAACAGAATTGTGGCATAACATAATAAGAAATTAAGTAAAGAATCATTATTAACTCATGCTGTTCAATGATCACAGCTATTCTTTACCATTCTCTATGTTACTTTAAGATTAAAAACAAATTTCATTTTCATTTTATTTCTTTTCATAAAAGCTAATCTGAGAGGTAACTTTATTCTAAAACGTACATTAAATATAAAATTTGAATATCATTTGAAAATTAAATTTGTCCATAACTTCGAATAACATTTGCAAATAATATTTTATTATATAATTTCAATAACATTTTCAAATAACATTTGCACATAATTTATTTTAAATATGCATACAATTTTTTTTTCTAATTTGAATAACATTTGCATATATATTTTCCTCTAATCTGTATAACATTTGCACATATTTTTTTTTATAATGTACATTAACCTATCATTGTAACATACTCATTGTTAAATAAAGGTTCACTACACTAAATTATATCTTGGATATACATTGGATTTATCATGAAGATTATATATAGGAACTAACACTAACAATATATTTTATCCTAAAATGGGAATTAGCTATATTTCGTTATATTAAATCTTTATATCTATGTAGAAACTATATTTTATCATCCATTCATAAAAGCTTGATCTAGCTATATTTCATCACTCATTCATAAAAGCTCGATCTACTGTTTAAACAATCGTAAATTTTAAACGGATTTCTTAAATTGTGAACTACTTAATAATTGTTATAAAAAACTTACTTATGTGTTTGAAATCACCTCCTGTTAAATAAAATCCATTGCACAATTCATTATTCCAAAAGTTCTCTCTTGAAAAGTCAATGTTTTTGCTTGTTTTTTCGACAATGTTCATTACAACATTGCACATGTCACGTGATGAGCTAAACCATCATAAGATGTTGAAGGGGGGGGGGGGAGGGAGGCTCAAGGTTGACAAATTTTGACAATCACGTGTGTTGCAAATCAAACCAACGTGCGACCTTTCCAATCATTTGAGTTTGGGCAACAAAAATAGCAACTGAAGACAATAATATTGGAGATAATTCGGAAACAATTGATTGTCAGTCTAATAAATTATATTCACAATGAATATATCACCGATTACACAGATACTCATAAATATAATATCATCCCATAATTGTAAATACCCTGTATATTATATATATTTTTATAAATTATATTACATCCCTGTCAATTATAGGCAACTTATATCGCTAACATTTATAAACAAAGTTTTATGATTACCATATGAAATATGAAAAAAAAGGTCACTGGTTCTCAATAATTTCCATATTTAATTCATGTTCCGGCTGTTCATGTCAATAATATTCTTGATCAAATTACATTTTTTTTTTAATTGACAGATACTGAAATCAAAACATTTTTGATAAGAATAGTTCAGGATGTCTAAACATTGTTTATCGTCTTTATAAATATGTATTTACAACAAAAAATCACTCGTCAAAAGAAGCATCACAGATTGCATGTATTATTGGGCCTTATGCAGGGTTCTTAATCCATTTTGAAAAGAACCGGCCAGAATTAGGTCAAATGAGGTTCCGGTAGGAAATGAGTTAATTATAAGCTTCCATTCCCTTTAATATAACGAGACTTCTACAAAATAATTCTTGGTATTTTGTTACGGAGAATGTCATATTCTGACCACAAAAATAACAACAATTAGGTACACCATTTGAAAATTTTCCATATTTAATTCACGTACCAGCTTTCAAGTTCACGTCAGTAATACTCCTGAATAAATTACTATCTTGTTTATTCGATGAAATATTCGTGTTTCATCAGTCGATGATCTAAAATATTAGCGTTTTTCTACTATTGCCAGTATCAGAAAATGCTGCAGCCAAAATAAACTGATACGGCACCATGGCATTTCTTCATAATACAATTTGGGTCCGAGAGCAATAGCTTATTCATACATAAAATTTGAATTGTCGTAAAAGAGCCAGACACCGTTACGATAGAAAAGCCTTGCTGTCACCCCCTTGCACGAAATGATCTATCCCGATAAGTGACATAATTAGCTTCCAGTTTTGTATTTCTCGATATCCAAGATTGTGATGAGTTCAATTTTTCAAGAGAGAACTTTTTTATTCGCAAGGATATTTAGATGTACAATGGATTTTATTTAACAGGAGGTGATTTCAAACACATAGGCAAGTTTTTAATAGCCATAACTAAGTAGTTTGTTCATAATCGAGGAAATCTGTTTAAAATTTACCATGGTTCAGACAGTAGCTATATTTTATCATTCATTCACAAAAGCTTGATCTAGTTATATTTTATCACTCATTCACAAAAGCTTGATCTAGCTATAATTGATGTTTGTACTAGCCTGATGTTCTAAACCTACATGCACAAATACAACAAAGATAATTTCTTTATGATATCAGCATGTACATTAGAATTTGAAATATTATTCTTCTTACATTTTATTTAGGAAAGAAGAAATTAGAATACATGCAGATAATAAATTGAGACAAAGCTAATATATTAGATTGAACTGAAATAAAAGTATTAAGCATGTCATAACTCATAACAGTATACTTAACATTAACATGCAACATGCAGAATAAAATGTGTATACTCTTGAGTGGAAGATAAATTTTAATTTCTAAAATAATCTGTCTATAACAGAAATATGCACCCCAATACACACACAATAATCAGATAAATAATTCCATGTGATAAAATCTGCATAAATAAAAATTAACCCAAAAATATAACAGATTGTGTGCAAACTCAAGAGGAAGAATTAATCTACTTAGAATGCAGATCATCATTTGTCAAAAGTTGAAGCTCTAAAAGCAATCTCAGTCTAAAAATGGTTCATTCTATTCGTTATTTACAAAGTTATGTTGAACTAAAAATTTCACAACATCTGATATCCTTTGCAGACAATATAATCAGGCAAGTGCCATATATAAATGTTGGGTAATATTTTCCGACAGGCCTGTTTTTAATGTCTGAATGAAAGCTTGGAGATACCTACCACTGATATTTTGATTCTGTTTTCTTAACTAAATAATCAATTTGAGTACATTTTAGCATGGATTAACCCATGCTCACGACAGACAACTTCAACAAAATAAACATAACTTGTGATATTAAACATTTTTAGTCTAGTTATCGAAATTTTGACAGATGCATGAACTACTACTCAAGAGTATACAAATTTGAAATAACATCTAAGGTTAGGTATATTAGTAAATATAAAAATAATGATAACAATAATACATAATAAATACATGACATGATGTTAAAAACATACCACTATCTCCAAGGCCTGCAGTTGTTATGGAGAATGGTTAAAATGTGAGTTACTTGGGTTGATGAATTAAGAGTTATTATTGATGATATGATAAATGTTTACACTAGGATGAAAAGTTTAACCTCATTTGCAGGTTTATCTCGTAAACATAATGGGGTCTGTCAGTCCCTCTAATATGCCCACCAGAAGCAAACTTGTCCTTGCTAGCTTAAACTAAGTGTCAAAAAAAATTCCAATTGACTTTTTAACAATCCCACTATGAACCCTATCACATATCTGAGCTTAAGGATTCAACACTTGATCATGGTGATATTCTACAGTTTAACCATGGCTTATTCAAATGTAGAAAACATCAAAATTTAACTGAATATATAAATAGAATTAGACCAGGCAGGCAGGATACGTCCACATTTTGCAAGAGATGGATAGAGAACAAGCTAAAAACAAAAATGATTTTATGTACAATCAGGGCCATAATCCAGAAAGTTATGGTCTGAAATGCGCAAATATCAAAAGGGAATGAGATTTTTGGAATATAAAGATGTTTTAAGTTTCATCAAAATCGGATAAAAATTGTGACCTCTAGAGGGTCCATAACCTTTGTATTACATACTTATACACAATTTTAGTACAAAGAGCGGCCATTTTGTCGAGCAATTTCATTTCGATTTTCCCGAAATTCCAATTCAACCTTCATTATGGTGGAATCGTGATATATCTAAATGGTTTTTAAACCATCACTAGTGTATAACTGTGATATATTCACACGTTTTTTTTTTTTAAATCAGATAAAAATTGTGACCTCTATAGGGACTACAAGCTCAAAACGCGATTTTTTTGTACAACCAAGGGCCATAATTGAGGAAGTTACGATCCAATATGCGCGAATATTGAAAGGAACCAAGATCTTTGGGATATAAACATGCATTCCAAGTCTCATTAAAATCGGATGAAAATTGTGACCTCTAGAGGATCCACAACCTTGATATACCATACTTTACACTATTTCAGGATTTGCATACAAGAGGAGGCCATTTTGTCCGGCAGTTTTGGTCTGGTTGTTCAAAAATTTGAAATCAACCATCCTTAGGGTGTAACGGTGATATACTAAAACGTTTTTTTAATCGGATAAAAATTGTGACCTCTAGAAGGACCACAAGCTAAAAACACGATTTTTTTGTACAATCAGGGGTCACAATTCAGGAAGTTACCATCCGATATGCGCGAATATTTGGGTTATAACCATGCATTTCAAGTTTCATCAAAATCGGATCAAAATTGTTACCTCTAAAGTGTCCACAAACTAAAAACGTGATTTTTCGTAAAATCAGGGGCAATAATCCATAAAGTTATGGTCCGATACATGCGAATATCGAAAGGAACCGAGATCTTTGGGAGATAGACCTATATTTCAAGTTTCGTCAAAATCAGATAAAAATTGTGACCTGTAGAGTGTCCACAAACAAATTATTGACGGACGTCCGGATGGACGGACAAACAGGGGCGACGGGATAATACGTCCACATGAAAATGTGGGTGTATAAAAAAAAACAGCGGTTGCAGGCAAGATATGCCCACATTTTGTAAGAGATGGATAGATTTCAAGGGCCATAATTCAGGAAGTTACAGTCCGATATGCCCGAATATCGAATTGAACCAAGATCTTTTGGATGAAATCATACATTTTAAGTTTCATCAAGTTGGATCCACAACTTTGGTATTACATACTTTTACACTATTTGTGTACAAGTAGCAGCCATTTCGTTGGGCAGTTTTGGTTTGATTTTCACGAAATTCGAACTCTACCATCATTAGGATGTAGCGGTGATATATTTAAATGTTTTTTAAATCGGATAAAAATTGTGACCTCTAGAGGTTCCACAAGTTAAAAAACGTGATTTTTCGTACAATCAGGGGCCATAATCCAGGTATTTACAATCCAATAATCCAGACGACAATGTACGTCCACATGAAAATGTGGCCGTATAAAAAGTTCTTAATTTGACACTGTTCTTTTTTTCCTCCATGAACTGACTTGTTAGAAATATAAGTTGTAAAATATTGATATGGTTCTTCCTTAAGCCCCAATGAACAATCCCACCGAGTGTTAAAAAAAATATCCACTGAATTGGGTCAACAGTCCATGAATTTTAAATCTGTGATTTGTGTAAGGAAAAACCAGAATTTTTACAGTGATCTTCCCTGTGAATAAATGGACATTCCTTTAAGAAATGTGTAGTGTTCACAAAGAATAATGGACATATGGACGACCAAGGCCATACAAAAATATTATTCTAGTTCTCAGACAATCCTTTTGTGTTTTTATTTTATCAATAATGACTTTGGGCTAAATGACTTCTCATAAGCATCCAATTTCCTGGCACTACAAGTATCTCATCATGTTGTTTACAGGAATACATGATTACCCAGTATCATTTATGATTGTCATTAACATTTTTCAGGGTTGCGTACTTGATAAATGAGCCTATGGATTCATTCAAATTTGTTTATCGAGTTAATTCCTGTAACTGGGGTAAAATATTGAGTGCATGTGCATTAATTAATGAGACTCTTATTTATTTTTTGAAATAGAAACAGGTCATGCAGCTCTTTTTAAGTGTCACGGGGTTATCTGAGAACCAGATTATTTTTTTATATGTCCTAAAATAGTTATATTTCTAGATATAATTTAGACATCCTCAGAATTTTTGGATATAAATCAAGACACCCTCAATATTACTGGATATAAATTAGACACCCTCAATATTACTGGATATAAATTAGACACCCTCAATATTACTGGATATAAATTAGACACCCTCAATATTACTGGATATAAATTAGACACCCTCAATATTACTGGATGTAGAACAATACCCTAAAGGTTACTGCCGATTATAAAATATACAAAAATGGCTAAATATATAAAAATATTATTGATAGAAAACCACAGATATATTATTACATCAAAACATCGCATTGATATTAGCAAGAGTTTTAAAGAAATCTACTGGGTTGGATTTGTAGAGAGATAACAACAGTAAGTGCTTTAAATCAATAATGTTTGAATTTGTTCTGTGAAGGAGAAGGTAGGGACTGGATAGTGAATAACACCAATCTGTTTATATATAATAACAATAAACTTACAGTTAATTCTAGAGTACTCTCATTAACAGAAGCATTAAACAATGGTATGTTCTGTCCATTGTCCAATGCTTGTTGTTCAGAAGTTCCCTGAAAAAAATATTTGATACTCTTACTTGTTAGACAATAATTATTAACTAAAATATCTTAACAACTCGTGAAATATCCTTATTGACATCTTTAAATCGCTAGTGTATATAATGAAGACATCGCATTTTCCAGAAATATAATGCTGTGTATTTAACATATATTTATACAGAACTAAGTACTAAACTGTAGATACATTTTAGATTGCATTCTAAATTTGTGGGGTATGTTATGGCATGTGCGGTATTGCTGGTATCTTTTGCCACTGTCTATTCTGTCTAATTTTCATGAAGCAGCTGTCTTGTATTTACATGTAGTATAACTTTACTTGATGTAAATATTAGTAAAAGATTATGCGGTATGACTTACCTCTAGTAAATATTTGATAGATATAGGCAATAGATTATGTAGTATTACAGTAGGGTGTAGATTTAGTATATAGTATTTAGCTGTCTTCTCATTTCCTGCTTCAAAATATATATCTTCTATTGTTGGACTCACCTGTAACAAAATATTGTCATGAATATTAACTCTATTTTTTTTTATATATTCGGAAATGAAATGGGGTTTAACGTCCTACTGTTCTGCTCTGAGGGAAATTTTGCTCAGAGAGCGGTGCTGCGGCCGACGCTTATATCGATGTCCAGCTGCCAAGGGATCTTTTACGTGCACGCCAATGTGTACGTGGAACCTCATTTTTTCGTCCAATCTAAAAAACTACAACAGTCCTTGTCAGGCCCTCCACAACTGACAAGGGGAAACCACGCCGGAAAATCCTGATCAACATTCTCGACACCAACACCAGGAGCAAACCTGTGAACTTTAGGCTAGCAAGCCAGCGTCTTACTCACTTAGCCACCGTGGCTCTCTTATATATTCGGATAAGATTATTAATACAATTTTCTTAATATATATCTATATAAACATGAAAGTTTGCCTATAAAATAATCACATAATTAACCAGGTAGTTTTTTTTCATCAAGAAATTCAATGATGCTATTTATGTTGTATTTGGTGATTTAATTATAAAAGTGAGAATCAATTATTACTGCCTTATCATGGATGTTAGAAAATTGGTGATTTTCCACCAGTGTTTAGTTAATCAAAAATAAAAACAAACTAAGTTTGAACATATAAACCCTATTCTAATTATACTATTAAGAAAGAAGAACACACTTACATTAAAATATAATGATGGTTGTCCTGGTGAATTTTTACAACATATTTGTTTAATATTACATGTTTCACTATCCTTCCATTTAAAACCCATTTCAGACTCCATATACCTAGAAAATATGTATAATAAATTCAAATACAATTATGTATCATGCTCCTCTCCCACGTTATTCATCAACAACCTCATCCCAACACTCTCCCTCCCTCAATCTCTTCTGACATTACTAATTACTAGAGATATGACCAGCATAGGCTAATGTTCTCATTTCTGACAGAATAAATCATAAAGTAGTGTGCCAACCCAAGATTAAAGAAGATCGAACCTTGGTTTTTCATCCCATCTAAACGCCTGTATATTGTCCCTTGCCAAGCCCTCCGCCCTGCAGCACTGACAGGGGGGAACCAAGCCGGAAATAGTTCTTGTAGGTTCTTTACATTTTAGTTATAATATTCCATCAGTGACATTTAGTCATTGGCTAAAGCAATAAAGAGCATTCTTGTTTGAAAACGTCAACAGAATAATTTTCAAAATGTTGCACAAATATTTTAGTAATTGTTCATCTATAGGTTTATCGATTTATCTACCATTAAATAGTTTAACTATGCTCAATCCATAGTACAAATCGCTTTGTCCATACATAACAAATTAACACACAAGCTTCGATGTAGCTGTCTTTGATCCAATGACCTTCTGACTTTATTTAGCTACAGTTGTATGTTATCTGAGTCTGAAGTGTGGCTATAACACTTATCAGTTACCCTTATGACATCATATCATCTTATAATTTCAAGGCGAAATAATTTGTACTTTGGATACAGCATTGTATAAACTATTTCAATAGTAGAAAATACCAAGACTTCACTTTTAGGGATACATTTATTTGACAATTCTGATCCTAAATAAGCAACCAAAAATATTTCTTAAAAGATAATTCATGAGTGGCATCCACAAAGTCATATGAGAAAATATTCATATTGTGTAAGTGGTCACATATATTTGAGAATTATACTTACTCTCCGCCTAGTGGTTTAAAATATATTTCACCAGATAAACTATAAACAGCTTTAAGTGGTACACTGAATGTTTCACCAGGATGTGCTATACCACATGTCTCTAACTTAGTATCACCTTTATATAATATCTCGACAGGTATATCTAAATTATTTACCATCTATAAAATAAACACATAATTACATTTACCTTTTTATACCCTTGTTTCATGAAATCTACAAATTTGATTTATTCTCACCAAAAAATATATGTAGTTCATTTTGAACTATCTACTTACAGTAAGGTATTTTGAGTGAGTATTTGTTAAAACTTCTTGAAAACCACTGCAATATTTGTATGAAGTGTTAAATGAATTTTACAACGATGGATTGATAATTTATTTCAAATTTTGCATGCTCTAATTTGAGCATTCCACAAATAACTGTTGGCATAGTTTTAATGGATAAAATTTGTGAAGGCAAGATATTCTAGGAAATAGGGATTTTGCTCGTTTGTTTTGTGTTGAACAGATAGCAATAAATGGATGAAATAAACCAATATAATTAGGCTGTATGACAAACTGATGTTGAACTGTTGCACCCACCTGTATAATTGATCTGAGAGATACGATCTTCTGTCCTACATTAACATCTGTACATGCTACAACTGACCACATATCACCTAGATGTGATTTCTGATTGATCTGGAATAATCGTTTCTCCGCTCTTTTGATAATTACTTCCCTTGTTGCTCCAAACTGTTCAACCTGTTCAATACACATTTAAATATAATAACATCTATTCAAATACATAGTTTATGAATACACATTCAAAGATACATTCCAACGAAAGTATAGGGTACTTATTTTGTATATATGGAAAGTAGAGACACCCAATCTTACCAGACAACTACAGGATTACCTGAAAAACAATCATAGTACGCGCACAGGACAAAAATGCCTGTGCCAGTAATGTAAATAGCACTTTTGATGTGCTTATCTGGCTAGCGGTTGTGAGAACATGAGAGACTGCAATGTCCAGTAGACTCTGCTTAATCAGATTCAAACACATTGGTGTTACTGTTTTACCTGGAATATGATTTTCTTCTCAACACCTTGTTGTGTAGATTTAATAACAGATTTTTTAGGTGACATAGACATAACCGAACCAGGTTTTTCATACGTTGGTAGTTGTTGATCACTAGCTAGTTTAACTCGACCATTCTCACTATTTTCAGGACTCTATAAAAATAAAAAGATTAATCTGTACAATATAATACATAAAATTAATAAATCTCTCAATCAAAATATTCACAGCCTTAATCACTAATTTTAAAGCCTAATATTTAAACACAAGTCTAACCAAAGCTTTCCCACTGAACAATAAACACCTGTTACATTCATTAAATCAATATTTAAATAAGAATACTATTAACACCAATAGTAAAAGAATTAACATTCAATTGTTTTTAAATAGAAATTTTATTTTGGATTATTAAGCTTTGATGTTAAATTTATGCTTTATCTTCAGTTAGGAAAAGCCAGATTTGGACTATTTACAGCTGATGTAAAACATTTCTCTACAATTTACAGTATACCAAAGTACAGTACACACCACACCAAGTATTTTTCTGCACCTTTAGTAATATGTTATATATGTAGATATTAAGTGCAAACAATTACTAATTAAAAGTTATTTATATATATACCTGGAAGCTTGTATCAAGTTTTAACAGTAGATCTAACCCTGTCTGGTTTTTAAATATATATGGACTTAATACTTCATCTTTAGATACTGCTTGATCTACCAAATTGTAAGCATCATTAAATGCCTACAAGAAAGAAAATATGTTACAATATATATATTGAGTTTCAGAAAAGATTAGCACTAATTTTAGAAATCTCAAATTCGTATTTTGAATACTATGATTTTCCAATTTCTTTTTACATTATTATCCCGCGCCGAACCATAAAGCATATCTCATAAAGATATCTTTCTGAAACTTTGTACACACATCAACCTATTACAGTAGTTGTGACCTTTGCCATTTAGGAATTTCTGGGATTTATATTTTTTGTGTTTCCATGGAAACAAATTTGACTTAGTTTTTGGTGTACCAATTTGTTTCCGGAGCACATCTCATAAACCGTTTAAGATATCTTTCTGAAACTTTGTACAGACATCAACCTATTACAGTAGTTGTGCCTTTTGCTATTTAGGAATTTCTGGGATTTATATTTTTTTTGTGTTTCCATGGAAACAAATTTGACTTAGTTTTTGGCATTCAAATTTGTTTACAGAGGATATCTCATAAACCATTCAAGAAATCTTCATGAAACTTTCTACAAACATTAACCTATTATATTAGTTGTGCCTTTTGCTAATTTGGAATTTCTGGGATTTAATCATTTTTGTGTTTCCCTGGAAACAAATTTGACTTAGTTTTTATGCACAATTTTATTTCCCGAGCATTTCTCTTAAATCGTTCAAAATATCTTTTTGAAACTTTGAACACACAACATCCTCTTACAGTAGTTGTGCCTTTTGCTAATTAGAAATTTGTCGGATTTAATAATTTTTGCGTTTCCATGGAAAAAAAATAAGCTTAATGTTTAACATACAGCAGCTGATTGAGGTAGGCAAAGGTTGTTGTGCAAACCTTACAGGGAGTAGCGGCCCTGCCTTACCGAGCTACTATGATCAGAGTATGAATCTTCTGACTCATTGATATTCCAAGAAGTTGTTTTTCCTTATGCCTTCCAAACAAGTTCAAGGGCGCGGGATGGTGATGACTTGTCATCTTGTTTGAATGTTGACATACCTTTCCTAGATTACCCAAGACTTCTAAACATGTTTTAGTCATAGTAATATTTAATATATCAGTAGATTTGATATTTATAGTCATTCTGGGTGGAGGTGGGGGTTTAACATCTACAGCACTCTCACCATCTTCACTAAAAGAATCATTCATTGCAGTTACTTCTTCATTACTGGCCAACACCTGACAAGTACAATTCAATAGTTTTATAAGTAAAAAATTTCTGCAAGGATGCATGCTTGTATAATTAATTGTAGAAAGCATTATTCAGCTTTGAACAATATTCCTCATCATAGTTTGATATGGTACTAGACATTGTAGCCAAACAATTAATTATGACATGATTAAAGGCACGTTGCTCACAAATATTTCAGAAGTCTAAAATATGTAATATTTTCAAGTAAAGACTGTTACGTAAATCTAGCAAACACAAGTATTAAAAAACTGGGCTGGCCTGTACAAAAAAAGACAGAATTGTTATTACTTCATCAACTTTACGTGTCTAGAACACACAAAGATAACCCATGTGAATAAATTTTGGACCAAAATGTTTTTAAATAAAAGTACTATGGTGATGTTTAATATTAAAACTTACAGCTAGACCTAGTTCCCAACGATTTACTTTACCATCTTTAACAACAGGTTCTAATAATGGTTCCCATACAGCTAATAACTCATTATAATATGCTACTTCTACACCTAGAGATGATTCTACTTGTAACTGTAAGTGTATATAAAACAAGCATTCTTAGAGCACAGTTGAACTAATACATGTCCTCTACAAACCCAAACAAATTTGACAATACATGTCCCCTATAAGCCCCAACAAATTTGACGATACATGCATATATAGGGAGTTGATACTGTGAATACATTTCTGTGAATATATAGTTCAAATGCATATAGTTGAAATAAACTCTGTAAACAGCATTCTTACTGAATTGGTCTTTAATTATGTAAAACAACATACTAAATTTCAATCAAATATCTCAAACTTTTAACTTAATACAATTACAGAAAATTTAATTTTCAGTTTAAATTACCAAAGGATAAGAATTCAGTAAAATATCTCGAAGTTTATTGAGCATAAAATTCTAGAAAACACAAATTTAATTGGATACATCTGTACTATACATTTAATATGCTGGCAAAACCCCAACTAATAAACTTCAAATGGTAGAATAAAATAAAGATTTGGTCCTCAACCTTAGCCAAAAATAGTAGTCCATTTTCTTAAATTTTGTCAAACAAATAGAATACATCTGTACCTGTGAACTCCAATTTTTCACTTCTCCTTGGAAATATGATTCCACTATGAGAAGGGGGACAGTTCTCTTCCCAATTCCTCCTTCCAGTTTTATGATTAATGATGATAAATTTATAATCATCTGAAAAAACAAAACATTTTACAAAAATATTAACACATAATTAAATATTTAACCAGCATCTTTTGTTTGGGTGAGAATTGTAAGGAGTTTTTGGAATGGAAATATCTGAATCAAAATTGTTTTAACTGGTTACGGCAAAGAAGCAAAAAATAACATAGCAGATTTAGTGATCCTTATCAATTCTTCCAGATATGTTACAAAACAGATTATATATTCCATTTTCCTCAATAATAATATTTTAAAAACAAGGTTTGATATTTTGTTCAGTAATGTATAAGTTCATAAACATCATATTTATGTCCAAATTTAATAGTTCAACCTATTGAATCTATCAACAAAAGATACTATAGAGTAAAAACACATTAATGTCATATGAAAAATAGTATAATGTTTATATGTGTAATAATAAATGACATTTCACTTCACACAGTATCAGGATGTTTTATTTGAGTTATTAGATAGAGGGACACAAATGATCTTTTAAATAAAGACATATAATACCATGCCAATAAAATAATCTATAAGACTAAGTCAAAGTTTACCCGTTTGCCACTCTCCCCTTACATTTAGTTATTATGGGATTATCCAGAAATCAACTTTTATTTAATGTATTTTATAGAACCAGTAAGTTATTTTGTCAATATTTCAATCAGTTGATTGGAACTACATACATGTGTGACAGTAACAGGGTTGGCAGGTGTGATAAAAAAATAGACAGATAAGAGCAAAGTGCACTTAACCTGACTTACACACAATACGGCCGATCAATAAAACCTTATATACTCTCTTCAGGATGCATTCTGTTAGAGCTAAATCTGCCTATTGCAGGTCTTTATATTTTGGCTTCAAATAGTACATAAACTATTATTTAAACATTTATTCACATGACAAGCCTATAATCAACTCTCTAGGTCATTTAAATTGATTGAAATACGGTTGCCATTTAATGATTTAATCTAAAAATGGCAAATATAGGCTAAATCTCGAATAACCGTGGTTATGATAATAAAAACCCTATGCAACATCTTGTCAAAACTTCAAACAGTGATAACTTTGATCAAAATAAAGTAATTATAAAGAAATCATCAATATATTTTTTTTGCATTATCTATTTTTGAACTATTATAACAAGAATGGCCAGCTCTTTATTTAAATATTACATAATGTATCTTTAACGAAGAATGGTTCAATAATTAATTATGTATTATCTACATAATAGACATGACAGAATTTCATTTAACACATTTTTAAATTGGGATACCCTATGGACTTGCATGCAATTACTAAAACTCTATACACGTTTAAACTAAAGATCAATATTAAAGAACAAATCCCACAACATACAAATCATCAATAATTCAAATAAATTTAATTGAAAAAATCATATAAACCACAAGTATGCCTCTTACAAAATTGCTGGTAGTGTATCAAAGTAAAATATAGAAATACAGTGGACTCTGTCACATCCGACATGGTACGGGATCTTTACAATAATTCGGATCACACAGCGTTTCGGAATACCGAGCTTTCTCCAAAACAAGAAATACTGTAACTTCGAAAACCGGAAGTATTTTTATATTGAAGCTTCAATTATACCCTGATCTAGTGGTTGTAATATTGATGTAGTATTTGGTGGCAAAAATTGAATATTTACTTTGCTGTACATGTCACAGATATGGGACGGTGCATTGTCCATAAACAAAAGAATGTTACGTCGTTGAGGCCTCATTTGACGATTGAGTTTTTCAAGCCAATCAGAGTAAATGGCACCTGTCATCCAAGCTTTGCGATTAGCCGACCAATTGACTGGCAGGTTGATCTTGTCCACTCCCTTAAAACATCCTTTGATGTTAAAACGTTCTTTCCACGAAGAAAGCCAGCCATCCAATGCTTTAAAATCACCACAATTCATTTCATTCGCAAAAAACAACGCTTTACTCTTAATTATTGGACCTGATATTGGAATGTTTTTACTTCTGGCGTGTACAAACCACTCACGTGTCATTGTGTTGACGTCTTCAAATTTTGAGTTGATGTAAAATCGTTTCTTACTGCAGGTTAAATTATCGGCAAACTTCTGTTTAAATTCATCTTTACGCTTTAATATGTCTGACACTGTAGCTCGGCCAATTGAATACTTAACGGCTAAATCCTTCTGCGCAGGTCGTGGAACTTTCTCGAAATCTGCTATAAGTTGCCGCTTTACATCTAATGTCTTATCTGTTCAGGCACGCTTTGCAGGATGTTCAGACATTTTGAATACAATAATGTATAATGATTCTTCAATCGTGGCAATTTTTATATAATGTCGCGGTATTTGACATGAGTAACTAAAATCAAATACCAAGCGCATTCTTACAAGAGATTATAAATTGTAAAATAATCAACAAAGAATTTATAACATTACCGGTATCAAAGTAATCAACACAGACCGGCGCTTGCGAGTTTTAATCTCACCGATAATTGATTGGTGATTGCTTGTTAATCTTTTCTGGCTTCACACCCATTGAGTTTTAATCTCACTGATAACTGGATGCTTCACACCCACCGTTTGAAGTACGGATTATACGGTGTCGATTTAATGGAAATTATGTGACGGGACGGCTGATTGATGTCGGAATCCGGAACATACAGAATTCGGATTCACCAGCGATTTTTTGGCTGAAGTAATAAGGAAATAAATCGGGACATGAAAATCATGTCGGATGTCACAGCAATCCGGAGTGATTAGAGATCGGATGTGACAGAGTCCACTGTAGCATGTATAGAATAATTTTGTATTTTACAAATTATTAAAGAAACAGGTACATACTCATTAGCATATATAATTCCATACTTATATTTTGTATCAACAAATTATAAATACAACCCATTGGCAAGATCATAATCAATTTTTGCCAACTTTCTATCAAGTGCAATGTACGAAAATTCATGCTTCTAACAATCATAACAAGGGACAATGGGTAACAAATTAGGAGAGTTTTGTCATAACAAAAAATATAGTAGCATAGGCTATGTCACAGCTTTACAATAAACATACAGGTGGAAATGTCGGAATTTTATATATTTCAAAATTGGTTTCAGAATAATGATGTAATTTTAAAAATTCATAAAAGATGACTGCATCAAAACATTTATTTACTTGTTACAGGCCCATAAGAACCGCCTCCTCCAGCTCCCTATGATTGTGAAATAATTGCTACTTAGTTTAAACATGGCCGTCCCCAGGGCAAGCCATTTTGCTATCTACGCTAGCAGACGCCCCCACCCCACCCCAATATGATTTTGTTGTAACAGACCTGTGTTATTATATGTTATCCAACGAAAAATTGATGAATGCAGAATTTGTGCAAAGATAGAAGCAAATGTTGCCATATGCAGAATTATGTAAATAAAACCTACTATTCAACATTATGTAAAACCCAGGTGTACTCCTGCTAAAAACTGAAACGTTCTTTGGCAAAAAATCCAGATGTAAACTAAGTATGTCAAAAAATGAACAACTGGCAAAATTTTAATTTTAAAACCCTGGGTGGACGGCAATTTACGACCATATTCAAATGTGGGCATATACATATATAATTCTGTGTAAGTCATGCTGAATTAATATGAAATATTATAACAAGCTGTAACCTCTACTTAACCAAAATTTCAATCCAAATTATAACAACAACAATAGGCAGGCAGATATGATAGTTTTAAATGAAATTAAAGGAGATTAAATATGGTAGCAACCTGCTCTTTACGGTGTACTTTGGGAACCTGGAATAGAGTATAGTGATGATGTTTAGTATGAAGTGCTTTCTTAACTTGCTTATTATCAGATCATCATTTACATCAAAAAGAGTTTATATTAGTATTAGAAGATGACAAAAACTTCAGGATTGTGTATAGATAATTTCAAACATGCAATTACTAAATGACAATGAAAATTTACTTACTAATTTATCCACTTTATATTTTTTAAAACGTCTAATAAAGGTAGTGGAAATATACTATACATGTTATATAATTATGAAACAGACTATAGTTTGTACCTGTTCTTCTCTTTCAGAAGGACCTTTAACAGGGCTGGTACTTGCAACACCAGATATATTATCCTTATATCTGTCTGGTAGTTGGATGAACCAGAAATCCTTGTTTTCATTTAGTTTCTTTACAGCCCACAGATCAGCTGGTACACTTTCTTGCTTCTTTTTATCATCTGTATCCTAGAACACAAAATATGCCACATTTGAACAAATACATAAAAAATGAGAAATGGAGTTTAACATCCACTCAATCCAAACTAGGTTATTACGGGATTAACATATGGTACAATTTTATTTTGATTATTTGCATTGGATTCTTCAGTAGTGAAACGAAAACACCACAAGGTTGAACAGGCAACACTACTCCTGTTACCTAGATACTTGGGATCGAAACCATGCCACCTGACTCTAGACAGATCTTGTGATCTAATAGTAAGTGCAGAGGGACTGCACCACACAAAATTTACAAGATAGGTTGCAAGGCAACGAAATATACGCCCACAGCAACTAAATTGTCCGGGCAGTCAACAAGGGTTGTCGCATATTTTTACTTTTTTCGGTAATGAAACATTTATAATACACTAAAATCTGATTAAGAGCAACAACTCACGAAGTAATTATCAGAAAACTATTAGAATTTGTTTGGTTTTTATAAAGTTCTGCCCCATGCTAACGTTTTGTATGCAAAGCTTTTAATATCATAGATTTAACTGTTCAAGTCATAAAAATTCATTGAAAATCAATATACTTGTTCGTCTCAAGATCTTAAACTCTGTGTATCAATCTGAAGTCAATCGGATGATAACTTAAGGGCCATAACTTTGGCAGTAATTCTCGGAAATCGTTGAAAATCAATAGGAATCTTCGTCTCATGACCCCAAACACTGTGTATAAATTTAAACTCAATCGGATATTAACTTGAGCCTCAAGAGCATCCACAAGATTTTTTGAAGTGATCAAGGGCCATAACTCTGGCAGTAATTATCGGAAATCGCTGAAAATCAATAGGCTTCTTCGTCTCATGACCTTAAACACTGTGTATAAATTGAAAGTCAATCGAATATTAACTTTCGCTTCTAGAGCATCCACAAGATTTTTCAGAGTGATCAAGGGCCACAACTCTGGCAGTAATTATCAGAAATCGCTGAAACCAATAGGCTTCATCATCTTATGACCTTAAACACTGTGTATAAATTTAATGTCAATCGGATGTTAACTTTAGCCTCTAGAGCAACCACAAGATTTTTTGAAGTGATCAAGGGCCATAACTCTGGCAGTAATTATCGGAAATCGTTGAAAATCAATAGGTTTCTTCGCCTCATGACCTTAAACATTGTCTATAAATTTAACGTCAATCGGATATTAACTTTGGCCATTAGAGCATCCACAAGCTTTTTTGAAGTGATCAAGGGCCATAACTCTGGCAGTTATTATCGGAAATCGCTGAAAATCAATAGGCTTCTTCGTCTCATGACCTTAAACACTGTGTATAAATTTAAAGTCAATCGGATATTAACTTTGGCCTTTAGAGCGTCCACAAGATTTTTTGAAGTGATCAAGGGCCATAACTCTGGCAGTAATTATCGGAAATCGTTGAAAATCAATAGGCTTCTTCGTCTCATGACCTCAAACACTGTGTATAAATTTAAGGTCAATTGGATATTAACTTTGGCCTCTAGAGCGTCCACAAGATTTTTCAAAGTGATCAAGGGCCATACCTCTGGCAGTAATTATCGGAAATCGCTGAAAATCAATAGGATTCTTCGTCTCAAGACCTTAAACACTGTGTATAAATTTAAAGTCAATCAGATATTAACTTTAGCCTCTAGAGCGTCCACAAGCAATTGTGGACGCCGGACGGACGGACGGACGGACGGACGGGGGCGACGACAATATACGACCACATTTCAATGTGGGCGTATAACAAAAACAAATACACGGACAGGACATTATACTCAGGAAAACACAAACATACCGACAATTCAAAAAAAAGTGAATGGATCCAAGAGTACAAATTAGTCCCATTGGCCACCCAACTCCACTATTTATATACAGTGCACTCTGTCACATCCGACATCGTACGGGATCGTTACAATATGTTGGATTATGCAGAGTGTCGGAATACCCAGTTTTCTCAATACCAGAAATATTGTAACTTCGAAAACCGGAAGTATTATTATAATGTAGCTTCGAACATAGAACTTAGAATCACCAGAATGTTATTCCCTTTAAAAAGTATAAACCTTTCTGTACATTCAAAATTTGATTACATTAATTTTTATTTCATTTAACATGCGTAGGCATTTTAAATAGGTCACGTCTGTCATTAATTTATCTTCTTTGCCGTCTTAAGTTGATCGTATGACGGGACGGCTGATTGATGTCGTAATCCGGAACGTACAGAGGTCGAATTACACAGAGATTTTTTGACTGAAGTAATAAGGAAATAAATCGGGACATGAAAATGGTGTCGGATGTAACAGAGTGCCGGAATGATCAGAGGTCGGATGTGACAGAGTGCACTGTACAAGAAATGTTGTATAACTTACTGGTTGTACAGAGAAACCACTAGATATAGCAGCCATTGTTCTAATAGTAGCTGGTGATATATTTAATATTATATCTGTGATGTTTATATCTATATGATGATCTCTACCATGTGGTGCACTACTCACTAAATTTATATCACAAGCTGGTAAAATCTGAAAATATCAAACAATAACGTATGGTGTTTTAGCTATGTGAACTATTCAATTGGGAAATGTCTATAGGGTAGATCTACAAAACCACCTACATTTTTTAAATTGTTTCAATGGCATTTAGTAATTGAACTGGAGTATACAGGTCACAGTTCTATGGAATACAATTACTGCTTATAACTGAGTGACATTTCGACTAGGCTTGATGATGACTAGAGAAGCCTAGTCGAAACGTCGCTCAGTTATAAGCTGTAATTGTATTCCATAGAACTGTGACCTGTATACTACATTTTTTAAATATACAGACACTAAGCATTTACTTACAGTACATGACATTATCAAGTGATAAAAAGAGGCTAGTATTTGAGAGGGTTGCATGTAACAGGACTCAAATTGTCCAAATTTTAAAATCAATATATGTCAGGGCTAGAAATTCACGCGAATCTCCGAATCTGATTAGCGCAAGGATTCTCACAAGTGCTTACGTTGCATATCTACAAGGATTCACGTAAAAATTTTCTAAAAAAACCCAACAAACTAACTATCTTGGAGAATTGAGGAGTCAGACTATTGAATGTGGGTCAGTGTGAGTAATCAGCTGTATTTTGTCGGCTTTAGCCGATTGGTAAAACAATAAATCGGCAACTGGTATCATAAATCAAACTACTTTAGGCTAAATTACAACGGGGTAATTATTACTTGTTAATAAAGAAGTCAACCAACTTGCTTGTCGGCTACAACAACAGTCATACAACAACAGTCATCCTTAGTGAGAATCATCCAACATGTGGTTCATAATCCGAGTAATTAGCACATTTAACGGTGATTTTGACAATCCGGAAAAAAAACCCCCAAAACACGCTTGCTGATAATTCATAATAGGTTCAGCAAAATACGCCACGTGGCGAATAAAGACGATCTCGGCATGGTTTGCAAATCGCATGTCTTTACGCTCCGTCCATGTGAATTCCAGGTACCAGTAAATATTAAAATAATAACTGGATCATACATTTATGGAATGACTGACCAGTTGTTAGGTAAATTTAAATCTTCATTGAATATAATCCCCTGGTAGAACACCGAATACACGGAAAGAGAAACAGTGGGTATTTTCCCGACAGATCTCAAATGCTGAATTCCAATGACATGTGACATATCGGTTGGAATTAGGTCTATAAACCAGATCTAAACAGCGTTTACCGTCATGATTTTTTATTTTATACACATGCTGACAGAAGCTTAATTTTAAAAATATTATTGAAGGCTATATCATAGTTGACAGAATTTTATTTTATAGCAATTTCAGTTGTGGTTGTCAAGTGATCATTGGGCCGTTTGTCTATCGACAAATGAATTAAAACTCTTGAAACTTACATGACTAGTTACGTGATGGACAAAAGACTACAAATTGTGTTATGAAGAAATGCCATGGTGCCATATCAACTTATTTTGGCTAAGGCATTTTCTGGATATTTCTTTTGACACTATTTAAGTGTTTACAAAACAATCCATCTGATTGATCTATTTTTATCATTGTTCTTGTATTTTGATGTTTTAGATTAACACAATAAACACAATTTTGTTTTTTAGACACTATTATTAATTAAGATTCAGAGGATTCGCGCAAATGCCATATATGTGAAATTCACAATCCTCTTAGATTCTCGCAAAAAATGACAAATTTCTAGCCCTGTATGTATATATTCAAAGAGTTTGGTTACTGGCTAGCAAATATTCTGGGTTTCAAAAATAAGAGTGTTTGAAAAATATGTTCAGACAACTATCTTTTTTAATTAATGCATGTCTTTACTGAGCCAGTTTAAAGTAATTAAAGACTGTCATAGATGCCAATATCGAAAGGAACCGAGATCTTAGGGAGATAAACCTTTATTTCAAGTTTCGTTGAAATCGGATAAAAATTGTGACCTGTAGAGTGTCCACAAACAATTGTGGACGGACGGACAGGGGCGACGAGAATATATTTCCACATGAAAATGTGGGCATATAAAAAAACAAGTGATTAGAGTCAAACTACAAACCTTAGTACCAGGTCCTTCTCTTCTATTATATAAACACGATTTAATCTGGAGATTTTTAATGGCTCCCTGCATAGTTTGTACATCAGGTGTATTTCTCATCTTAAAGAACACTTCAGTCTGTAAAAAAAATGTATCTTAAAAATGACATCCAAGTATAAATCATATATCACTATACATTATATTATATCAATTTATATACACATTTGTGACTGTCGTTTGTCTGCATGTTCTGGGTTAGTGGCTACATCAGGGCTGCTTTAAGGTTGAAATTTGGGGTATAAGGGCAGGTTGAGTTGGGAATTAACATAGCTTAGTAGCCTTTCATTACCATGTCAGGTGCAATGTCGGGTCTGTACAGCATAGTGGCTTCACTAGGGTTGCCCTAACGTTGAAATTTCAGGTATAGTTAGGAGCTATAGTATATAGTATTAAAGCCGCAGGGCAATATCTAAGGTTTCATGGTCTAATCCACACTACATTGCATTCAGATTTATCATTTAATTATACGAAAACAAACCCAAAATATCAACACCAAATAATCTCCTGGCTTGTATTCATTTGGATTAAAAAGAAGCCCATAAAAGTATTTTAGCTTAACTTCATTGAAGTCAAATCCTTCAAATTGTGGGAATTCTATTTAAGGTTAAAATATGTCATGGTGCAGACATTATCTAATAAGAAATATTTCACTTACATCTAAGACAAGTACATTAGTATTAGGTTCAAGCTGATCTTCTAGAAGTATAATTTCTGGTCGTTCTATAGTAAATATTATATTCATTTCACCAACTGGTGGGGGGGCAGGTTCTGCTGGTTTTACTGGTGGTGCTGCTGTTTCTATAATATATAAAGTATATGATAGCTAATGCTCAACTGCCTGCACAGTAGTCAAACCAATATCCCTAACCCAGAAGATTACATTAGTCAAGATACAGGGATCAAATACATATTCAGGTCAGATTTAACAAAGAAAATCTAACTTAGACACTGAATACAGAAATATTTGTATTTCAATGTAAGCAGAGCTTGAACATTCTGTTGACATTAGTTGTTAAGAGAATTTTTCAGTACAATGCGAGTCATTTTTGCACCAGAAATCTGTCAAATTTATGGAATAATTCATAATAAAATAAATGAGTCAAGCATATTGTGATTCCCACCTCACAATTTGATATAGTATATTGTGGAAAGGTGAATTCCCACACATCGATTCCATGAAGTATCATGATAAAACCAGATTACATGATATTAAAACATTTTTCAACAACAATCTACCTTTAGTGTCTTTTGCAACAGGAGCAACAGATGGAGCAGGGGCTAAACCTTTAGTAAAGAAATCTCCCAGTGTCATGAGGAACTCGACACAAACACAGATTTTCAAACTACATACAGTTATAGTTACTGAAATATATAACAATAATAAATATCAATCACCGTTCTTGTCACATACAAAATACAAATTATTATTTTGAGTTTCACAATTTTTTTATAACTTTTGATATATTATGTCTATTTGGACAGTGCTAGTTTTAGTTCCTTCAAAGACAACAAGTTTATTCTTGATCACCATTTAACCCATACAGGGTCTGATCGCTGTTCACATTCTCTTCTCTTCTTTTTCATAGATTTTTTGTGAAATAATTAGCCATTCATGAGCCCAAAGCAGGGAATCTTGGGGATGTTCTAGACACGAGTTGAAATTATGGCAGAAAATCCTAGAACATTAGTTAAAAAAACCCCAAGCATTTGATTTTTGAGAAAGAAATTACCATTTTTATCTTGTGTAGAATTCTGTGTAAAGTCTATATCTATCATGTTATCTCTAGCTGGTCCACCTGCTACTAATATACTTCTAGTTATCATTCTAAAAATTAAAAAAACAAACTTACATTATTCAATCACAGTCATTACAAAAATAATGAATGGTAACTGCCACATGCAAGGACCATATAATAAGATCTGTAGATCAAAATTTTCTTGTGCCAAAACCTTTAAACAGTTCATTTTGGTCAAATGACTTTTTCCTACTGAACCCCAAAAGAGTAGAATGATCTGCCACTGGAAATAAAGAACTCTCCAGATGTTGTTGTTTTTAGATCCAGACTTAAAACTTTTATGCTTAAGAAAGCATTCACTTTGTGACAGTTGCGATTGTTTTTGAGCATGCTCATTCATGCATATTGCACAATATAAATAGGCTATTACTATCTATACAAAAATAACACCCTTCTCCACTTGGATATATTTGTGTCTCTTTAAAAATAATCTTTACAGAGATGTGCATGACCAAAATAACCCACTTTATATTGTAGGGAATAGAGGAATTAAAAAGAAACAAAGTTTGAAATATTCGTTTTATTGATTACCTTGTAATACCCTTCTGTTTAGCAGGTCGAAGATCATCAAGAACAGTGTCCTTAAGAACAACTTTAGTCTCCATGGAGGTATCAGACATCATTTCACCACAAAGAGCCATACCTTGAAGAGCGAATTTACCAAGGGATTTCTCTGGCTTACGTTTTGAAATCCCCCCAGACTGAAAACAATATACAAATCTAAAGTGTTTTTTAAAACTTGAGATAATATACATAATCAGAATATAATACTAATTTTTTGTACTCAAAATCCTTTTACCATCTGGATAATCAAAATCCCCAATTTATTTGCCATGAATATTATAACAATATCTAACACCACTGTAACACAAATTTTAATTAAGAAATTCAATTAAAGTAGTATCTACGTACCATATCACTATCACCAGTATATAATGTAGCAGATAAATTTTTTAATTCAAAATGAAATTTCATTTTAGAATAGGCCACTTCAGATGATTGTGGTTCTGATAAACCATTTATTTTGGGAGCTGCTAAAATTAAAAATATTTCCTAAATAAATATAATTAAGAAAATTTCTATACTTAGTTTGAAGCCCTTTAATCAAATGAATTATAATCATTACTATTTATTATTATCCCACAGCTACCAAATTATGGTGTAAGAAATAGCTTTATTTAACCTTCTTTCACAATGAGAGCTTTATTCTAACCTTCTTTTACAAAGAGACTTCAAAACAAAAGTTAAACTTGAGATGGACATAAATACATGTGTAAGCATAATTATATCTAGATAAGAATTTATTATATTAAATTAAAATCATAATGCAAGGGTCTGATTATACACTTGAATCCAGTTCCTGCAAATGAATATTTTCATTTTTTAAAAAAACAAAAAAATGAATAAAGTCAAGATTTTACCATTAAGATTATCAGCTTTCTTTGCCTGTATCTGTGTTTCAGTTGATTTAACAGGTTCAATGGTTGGTTGTGCTTGTTGTGGTGTACTAATGCCTTGTCCTTCTGTTAGATTTTCATTAGTTAACATCATAATCATTGCAAAATCACCTTGACTTAATCTTACCTAAACAAAAAACACTGATTATATTAGATTTATTCTCAAAATCACCCTGACCTAATCTCACCTTAACAAAAAAAAATCAACAACATTGATCATAACTAGCTTCATTCTCAACATATCTTGTATAAATATGAACTGTAACATTTGTTATATCAGTGGTTTTCTATTTCTGAAACACATAAAAGACTCAGCATGACCAGCTTTTCCTAAATGTCTTCATTTCACAAAACCATATACTTACATCAATAGATTGAAGTATTCCACTGATATCTACTTCAGGATGACCATGATACCAGGCAGCTGATAAATTACGACATATATCAATACTTATAGTTAGAGGTTCTAATATTAAACATTCAGCTGTTATCTCACCACCCTCTTTCATATAGGCTCTGTAAATAAAACAGAACATTATTTGATAAAACAGTCAACATTTAATAAACTTTCAGGACAACAGAAATTACATCCTTCTGTGACTTGAGTACTATTAACACTTTGCTACACAACAATTTGTAATATTACCATGCCACAAAACTAATATGTCTAATTCACATCAATGGTTTTCTGAATCATGTTATTTAAACCAAAAGGAAATTTCTATTTAAAATATGAAAGCCTGAGAATGCCAAGAGTGTGTGACAGAATCAATCATTTTATTGGATAATACGAAGCAGCAGATAGATGACCTTGTTGGGAATGTCAAAACTGAAGATGTCTGTGTTTGCCACATGCCGCAAATAAAATGTAGCACTGTTTTAACCTAGCACCAGCAGGATGTAGAAATTAAGGATTCATAAATAGCTTCAATGTTTTGATTCTGTAGATTAGTTCAACAAAATGTCTATACAAAACATTTCCAACTTATTAAACTGTTCAAAAACAAGGTACCTAATCATACTTGTATTCTACCCCAGCAAAAGATTTATCTCCAAGACAGAAATAAGAACTACCTTGATAATTTAACTTCATTGAGAACTATTTTCATTTTATCAAGTACAGCAGGAACACCACTGGATGATTTCTGTCCAGCTAAGTTGAAATTATTGCCAATAACTAAATCACCAAGATCCATCATTAATAGATTATTAGAGGTAGATTTCTGTGGCACTATTATTAATGGTGCCTTCATTTTGATGTTCATTCCAACTCGTGGTGCCTTTTCTTGTAGACTAGCTGCCACCTCTTTAGAATATTCGGCCATGGCTTCTCCCGCTTCTTGAATACGTGCTTTAGCTGCTTGGAAATTATCCAAGAATTTCTGTAATTAAATTAAGTTTTATCATCAACATGGGGTTGTTCCTTTTCAATATTTAGTAGTTTACAGCTGACTTTCTTGTAATTGCAATAATATGTTTTCAATTTTTGTATGTAAATTATCTCCTTTTTAAACCCTGAAACTTTTGAACTTAGTAATTCTTCTTTAACCAAGGAACAATTTATGACATGAGGGATCCCCCAATGTATCTGATGATGGTCAATTGAGATACTCAAGTAGTAAACTTTACACAGATACCTTCAACCTTTCAAACTATACAGATTAGTAGCAGTTTTTCTCCTGTTAACGGCTTGCTTTAGCTTGAAATAACAATTGGCTAATTTATTAAAACACGTTAGTGAAAATAATGTTTACTAACCAATAAATCTGCAACATATCTATTTAAGAAGACAAGTTTAATACATCCTATATTTACACCAAGTTGTGTATCCATACATGTCATATCACCATACTTATCACCATCTGTACCATTATTATATACCACTACATCTAACTTTAATACTTCACTACCTTCTATCTCCATTATCTATTATACAATACATTATCTATTATAAATAATATACCACATTCTTAACAATACATAACTCAAATAATATTCATAAGAACAACACAGAGAATATGTATCTTTTAAATCAATATTTACAGTTAATCTGGACAATGATAGCAAACTATTATCTTTGCCTAAGAAGATTTTCCAAAGGAATTGCTTCGTAGAACAATTGCTGTCATCTTTTCATACTGCTAACCAGTATTTGATACACATCTAGTCTATACTAGTATATAGCTAAAAGAGGTTATGTCAAATGTTACCTTGAACTGGGGATATATCTAAACAAATCAACTATTAAAGTATATGTAAATATACGAATTATTTGTCAAGTTACATCAACATTGATGTTATGATCTTACCGGGAAAAGATGGGCTTCTGAAGCCATAGTAAACGGAATTCAACTATCAAAATATATAATTCTCTTCGAAAAGAATTGTCGGCCATTTTCATTACATGTATTACCGTTTTGTTTTTTTAAAGGCGAAATGAAACGTCAAATTATAATCGCCGCTTGAATTAACCATTAGGAGTAAATAATGACTTGAGATAGGCCTTATATATATCATTGGCAATTATCAATCAACTAATCATTAATACAAGACAAATGACTAGTATTACTCATCGATGCGATTCGGATTATCAGCCAGTTGATTAATTTATAGCATTTTGCGACTTTGGCGACTAACAGTGTGAGTCCTGGTGTCAGCGCCATTTGTAACAAGGGACTCGATGAATGAGGCTAGACATATTCCACAAGTCATGTCAAACGTGACGCCATATTCTTATTTGGAGAACATGCACAATAAATACTATTGGTGTAGATGGGAATAAACAGACGCTAGAGATTGTCATTTGACTGAATGACTGATTTGAAATTGGGAGTAAAAACGGAAGCGATTGAATGTGAATCAGTTTATATACATTCATATTACATTATTATATGCATAGCTCCGTTAATAAGCCATTACTAGTGAATACTTAAGCATAAATAACATATACTAGTGAGACAATACATACCTTAGGATATAGTGATCCAGAGGAAGGATCAAATATTGTTATTTCTCTTAATAAAGCTCCCACAGTTGTTTTAGCTTTTTGAACACTTACATTAGCATCAATACCTGATAAATATATTTAAATACAGTAATGTTCAGTAATCCAACAAATTAATAGCAATGCTATGAATTATCTTATTTAACATGTGTTAATAATAGGAATTAACTGAAAAACGAGGCTTAACATCGTCCTACTTTTCAGCATATGCTATACAGTGTGCTATGAGGAAAATTTTACAAGAACAGTGGCACTTCTACCCACTCTTCTTTTACGTGTACGCCAACAAGTAAAAAGGACCTTGTTTTTTTGTGACATCCTAACGACTAGACACTTTCATGTCAGGCCACCTTGTTCTGCACAACTGACAAGGGGACACCATGCTGATAAATTCTGAGGATCTTCCTCACCTAAGACCAGGATTGGACTCAGGACCTCCTGGTTAGTGAGCACATATAAGAACTATGTGAATTTGTCCTACCTTTGATTTTGATATCTGTAAGCAGTTTATCATCTGTACATACCGCTACAGAAAACCTACTGAATTTAGCATTAACCTGTATGTCTATTAGATTAGGATCTACTGGCTTCTCTTTTCCTACAACAAATATTCAACAAAACATTAAGAATATCTGCAATCTTTTCTAATATATTAGAGCCATGGGAACAGAGGAAGCAAGAAGATTTTGCAGAAGTTATATATATCTAGTCACTCTAAAATTCTGTCATACTCTATAAAACATTGTGGAGTCAATTATAATACTATGATGGTTGGACCTCGACAACATAGGTCTATGTATGCCCTTTCAAACAGTTAAGAGAATAAGATCACAAATTGAGTGAAAAGTATTAAATATTGACATATAAAATAATCAACAACATTGATACAGATGATCATGAGAAAAACATGGTAAAATGATAAAAAACAATAAAGATGATAAAACAATTTTCAGCAAGACACAATACTTACTCTTTCTAGGAGGTGCTTTCTCTTTAGTCTTTTCTTTCTTTTTTTCTACAGCTACAGCTTTTGCAGATGGAGGAGGTTGAAGTTTCTGGGCAAATTCCAGTAGATTTAAGATGGCACCTTGATGCAACAACATCTCTAAAGCAGCAAATGTTACAGATATAGATTGCTCTGTGTTCTTATATGTTGTGGTGAATTCAGGTCCGGCTTTATTAGCCTGAAGAAATCAATTATTAAATTAATCATATGAAAACATCCCAATGCAACCATAAGTGAACAAAATACTGAAGATTAAAATTTAACATATATATGTGTACAAGAATATTACCCGCATAGGTGCTACTGTCATATATAGCCCCTATTTTTTACTTGCTCGCTATTCTGCTTTTACAAAGTAGTTCAATACTAATTAGTAAACTGTGGTCTGTAGCCTTCTTAAAACAATCAAGATGGATGTTTATTTTTGATGAACTGGTGATAACTACATAAATCCAGGACCAAACCTACAGAAATGCACCCCATCACAACACATCCCTTGACAAGAGATTCTTTTCAGCCCAGGTCAGGATCAAACCCTGGCTATTTTAGTTCTGAGTCTAGTGCACTTACTTTTTAATTACCACAGCATCACAATGATAGGCGGATTACCCCAATACATACATGGTTACACAAGAACTCAGTCCCAAACCAGCATTGCAATATATGTTATAATTTAAGTCTATATGAGGTACTCGATTGTAAGTCCGAAATGACGGAATTGCAATCGAGTGACGCGGAATTCAGTTCCATCACAGTTCTGTCAGTCCCGATAATGGAGGTGGTGTGAGTAGAATCATGACGTAATTAAACCTAATGAATATGTTTCAGCTGTCATGATTGGTTGCATACTGCACACAGCAATGCATCTACTTCATACCTCAAGAATACATCACTGCGCTAAATGACGTACATTTAAAATGCTCACGTGATCATTTTGGGCCGGGACTTATCGACTTGACTTGTACAGTCAATGACATATATATACTGCTATTTATACCCGAAGCATGTGGTTTATGTAAACAAATATGTCAAGTTACCAAAATGTCGACTTCTGCTACTTCGGTAAAAGCGATATATAATATGTGCCAATGGGTGATATTGCAATACAGTCTTTATTATTGTAAACTGCCTTCAGAGTTTCAATCTGTTTATCTTTCAAAACAAGGTTATATACTCCTAATTTTATCTTCGCAAATAAAGCCACTTCTGTGAACTATCTTTCATGGCGCCGCCATATTGAATAATTAGTGGACTATTTCGTGCTTTGGCTCTTAACCGTTTGACATCTTTCATACACACAACGGCTAAATAAACATATTAAATTTCATTCAATATGAAAATAGAAGAGAAATAAATACTTCTAAAAATTTCTAAACACATACTCAGTGTTTTCGAATAAAATCGTCTATGTAGGAATTAAAATGTCGGTTAATTAGGTTAGGGCTTGTTCTCAGACGGAGCTAACTGTAGACAGGCAGCCTAAGTTTGAGATGGCCTGGTTGAGATATTTTCTCATGCAGTCAGCGCATACGTTCTAGTTCCAAATCCCTTTTTCACTCGATTGTCACTATTTTGGAGTTTGACAGAATTCAAATTCCGGAACATTCAATCCAGCATCCCCTATGTCTATTTAAAATCCAACAACTTTGTCTTTAAATATTTTAGATTTAGAGTAATAATTGTTGTATCATAAATGTTCCATATTTTACCTTTAGGTAATGAACGGTTAAAAGATTTTTAGCATTTTCTGACTCCACATTGGTGTTGACTAGATTAATCACTGGTCCAGTTTTCAGTGCTGAAAATATATTTCATAAGACATGAAATCAATGTTCATTCATGTCACTACATCTTTCTATGTCCATTGAGCAACTTGAATATATTTATCAAATAAAATAAAACAGATAAATGAACCTTATACCAAACAAAATAATGATTTGATGATAAAACAGACACCAAATGGAAAACAATAAACAAGATTTGAACAGAAATATATAAATTTTTCAATGGTGCTACCACATCTTTTTAACAAATCTTCTCACATAAAGAATTGTATACTTACCTTTATTATTTTGCATCCATTCTGCCACATCAGGATGAACTATACATGCAGAAATCATGCAAAAATAAAAACCATTCTTTAATACATTGTTCATAAACTAAAAAAAAACACCACTTCAAGAAACAAAAATAAAGAGATATTGGGATTTTTATGTGTACACCATATCCGAAAAGAGAATAAAGGAAGTAATGGAGATTATCTAAATAAGGACTGATTAAGGTTAAAATATCAGCATTATTAGCAAAAACGTGAAGTTTCTTAAATATATAACACCTGACTAGAGTAGAATCACAATATCTCTTAATAATAATAATTACTTTCTTTCTAAAGGGTAGAACATAAGGCCTGAGGCCTTTCTTACATTTTGCCCTTTTACTAAACATCAAGCATGCATAAAACCATAAACTAAATTATTTATATGACAATAATAAATATATGATGATGAAAGTATTTGAAATGTGAAATGAGACATCCACGTGCAATGTAATACAATAAAGTCTCTCATAGTTATTTGAGGGATTGTAAATGCCTTGCGAACTTCAATATTGTGAAAGTTAAATCTTTAAAAAGAATAAAAGAATATCAGTTTGAAGATTTGAAAGTTGAATCTTTAAAAGAATAGCAGTCCAAAGATGGATTTAATTCCATTCACTATTTACAAAGATATGATGAATTTTAACCCTCTACAAACAATATAAACAAGATATGTTCAAAACAAGCCATCAACACCTATAACATTCACTGAAGTCTTTTGAGATAAGCCTCTTGCCAATCTAACTGAATGCAAGCCAGGAGATTATCTACCGTTCTTATATTCTAATTTTGTTTACATGGAAGGAATTCTGTCAGTTTACATATAAAAAATGTTTTTTTGATTAATAATTTTAGAAATACAACTGATGTGAGCATTCCATTTTAAGTGATTATCGACCTGAACACTAAGCCATTCAAACCAGAAAACATTTTCAATTGTAAAGTTGTTAAAAGTTATAAATATATCCAATTGTTTCTGATTAGTATTAATAGTAGTTATTACCGTGCACTTAGTTTTGAATTCATTAGGAATAAATGAACTGTGGTCAAATCAGTTGAGTTATATATTGGGATCACTTTTGTAATTTAATTTGCAGATCATTTAAACTAAGCAGTTGTATCATCAGTAATTGGCTGAAGACATTTGTTTAGCAAGATACTATTATGAACAAGATCAAAAGCTTTCTTAAAACAGTTTGTTTTTTTGAGTTGTACAAAGATATTCTGTTACGTTAGTTAAAGCCGTTAGACACGTTACGTGATCTGAACTTGGACTGATTTACATAAAGTAAATTATGGTTATTTAAATAATTATATAAATTATTATCAATGTGCTTTTCTAGAAATTTGGATACTGATGGTAATATTGATATTAGTCTGTTAATATTTTGGTAAATTTTTGGGCCATATTAGAATTTACTACTAATAATGCAATCTATGCTAATCGTCATTCCTGGCAATTTCATTTGTCAATTCTCACAATTTTTATGATGCGCGAACTAATTTCCTCATCCTATCTGTAGTTTGACAATCAAGGAGTTGGCATCATTTCATCCAAATAATTAAGGAATGGTGGATGATAATTTTTTTTTTATAATTTTCACGTATCTTACATTATTTTAGCATTGATACTAGATAAGTTTTAAGACATGTGGTGTTCAACTGCCATGCTAGGAAGTAGTATAAGAGAACTGTACAATAGAAATAAGACAGTACACTTTTAAGTGCTTCTAATTTAACCATGTACCAGTGCATATTGTGCAATGAGAGGCTAGACTTGTACATGATCTAGTCTATGTAATGAAAACAAGAACTATCATGCTACAATACTTCTCTACATAAACTCACCTTTAAATTTCTGATGTTGAATAAAGATACCACCTAAATAAGCCTCTACCGCCATATCAAATGTTCTCATCTTAACCATTGTACCAATAGATTTAACAGCTAATTTCATTAAGGGTACTTCTTTATTATCAACTTGTTCATGTATGTTAACTTCAATCTACAGACATGAAGACAACATTTAAATTAATCCCCAATGAATGTATTTGTTTTTTGAATATATCCAATTTGCAGAGCATTAATAAAATTAAAGGGACTAATGTTGTAAAAATATTTCTATTAATAAAACTGTTTGTTTAGAACTGTTTCTAATCATAGTCTTTATACAAACCTCCTTGATTTCAAACTTGAGTTCCATATCAGTAGCATTAACAAATTCTTGTGATGTAGTTCTCTGTATAGCCTGTTTCTTGTTTTTATTCTAACCAGAAAAATAGATATATTTCAAATAAAAACGTAGTAATGGGCATGGAATATAAAATGTAGAGATTTAATGAAATATAATACCAGTATGTAAGGACTACATAGAATATAATATGTCGGGACAACATGAATGTATGATTTTGTTAAGACTTGTTTATTGTTAAATCTGATAAAGGAAGAAACATGTTGTATATAACGTAACACAATAAAATCAAACTTACATCATCTGATAAAGCTTTATTAATAATAGTTGACGATGGCGCATCAGCTGTTATTGATGGTAATATACTTGGACCCTGAAAAAAAATTACCAGGTAATTCTAAAATTATTGCTAATTTAACAATTACATTTCCAGCTTTGACACAGTGTCAAACTGATTCATAAAATCTTATCTCTTTTGATATATGTATGTAGTTCTCTTACTAAGTGAAGTAAAATGACTCGGGGTATCAATAAGTGAAAGCTGTTGTATATTTACCTGAAAGATATCTTCTTCTTCAGGTTGTTCTGGTGCTGATTCAGGTAATGGTATACTATCAGCCAGAGCTATCAGTTGTTGTAGACGATAATCAGATATATCTAATTTTATATTTGGTAACAAACCAAATACTTTCATCCTGAAATAATATTATAAATTTATTCACTGGCCTGATGTATTTCTTTATGTACTAATCATTTGATGTCGATCCATATTAATAACTGTTGTGATCTAATTACATTAAAAGCATTTAATATTTAGATATAATTATCTAAAACTTGCAGGCAACTATATGACAAACAACCTCATCACTTTCTTTTTGTCTGGTTTGATCTTCAGTCAGTTTAGAAATAGTCAATATTTGTTTTGCTGACGACAGCTTAAAAAATAAAGTTTCCATTATCATAATCAATATATGTTGTTTTGGATCTCTATATCATGGTACCATAATGCTACTCACTTGGCCATTCTGGGATCTTTATCAAACATACATTTATGTAAATCTATTATAATAGACACAGGTCGTAACAAATGCATTGATGATTCTTTATCTTTTCTTGCTTTCTTCCAGTTTTCTCCTGTATAACAACAAACAATAGTTTATAATCTGGTGCTAATTTGGAGTAAAATAACTTACTAAAAGTGTTTATAATCTGGTAACAGTTCGGAGTAAAAAAAACTTACATGGTCAAAAATAAATATGATGATTTTAAAATTTTATAAAATAAAGTGTTACCCATCTAATTAAAATTATATCTCTATTTACATCCCACTTCTACCTCGTTGCCAGTGGCAACCTTTGATAAAACTGTCCTGTTTATTTCCAATACAGACATAAAAGTATCCGTGTATCAGAAATGAACAGTACGCTTTCCATAAAGAGTACTGTTCATTTCCGACAAACGAACACTTTAATACAAGCAGGATAAAACAAACGCCTAGAAAATCATAAATTTTATTACAAATAAATTTCAACGGACGAACCATCCACCGATGCACACTTCACCAGAATTGACCCACGTTGTGCCGCGTCCTTTACACTACGTTTAATATAATTGCAGTCCTCTACGCCAGGGACAAGTTGTTTTGATGATCTGGTTGGCTCTATGTTCACTGACTTTGTCAAAACAACTTCGTCTTTCAATACGGAGTGCAATCTAAAGAAAAACACGTGACTGTTTTAAGCACATGTAAATACAACTCGGGTCATTTTTCCACTGCGAAATCATTCTACCACGAAATGTAACGTGGGGCACAGAAAGGGATAAATGAAAGAGCAGAAAGTATTTGTCACATTTTGCTTGACACGACTCGACAATAAATACTATTTTTCACATTTCGCTTCACAATACTCGATAGAAATGTGATGTAAGTGACTTATAATTAGCACCTTTCCTCGGTGTATCGAGCCCCTTGACCAAAACTGTCCTGATCTTCACCGATACACCTCGAAAAGTGTGCTAATAACTACTACGTATACACATAATCTTCTTAAAATCACATGTTTCTTAGTTCAGGTTTTCACTTGTGTACTGTAAATAACAAATGAAAAAGACATGTTTTCCAATAACGCTAAGACATACTGATCTATTTATAAATTCACAGAGGTCAGCTGTTGAAACTATGTAGATTATATGTCATGTGGAAAATCCGAACCAGAAAGATCATTGTAAGTAGTAGTTATTAGCACACTTTCCGAGGTGTATCGGTGAAGATCAGGACAGTTTTGGCCGAGGGGCCCAGTATCTTCACCGATACACCGAGGAAAGGTGCTAATAAGTCACTTACATCACATTTCTATCGAGTATTGTGAAGCGAAATGTGAAAAATAGTATTTATTATCGAGTCGTGTCAAGCGAAATGTGACAAATACTTTCTGCTCTTTTATTTATCCCTTTCTGTGCCTCACGTTACATTTCGTGGTAGAATGATTTCGCAGTGGAGAAACGATTTGAGTAGTATTTACACGTGCGTCTTGCTGCGTTACCCTGAGCGTAAAACAGTCAAATGTTTTTCTTTAGACTGCACTCCGTATTGAAAGACGAAGTTGTTTTGATGTAGTCAGTGAACATAGAGCCAACCACATTGTCAAAACAACTTGTCCCTGGCATAGAGGACAGCAATTATATTAAACGTAATGTAAAGGAAACTGCACAACGTGGGTCAATCCTGGTGAAGTGTGCATCGGTGGATGGTTCGTCCGTTGAAATTTATTTGTAATAAAATTTATGACTTTCTAGGCGTTTGTTTTCATCCTGCTTGTATAAAAGTGTTCGTTTGTCGGAAATGAACAGTACTCTTTATGGAAACTTGGAAAGCGTACTGTTCATTTCTGATACACGGATACTTTTATGCCTGTATTGGAAATAAACAGGACAGTTTTATCAAAGGTCGCCACTGGCAACGAGGTAGAAGTGGGATGAAAAGTATTTTACCTGGTTGAACAAACAGCAACTGTATTGTATCTAATCTAATATTAAATTTATCATATGCCTTGTTCATTAAATTCTCAAATGAATCAACCTGTTATAAAATAAAACAATATGCCTCATATTATTTACTATTTAATGTTCCAAACATAGAATATCATTTACCATGTATGTATTACACTTCCAATGAAAGAAAAACAGGGCAATAGTTTTAATTAAAGGTACAAACTGGGTGATTTGATGATTTATTTGGACTAAAATCATATTCAAACTAATTAAATTATTATAATTTTGCTTCAAATCCTTCTTAAAACATTGCAATTGTCAGCGAATACCCGGCTATAAAAGATAGGTTGCCAGACAACAAAACATACGCCCACAGCAGCTAAATCGTCAGAGCAGTCAACAAGAGTAGTCGCATATTTTTACTTTTTTCGGTAATGAAATATTTGTAATACATTAAAATCTGATTAAGAGTAACAACTCATTAAGTAATTATCAGAAAACCATTAGAATTTGTTTGGTTTTTATAAAGTTCTGCCCCATGCTAACGTTTAGTATACGAAACTTTTAACATCATGGATTTAGCTATTCAAGTCATAAAAATTCATTTAAAATCAATATACCCTTTCGTCTCAAGACCTTAAACTCTGTGTATCAATCTGAAGTTAATCGGATGATAACTTTAGCCTACTCCAGAGCATCACAAGATTTTTCAAAGTGATCAAGGGCCATAACTTTGGCCGTAATTATCGGAAATCAATATGATTCTCATGACCTCAAACGCTGTGTATAAATATAAAGTCAATCGGATATTAACTTTGACCTCTAGAGCATCCACAAGATTTTTTGAAGTGATCAAGGGCAATAACTCTGGCAGTAATTATCGGAAATCGCTGAAAATCAATAGGCTTCTTTGTCTCATGACCTTAAACACTGTGTATAAATTTAAAGTCAATCGGATATTAACTTTGACATCTGGAGCGTCCATAAGATTTTTTGAAGTGATCAAGGGCCATAACTCTGGCAGTAATTATCGGAAATCGCTGAAAATCAATAGGATTCTTCGTCTCATGACATTAAACACTGTGTATAGATTTAAAGTGAATTGGATATTAACTTTGACCTCTAGAGCGTCCCCAAGATTTTTTGAAGTGATCAAGGCCCATAACTCTGGCAGTAATTATCGGAAATCGCTGAAAATCAATAGGCTTCTTTGTCTCATGAACTTAAACACTGTGTATAAATTTAAAGTCAATCGGATATTTACTTTAGCCTTTAGAGCTTGTGGACGCCGGCCAGACGGGGGCGACGACAATATACGACCACATTTCAATGTGGGCAATAAAAATCGATCAAAAGTGGTCATGTTTGTGTCACGTGACACAACGGGGGCGAAGTCGGAGGAGAATTCATTGCATACACAAGACGATGTTGCCTTTATTGCTGACTATTTATTACAAATATCGAAGACTAATTCAATTCTAAGATTATCCACTGTCCGCGTCTTTTTCCGTGATCTTTATCTCAGAAAGTTTTGTACGTCTAACTCTTCATAAAGACACTCCTAATCGTCGGGCTGTCAATTAGGGAAACCCGTACATTTTTGTCCTGTATGCGCTCCATGAGAGTTTTTCAGGGAATCGAGTATTTTTCTAGCAAGATTGGATATCTCTACTTTCCATATATACCAAAATTGCCATACTTTTATTGGAAATAACCACCCGATAAATACTTTTCTGGGAACGTAGCTTTAAATGATCATCTTGTTCCAGATTTTCAAAGCAAAATCAAATGATCTAATCATCAAGTATTAGACAATTAAAGATTTATAACAATGCTGTGTTGGGGTTGGTGTAAAAAAAAAGGCTTCATTTCACATCTACATTTTGATTCGCTTAGATACTAGATAACTGAATCCCTAGTCCTAACCCTAGAACTTAATTGGTCCAAAGTTTGGAAGATGTTGATAGGCAATGGAGTGTAAGAAGGCTTTTTACACCTAATCATTTTATTTCCCAGACAGAAATGCATTAGTATTAAACTATATTTACAGGTATACACAAAATAAATAAATAAAATATGGATTAAAGAACTACATTTGTAAATATTTGTAAGTACTTTCGCTAATGCTCTTACCGAAAGTACTTACAAATATTTACAAATGTAGTTCTTCAATCCATATTTTGTTTATTTTTTGTATATTTATTACCTAAGAGCAGTCAACTTTAACATTTTTTTTATACACATATATACATATTAGTTTATTATCTTATCAAATGAGTTCTAGTTACCTTTCCCTTCAAATCAACTGACTGGTTCTTTTCTGTAGAGACTTTTAGATTACCTAAATCTAATACTATACTTTTTACACCTCTGTAATATTAAACAAGCCAACAGTGAGGTGGATGTCCCCTACCCAAATCCCAAAATAAATAGATGACACATATTAATTAATAGTACATTTATTTTTTTCGAAATTATCGAGCAATCAAACTATACACTAAGTTTCATCACTCTCTATCAGAAAGAATCAAGATTATCTTGTCCCAAAGCATCGACCAATGAAATTGATTAGCTCTGCTTAGCTTCAGATCGAAATGTTAATCATTGAACTCAGTCAAGACATTCACCTAATGAACATCTACATCAAGTTTAAACATTCTATCTCAATTAAAAGCAGAGTTGTTATGTTCCATAAGCAGAAAATTCTCACCATCGAACTTAGTCATGGTAATGATATAATAAATCTATATTCAGAGTTTTATCGCTCTCACTTCATTATAACCAAAGTTATCGTGCCCAAAAGCATAAACCAATCAGAATGCTTATCTCTGCTTACAGTAAGCACACAATGTTCATCATCAAACTCCATCAAGGCATTCACCTAATGAACGCCTACACCAAGTTTGAACATTCTACCTCAATTAGAAGGAGAGTTATTGTGTTCAAAAGTCTTGAACAATCAAATTGCTTATCACTCTGCCTACCCTCAGCAGAAAATGTTAATTATTGAACTTAGCCAAGGTATTGATGTAATAAAGCTATACACCAAGTGTCCTCACTCTCACTTAATTAAAACTAAAGTTATCGTGTCCCAAAGCATCAACCAATCAAATTGCTTATCTCTGCTTACCCTGAGCAGAAAATTCTCATCTTTGAACTCCATCAAGGGATTTACCTAATAGCCACCCATGCCAAGTGTGAACCTTCTAACGCAATTAAAATGAGAGCTATTGTGTTCCAAAGTCTCAACCAATCAAATTGCTTATCGCGCTGTTTATCCTTAGCAGAAAAAGTTCACTATCAAACGTAGTCAAGGTATTGATGTAATGAAACTATACACCAAGTTTCATCACTCTCACTTAAATAGAACTAAAGTGCTATGTGTCCAAAAGCATCAACCAATCAAATTGCTTATCTCTGTTTATCCTAAGCAGAAAATTCTCATCTTTGAACTCCATCAAGGCATTTACCTAATAGACACCTATACCAAGTGTGAACCTTCTAACTCAATTAGAAGGAGAGTCATTGTGTTCCAAAGTCTCGGCCAATCAAATTGCTTATCGCTCTGCTTACCCTGAGCAGAAAATGCTCATTATCGAACTTAGTCAAGGTATTGATGTAATGAAACTATACACCAAGTTTGATCACTCTCACTTAATCAGAACTAAAGTTATTGTGTCCCAAAGCATCAACCAATCAAATTGCTTATCTCTGCTTACCCTGAGCAGAAAATTCTCATCTTTGAACTCCATCAAGGGATTTACCTAATAGCCACCCATGCCAAGTGTGAACCTTCTAACTCAATTAGAATGAGAGCTATTGTGTTCCAAAGTCTCGACCAATCAAATTGCTTATCGCGCTGTTTATCCTTAGCAGAAAAAGTTCACTATCAAACGTAGTCAAGGTATTGATGTAATGAAACTATACACCAAGTTTCAACACTCTCACTTAAATAGAACTAAGGTTCTATGTGTCCAAACGCGTCAACCAATCAAAGTGCTTATCTCTGTTTATCCTAAGCAGAAAATTCTCATCTTCGAACTCCATCAAGGCATTTACCTAATAGACACCTATACCAAGTGTGAACCTTCTAACTCAATTAGAAGGAGAGTTATTGTGTTCCAAAGTCTCGGCCAATCAAATTGCTTATCGCTCTGCTTACCCTGAGCAGAAAATGCTCATTATCGAACTTAGTCAAGGTATTGATGTAATGAAACTATACACCAAGTTTGATCACTCTCACTTAAACAGAACTAAAGTTATTGTGTCCCAAAGCATCAACCAATCAAATTGCTTATCTCTGCTTACCCTAAGCAGAAAATGCTCATCTTCGAACTCCATCAAGGCAATGACCCAATAAAACACCTACACCAAGTTTGAACATTCTAGCTCAATTAGAAAGAGTGTTATTGTGTCCCAAAAAGTGTGACGGACAGACAGACAGACCCGTTTGAATAGTCACCTGCTTTCTTCGAAAGACGGGGGACAAATATACAATATGAGATAATTTTCTGTGACATGTTTAGACAAGGAAACTTAAAAAGTTACCAATTTTTTTCAAATTACATTGTAGCTCTGTAAAACATTTAACAGGGTATGATTACCCGTATTTTTGAAAATCCCAACCACAGAGATATGTATCAATTCTATATGAAGATGTCTAAATCATCTGGTAATTTTATTAATAAAAGTAGACTTACTCTTTCATGAACCCTCCTTCAGGTACCATAACATATGATGACATTACATCTACAGAGATTTCAGTATATTTTCTCTGTTCTATAGCATGTTGTAACCCTGCTGTAGATTGTTCCTTAATCTCATCAAATTTAGCCATGGCAGCATTTGATAATCTACAAAAAATCAAACAATATCTATACAACACAATTTCAAAAGTGAGATAAATGTTACATTCCTATCACCTAAATTAGTTTGGGCCATCTACAAAATGTTTAAAAGCAGGGAGGTTACAGCTTAACACAAGAATAAACTTTCTTGTCTAATGAGCTTAAATACAGTGAATAAATTGATAACTTCAGCATACAGATTGTCTGCAAGATTTTTCAAAGCAATCAAGGGCAGTAAGTCTAACAGTAATTATCAGTAAATGTTGTGTATCACAGAGCCTCTTCGTCTGAGGAACATAAACTCTGTGTACAAATTATTGTTCAAGATACCTCCATTAGTCTATTCTGGTTCATGCTGGTTTTCTATACATGGAATATTATTAATCTTCAAGTATACTTACTGTTTAAGGAAGACAGATTCTGGAGGCTTAAAGAAGCTTGCTAATTGATTTATTGTAATCTGTAATAACAAATATTTATCACTACCAACAATCTAATATATAATGATCATTTACATAATAAAAAATTACTCAAATTTACTTTTTTAACATTTTTAATTTTGATGATATGTTCCCATTAAACTATGGCATGTAAAACCTTACTAATTGAAAATACAAGAAAGTGAATTAAGTCCGACTTACAGCATCATAAGTTATTTCTAATGGTCTGGACTTGAGTTTAACTCTTGTATCACAATCACCATCAAGTGGATTAGTTTCAAAATTAACAGCAAGCAATGAAAAATTCTGATCTAATTCTTGAGTCTGTGATAGAACTAATTTTGGTTTGATTTTATTCTGTGTTGTTCCTGATACAGACAGCCTGTCTATTTTAGCTTCAACACTAAAAAAAATAAAAAGTTTAAAATATAAGTACTGGTAACTAAAATACAAAATCATCAATCTGATTAAAATACACATCTATATTTCGTTTCTTATACTTTCGATGGCCTACACTACATGAAGATTTGACAAGTTATAGTCATAGGTCACGTCAGGGGTCAAAAGACCGACTTATGACTATATGACGTCAGACATTTGATAAACCAATCAGCATTGATGTTACTAGTGGATTACCCACAGTTCTGTGCAAAACACGCCTAAAGCTCGCCGTAACAGACCGTTTCATTGGCTTATCCCTAACACCATTCAGAATACGAGTTAAATAACAACTCTTCCAGATCCAAGTGTAGTAAAGACAAGTAAAACGAAATTTTGAACTATAAAAACGAAACGAAATAGGATCTGTGTTTTAACCAGATTGACAAAATCATAAACCAATTCTTTTACTACAACAAGCTAGTGACAACAGTTTCCGTTTTCATGATACTGCCATCAAGCTAGCAGTCTGCTGACATGTTTTGTTATGAAACATAATCTCCCATTGGCAATACGTAAATGATATAACTAATCAAAGACAACATTTATTGATAATATACTGACAAGATTTATGAGTTTTCCCCAACCTTGAGTTTATTTACTGATTGAAAAATGGCATAGGCGACTAGTACTTGGTGAGTCTAGTGTAGATTGTTCACTTAGCAGGTGGTAATCCTGTTGTAAAATTTTATGACCTGGTGTTTTTTTTATTTCTCAATCATGATATGTAACATTTTACATTTAATATCAATATTCAATGGTTTACAGTTCTTTCCATTCAGATGTGTAAATATATTACAAGGTTAAAGAAATCTGAGCACCGAGGGAAATTAAACTGACCTAATTGCACTAGCTGCTGGTCTTTGACCAACAGAAGAGAAGACCTCTTTTAATATTAACTTCATTATCATAGGATCTCTGTAAAATAAAACAGTAATTTAATAAGTCAAATTATAAACCATTCCAGCATTCTGATCGGATCATAGTAAAATATTATCATAAATGTATCTCACAAAATACTTCATGAAATATGGTTTATTCAAATGTAGAAAACATCAAAATTTAACTGAATATATAAATAGAATGAGACCAGCGACTGCCAGGTAGAATACGCCCACATTTTGCAAGAGGTGGATAGAGAACAAGCTAAAAACAAAAATGATTTTTTGTACAATCAAGGGCAATAATCCAGAAAGTTATGGTCTGGAATGCGTAAATATCAAAAGGGAATGAGATCTTTGGGATATAAAGATATGTTTTAAGTTTCATCAGAGGATCCACAAGCTTGATATACCAGATGCTATATACACTATTTGAGTACGAGGGGCGGCCATTTTGTCCCGCAGTTTTGGTCCGATTTTCACGAAATTATATGTGGACATATAAAAAGACTTACTCTTTAGTTGTATCTTGAAGAGCAACACTGAGCTTACTTAACTTAGTTACTAATCTCACAGCTACAAACTACAAATATAAATAATTATATGTATTATTCATAGTATTTTATGAATCTATTTGTGTGTCTGGTTGTTGTTGTCTACAGATAATTTTTAGTTGTGTGTTATGGTTGTATGTGTTACAAAATGTAACAATGGATGATGGACCGGATTTGAGCTTATACCTCTTTAGGGTAAGTTGGATCAGCTTCATTTTCAGAATAACCAATAGCACCATATAATTTAGCCTTTTCTTCCGGTGTATACATCTCAAAGAACTGATCCTCTGAAATACATAGATATGCTTTTAATAATAGTATTTCATATATTAATTCAGAATATCCTTACATAATTATGCAATATGCAGGAAATTAAAAATAACAACTAATTTCAATCATACAGTGGACTCTCAAATCTGACATCGTACGGGATCCCTACCATATGTCGGATTACTCATAGTGTCGGAATACTCAGTTTTCTCAAAACCGGAAGTATTATTGTAACTTCGAATCTGGAATCTGGATTCCTAAAAACTGATTTTAAATTTGGATTCTTGAAAATCAAACTTGACCTATGACATGCACAATCTGATATAACATACCAAATAAACTTACTTATTTCAGTTTTATTCTTATCACTATTACTTTTATCTTTCTTCCCACCACCGAACCATCCACCGAGCCAACCACTACTCTTCTCTTCTTTTCTTTTAGCCCCAAGTTTAGATGCTTCTACTTCAGCTTGTTGTCTCATTATAGTTATACTAAATATATCTAAATACTTCTCCCCTTCCTGTAATTACAACGTATTTATACTCTACTACAAACTTAGATATCAATTCTTTAAATCATTCTTAAAATATACATGTGACATCATCCTTTGACATTAGTGTACCATAATGTTTCGTGATTGTATAAATATATAACTTAAACAAGCATTATGTAAGATTTAGATGAAGAGCTAGCCATTCTTGCTATAATAGTTCAAAAATAGATAATACAAAATGAATATACAGAGGACTCTGTCACACTGTGTCACACTGATAGTACGACATTCTGTGAAATCCGACATCATTTTCACGTCTCGATTTATTTCCTTACTACTTCAGCCCAAAAAGTTTTGAGTAATCCGTATTCTGAATATTCCGAATTACAACATTAATCATCCGTCCCGTCAAATGATTTCCATTGAATCAACATTGTATAATCCGGCCTTCAATCGGTGGTTGTAAAGCCACAAAAGATTAAAAAGCAATCACCAATCAATTATCGGTGAGATTAAAACTCGCTCGCATAATTCTTTGTTGATTACTTTGATGATTTTATTATCTCTTGTAAGACAGTTGTGACAAATTCTCAAGAATACCTACAGAATTTCCCACGAATTCAGTCATAAAAATGATCCTAGCACCTGTTGGAAACATTCGTTGCCCATGCCGATGGAATCCGAATACCTCAGTTGACTGAGTTGAGAGTAAATCTGTTAAAACAACTTACATCTAATACTTTCTGTTCACTAGAAGACACTTTCTTGTTATCTATTTTTTTTATATAAGTGTCTCGGTAGGATTTCATCATTTTGCGATGTTTAATAATATTATTCCACGACCACATTTTTCTTCTTCGCCGAACAGTTTCTTCTAGAACACTTTCATACGCATAATGCCACCTGAAAATTAAAACAAGAAAAGGTCAAATTGCAATTACTACTCCAATATTTTTTGATTTTTAAAAAGTTATAGAAATTGATGTTCACTTACAAAATTGCTAAAATTTTAAATAATTTGGCAACTAATTAATCAGACAGAAAGTTTTAAAATACATTATTTTACTTACCATCTTTTGACATTTCCTTTAAATGGAACATCAGGTTTATATTTTCTATAAATACCTAATAAGGCCATTCTCTCTAAAGATTCCAGTGTTTCTAACACATCATTATACTGTAAAACACAATATTTATAGCTAAATTCATTAATTACATTCTATATCAGGGACCTTCTTCACAAAAACTTATCATCCAGCCACTGAAATTCATGCATCCTTAAAATGTTTAGGTTTATCGGTAAATTTAATGAATTAGGCCAATGGTCAGTGGATTCGTTCTTGGGGATACTCTCAAAATCCATCTGACCTAAAATAGTGTTTTCTTGGGAAATAGTTCCAGATAACTCCACACAATTCAATCATATTAAATGTTATAAAAGATACACACAGGAGCAATGTTTACCAAGCAGTCCATAAGGTTATTGCATTGTCATTCTGTAGGTACCTGGAGTATTTACAATAATGATAATAATCGTGATCACGGGCAACAACTCTTGAATGAATTATCAGAAATCATGTAGCAGACAGGGTTGATGACATGGTAACCAACATGTTAAAGATAAAACCAACCTGTAGTTTACTCAGACTTATTGCTACATCATCAAAAACAACGGTAAGAAATAACTTAGGTATAGAAAATTTGGATTGTTCAGGCTTGGTATTAAGTTTAAGATGAGCAACTGATGATATAGGTTTTATTACTGAAATAGACAAGAACACCATTAATAAAATATAAACAATAAAATATCTTTAGGTTTATTTTTTAATTTTTTTATTATGAAACACTTTTTTGTATTTCGAAAGCAATACTAACAAGAAGATAAATGTTGTTTTAGTTAATATAAAACTTACAATATTGCAAATTCTTTTTACATTCTTCATCTGCAAAAGTTGCTTTTAAGGCAGGCTGAAGAAGAAAGAGGGGAAAGTATTTACATACAATATATAAGTGTGAATTTCTATAATTATGTTGGGTATTCAAAGTTGATTAGCTCCACTGCTAATCAAAAAGTGCAATTTTTCCAAAATTGATTAGCAAATTTAAAAATTGATTAGTTTTTCAGTTTCAACATATTACTTTAATTCATAACAAATGATTAGATTTCATTCTTAGATGTTTTTAGCACTGCTACAGGTAGCTGTGACAGTTTGTGAATGTGATCTAGACTTTTGGTTAGGTCTTTTATCACCCAATAATACATTCTACAGTAGATATCGCTTGTGTGATAAATTCCATAATTTACTGCGATATCTCCTTAGGAGATCGCTTTACATGAATTTGATTAGTCAGTTAAAGAGGAACTACTTTTTTTTATTTTCAAAGAATAGTTCATTTTTTATTAAAAGTAACTGCTTTGTTATCAAAAATAAACTATTTTTATTTAATTGACCTTGATGGAGTGGTACTACTTGGGTCCTTATTTCCGGTTTAATAGTCCCTATTTATTGAGTTATGTCCCTGTATTATATGATATAATGAATTGTGTCTGGGTAGTTCGAGAAAAAAATGTCACACAGCGAATTCAATTTTGTTTATAAAATTTTATTTGACATTATACACGTTGAAAGTGTTGAGAAATCCTTCTAGTCTTCAAAATGTGGATAAATCTTCATGTCAATATCCAAAATGACAGGCATATTAATGATTCACAGTTACTACAAATCAAAAACATTAGATTTTAATTTATGATTAGAAACGAACAAAATATGTTTCACGAATTGCGCTGCGATACTGGTAGTTGGCAGCCCTGATGCCCAACAACAGCAAAGTTGTCTGTTCTAGCTCTAAAATCCATGTTCACCAATCCTGCAGGGTCTTTTATAAAAAGCTAGCTTTTGACAGTCAAAATGTAAAGAGAAAGACAAGTTTGCACAATGCATTTGAAATTTACGGCCAGGTCTTTCCACATACTCCAAATGAATATTCTTTTGAGAACTCTGATCTGCAAAGTGTTCCTAAGAGATTTCATAAAGTGAATACAAACAGGGGAATTACTACTGTTTGCTATCAAAATATTATGAATTTGAGGGGGTCCGTACTTTCCTAATGCTCAAATTAACAATTTATCAGGATTTACACAATTCCATTGAGAACTTTATCCTGTATGTGTTCACAAGCTTTATAACATTACAAAATGCCTTTGAAATTGTTAGTCAATTTCCTTATACCGGTACTCAAATGAACAATCCCACCCAACTCTTATTATGTTCACAAGATATAAATATGAACTTAAATTGGAGAACAACTCCAAAATGTGTGACAGAAAGATATTCTGAAAATCTATAATCATTGACTGCTACAATCAGCTTATTGGTGTCAAAGAAATTCAAAAGAAATCTTACCAAGATGTCTTCTTTTGGCATATTTTGAAACATTTTATCACAACTATTCCAATATACAGCTAGATTATCCAATTTCATTAACTGTAAATACAAACAAACAATTTAAAATCTCAAATTCAGATTGTATTTTGTGGTTGTTACTTTGTGTGGTCATGTTTTCTATTGCAAGTATTGTAAGTTATGAAGAACAAGAACCAGTACTTAAAGCCTTGATGCAAAGTACAATAATGTAAAAGTTTAATCCCTGATAGAAATATCAGCCCAAAAATAGTTTATTTCTGTTCAATATTTACAAAGTTATGATAAATTAAAATTTCATTGATCTATACTGCTTGAGTGTAACAAGATGCTGTCATCCTTTATTGGCAGTGGAGAAACCTTATGGGCCTTGTACAAATCTAACTGAATCCAAGTCGGGAAATTATCTAGCCTTGGTATAATGATTTTGTTTTCTTGATTAAATGTTAAATAATTGAATGCAAATGACTCATCAAACCACACTGATCAGCAGTGAATATTAGCTAAACCGCTAATATCACTGAGAGAGATGACATCAGTGCGGGTTAATGAGCTCGCAATATTAACCTTTTTCCTTGTAACCATTGCACAAGCTATTGAGCCAATGATCGAAGCCATATGATGTGATGTCATATGTAGAAGGAATTTGAACTTATAAAAAGGTCAGTCATATTATACAGAGGTATTGCGATTACAATACCTCTTAGTGAGATCTACAGTAAAACAATTCAATGAGTTATTGAGAATATAATACAAACTTTATAAATCATTGTAACAGCATCTTTAATAACTGTTGGTTCCCATTTATCATTTGTTGTCTGAAAAAACAAACAAACAGAAAGCATGAAAACCATTCCAATTAGTTTATTTTAGAAAGGATTTTTTTATCCTGAATGAAAATCAAAGTTATTTTATTGAATAATCCTACAAATTTACACTCAATGATAGTCATAGGAGCCCAAATTATTGGATAAGGTCTACATTTAGCTTCGGCCTACTAATCTTGATTGTCAAATTGTAGGCATCAGTGACACATATTTTTTATATAATTGTAACTGCATTACATGTAAGTGTCTTGATCAACACTTATACATTAGTTGAACAATTAATAAATTGTATTAGATCCTGTTCAAGAGAAGTGAAGAAGGACATGGGTTATCTAAAAAAAAACAGTATTTATACATGCCTCAATGAGAAACATGGGGCAAACAATCAGTCAATGTAATACTATTGCGATAATGGGGTTTTGTCTTTATTTCAAAGACAGGATAGAAGAGAAAGAAAATGTACAGATAACAAGCCAACAGTGAGGTTGATGTCCCCTGGCCAAATTGCAAAATAAATAGATGACACATATTAATTAATCGCAAATTTATTTTTTTCACTAAGTTTCATGACTCTCTATCAGATAGAACCAAGATTATCTTGTTCCAAACCATCAACAAATGAAATCGATTAGCTCTGCTTAGCTTCAGCTCGAAATGTTAATCATTGAACTCAGTCAAGACATTCACCTAATGAACATCTACATCAAGTTTAAACATTCGCCTAATAGACACCTACGCCAAGTTTGAACATTCTACCTCAATTAGAAGGAGAGTTATTGTGTCCCAAAGTCTCGACCAATCAAATTGATTATCGCTCTGCTTACCCTCAGCAAAAAATGTTCATTGTCAAACTTAGCCAAGGTATTGATATAAAAAAGCTATACACCAAGTGTCTCACTCTCACTTAATTAGAACTAAAGTTATTGTGTCCCAAAGCATCAAACAATCAAACTGCTTATCTCTGCTTACCCTAAGCAGAAAATTCTCGTCTTCAAACTCCATCAAGGCATTCACCTCATTGACACCTACAGCAAGTGTGAAAATTCTAACTCAATTAGAATGAGAGTTATTGTGTTCCAAACTCTCGACCAATCAAATTGCTCATCACTTTGCTTACCCTGAGCAGAAAATGCTCATTTTCGAACTTAGTCAAGGTATTGATGTAATAAAACTATACACCAAGTGTCCTCACTCTCACTTAATTAGAACTAAAGTTATTGTGTCCCAAAGCATCAACCAATCAAATTGCTTATCTCTGCTAACCCTAAGCAGAAAATGCTCATCGTCAAACTCCATCAAGGCATTGACCTAATAAACACCTACACCAAGTTTGAACATTCTGCCTCAATTAGAAGGAGAGTTATTGTGTTCCAAAGTCTCGACCAATCAAATTGTTTATTGCTTTGCTTACCCTCAGCAGAAAATGTTCATTATCCAACTTAAGTCAAGGTATTGATGTAATAAAGCTATACACCAAGTGCCCTCACTCTCACTTAATTAGAACTAAAGTTATCGTGTCCCAAAGCTTCAGCCAATCAAATTGCTTATCTCTGCTTACCCTAAGCAGAAAATGCTCATCGTCGAACTCCATCAAGGCATTGACCTAATAAACACCTACACCAAGTTTGAACATTCTAGCTCAATTAGAAGGTGAGTCATTGTGTTCCAAAGTCTCGGCCAATCAAATTGCTTATCACTCTGCTTGCCCGAGCAGAAAATGCTCATTATCGAACTTAGTCAAGGTATTGATGTAATGAAACTATACACCAAGTTTCATCACTCTCACTTAATTAGAACTAAAGTTATTGTGTCCCAAAGCATCAACCAATCAAATTGCTTATCTCTGCTTACCCTAAGCCGAAAATGCTCATCTTCGATCTCCATCAAGGCATTGACCTAATAAACACCTACACCAAGTTTGAACATTCTACCTCTATTAGAAAGAGAGTTATTGTGTCCCAAAAAGTGTGACGGACGGACGGATGGACGTACAGATGGACGGACAGACAGACAGATAGACAGAAAGGCGGGGGACAATTAAGAAATAGAAACTAAATCAAAACCCAGTTTATATTAATTGATGCTACAGTGACGTCCATGTGTTATATGTATCATTTACCTGGAAGAGTAAATCTTGTAACATAAATCCTACAGCAAAAGGATGTTTGGGATTAGTTAGATTATCCTCATATCTAACATGTATATTGGAAACTCGAACCTGGATATTTTTAATGACTTGTGTGGCAAGTTTCTCAGCAAAACTGTCTTGTTTTGGATCTTTAGGATTGTCTAGAAAAGAAATGGGAGAAATGTTAATTGTAAGAATTTTTCTATATGTATTATAAATAAATCAAAAAGAACCCCAAGAGAAATGCAGAGACAGGATTAATTTGATAGAATATTCAAAGATAGCCATTATTAGTATAATTTCCATTTGATGAAATGTTACTTTACTCCCAGTATATGTATTCTAACTGGGAAATCAAACCAGTCGTTAAAAATTGATTATATTATATGTCACCCATACAAAAACATTAAGGCCAGATTCTCAAATGAAAACACAAAGAAACCTTAGCTCTTAGGTGATCTATACTGAATTGTAAACATTTAATTTGATGTGATCTGGCTATTCAGTTTAAATTGGACATGTTAGGAATTGAATTATATAATACTAATGTACAAATTACTGTCTATCAAATGTTACAAACAACTAGGACATAAATACTTTTTCATCATTTTAATCTGTCTGGGTATAAAAGAATACACAGGCTATGAATGGGACAGGAAGACATTTACAGTCTGTTGATGAAATGATGGACTTTGTTCATGAACATATAATCATCTCTATTGATGTCTGCTTTGAATGAATGAGAAAAAGATGGAAATTTATCAAAAAATTGAGTGAATGAATGTATTCTGGGGGGGGGGGGGGGGATACTGTTAAATTCCTGTCAGATGTAAAATTTGCTATGCATAAAAACAATCAATAATCTTTATATAGAAACATAGTACTATGTTAGTTCATATGATAATTTGAACAAAAGATGCTAATGAAATTATACTTCCTGCTAGAATAACATAAATAATTTATAATCCCCAGATAATTAATCATTGATCCATCTTGTACAGAAACAACATAAATTGGTTAATAGTTCTCTTGAGTGATGATGATGATAACAATTAATATAATAAATTAGGCACAATTACTCAATTACAAAATTATCGTAAAATATTATCCTGTAAAATAATGTTCAAGAGTCTAAAAGAGTAGAATCCAAATTGAGATTTCTGAGAATTGTTATAAATGGCATTATTCAAACCTTTTTCAGCCTCAATTTTCTTAGCTTCTTCAATTTGTGTAAGTTTTTTCTGTTTTGCATCTTGTTTGGTCTTTTCTTCCTTTTCTGCATTATATTTAATAGCTGGAATGAGAAAATAAAACAGTTTTCATGTAAATTTAGTAATGACTCAGTGACTTTCAATATAAACTAAAGACCACATAGTGTGCTAAAAACTGTACAATAATTCTAACCAACTAGAGATTCTACACATATCTTCATTTTTATTATAAACTAATAATTATTTTCTACTCACAGGCATTGGGAACTGCCAAGGCATAAATTCCATCAATTTCAGCTATAACTGGTGCAGTATATAAATTCTTCCAAGGAATCTTTAAAGTTAATTTCCCTGGAGAATAATATAAAAGATCCTTAAAATCGGATCAATTGCAAACAATATTTTTAGGGTTGAGAGGGACTGCTTATTAACAAGATTGTCTCTAATTGACATTAATCGGGAAAGGAATGTGATTTTTTAGTGATAATTCTGTTTACTGTGTAGATTCTCAACCATACCAACAACCAATAATGTATACTTTTGTTTGTACTGATCAATTTCTGATTCATTTTGTTTATATGTTTCAATATTACAATTTAACACGACTTGTTTATATTCATTTATCATTCATTAGTTTGATACATCAAGCTTGGATGATTTGCAGTTCTCATGTCAATATTTAGGCTTACTATACATAAATCTGCTTAAAACCTGATGACATGTCAAATTATTTTTATTGAATACGGTGACTCAATCATGTGAACTTAATAACCAATTAAATTGTCTTTATTGGTATGCAAAGAGTGTATCTGATAAGTTTTGGGTTATAGTATGACATGTTGATATACATAAAACTGTCAATGATTTGAATTCGACTGAGGTACACAAATATATGAAAGACATACTAAATTAGAAGATTAGAGTATAATATTTACTTACCTATGTGTCCAGCTTTAATTCGTACAGGGAGATCAAGGTCATTCTAAAAAGCAAAAAAAATAAATGCTAAAAAATGTTGTACCTAAGGAAATTTGCAAGTGCATTTATTGACACACCATCATTCACATTTCAATAACATGGTGGTGTCTTGTATTAATTGGTTCACAGAGTCTAAATGACCTTCAATTATAAATCTGCTTGTACGTAGGCTACAAGTCAGGTTTTTTTTTTTACAAATTTTTATCATAGGGTGTGTTCTGTTTACTCTCTGTAAATTAGTTTTATATATGACTTAGTGAACTGTTAGAACTTCCCCTTACTGCCCTGCCTACTATGTTCCTGTCTGATGACCTCATTGTTTTACATACACAGAATAATTTGTATAAATATTGTATTTGACAATATTGAGTTTTCTACTGTGATCAAATATTTCCTTAGACTGTAAAATGCCACTTCAATGTCAGCTTTGTTTACTTTTTCCAAGCTCATCTCTTGTATACATCTCAATCTACTGAATGCTCAGGGATCTTCTCTAACAATTCCACAAAGTTTGGTTTCTAATCTTATAATTAATACATAATTTCAATTTCCTTTTAAAATTTGGGACAATTGTGGCAATTTATTTTATTAAGTCTTGTGTAAAATGGATTTGCTATTTTGGATTGTCTGTGGTTTCTGTAGGGCAGTTTGTGTTGCAATGTTTATTAAATTACTAATTATCCAGTTCAGGTCACTTGAAATGAAACGAAGTGTAATTAGGTTTATCGTTTTACATTTATGCACCAACCAGGTTGATGAAGACAGGTATACACCATCCAGTTTACTATGAGGGATATTTTGTCATGAATGTGGCAGTAGGGCCTACTCATTTCAATTTCCAACCATCTTTATCATGCTGCCAATGCTATACACAAGACCTCATTTTTTGTATCATCTTAAAATTTTCGGCTAACATGGGATCAAGTTTCATCAAAATCGGATCAAAATTGTAACTTCTAAAGGGTACACAACCTTGATATACCATATTTTTTACACTATTTGCTTACGAGGGGTGGCCATTTTGTCCAGCAGTTTTGGTCCGATTTTCACGAAATTCAAACTCAACCACCATTAGGGTGTAACAGTGATATACTAAAACAATTTTTTTAAATCAAATAAAAATTGTGACCTCAAGAGAGACCACAAGCTAAAAACGTGATTTTTCGTACGATCAAGGGCCATAATTCAGGAAGTTACGATCCGATGTGCACAAAAATCAGACAGGAACCAAGATCAATGGGTTATAAACATGTATTTCAAGTTTCATCAAAATCGGATCAAAATTGTGACCTCTAGAGGGTCCACAACCTTGATATACCAGATGTTTACACTATTTGCGTACGAGGGGGAGAGGGGCATTTTGTTCTGATTTTTTGTACAATCAGGGTTCATAATCCATGAAGTTACGGTCCGATACATGCCAATATCGAAAGGAACCAAGATCTCAGGGAGATAAACCTATGTTTCAAGTTTCGTTGAAATTGGATAAAAATTTTGACCAGACAGGGGCGATGACAATATATGTCCACATGAAAATGTGGGCGTATAAAATGCTGAACTTGGCTTTTTGAAAAAATACAACATCTACCGCTCTTCTGCACCATTCAACAAGATATTTTGCCAATTTGTGTACAGAATGAGAAACAAAAATTCATTTATAAATACTGTCTGAAATATTTAAGCAGGTGGGAGGAAAAATAAATATTATTGTTTCTCCAGCAGAACAACACTTCAGAATAAAGTTCAAGTTTCATTTTTTTTTTTACCGTAATACAATAAATCTGAACTTTGGCACAGAATGGATCATGAAATTTGTGGTTTTCAAATCAAATTACATTTCAAAGACTGTCAATATAAAGGCAGACCTAGATGGCACTGCATGAGCTGTATTTTATTTTAATCCCCCACATACATGTACTAACATTATTTAATGCTGTTAATCAAAAGAGATGTTTCGGAACAAAATACATGTAATAATAGTTCTCGCTGTATAACCTTTTATCCAATTACCTTGAGTAATGTTTTGTCTGGTTATAAATAGAGAGATATTGTAATCAGCCAGTAGCAAGAACTAGAATAAACAGTCTATAAATATGCCAGATATTATTGATTAGTTTCAAATGCAATAAAAAACAACAACTAAAAAAAAAAGATTGAATCCTAAATTAATGTACTGTATGCAAATCCATCAATATGGTGCAACAGCTTATATAGGTACTTATAATTACAGTATTAACAAGGACCCCAACCATTATTGATTTACAATAAACAATGTACCGGAAATATAAAATAAAACTTGTTTATATATATGCACATATTATAAATGTATATCAAAATAATAAGTAGTGTATATTGTAATGTATATATGTATCAATCACTTGACTTCAACCTTTACTAACAACAGGTGTTCAAGGCCATTCAACCAGACCGATAGAATATTTAAATTGCATTCCTGAGGCTGGTATCATTATCCTGGCACAAACAGTGAGAACCAAAAATTGCTTGTGCAATGCATGTTTGTTTGTATATAATTTGAATAAACTTCAAATTTGCTAATTATATAAAATAACAAGCCAACAGTGAGGCTGATGTCCTCTGCCGAAATCCCAAAATAAATAGATGACACATATTAATTAATCGCACATTTATTTTTTTTTCAAAAGTATAAGCAATCAAACTGATTATCAACTATACACTATCTCTATCAGATCGAATCATAGTTATCTTGTCCCCAACTCACTTAATTAGAACTAAAGTTATCGTGTCCCAAAGCATCAACCAATCAAATTGCTTATCTCTGCTTACCCTACGCAGAAAAAGCTCATCTTCGAACACCATCAAGGCATTCACGTAATAAACACCTATACCAAGTTTGAACATTCTAGCTCAATTAGGAGAGTTATTGTGTCCCAAACAAGTGTGACGGACAGACGGACGGACGGACAACAGACAGATGGGCGAACCCATTTTAATAGTCCCCTGCTTTCTTTGAGAGGTGGAGGACAATTAATTTATTCTAACATAATATATATTATATATCTATTATAATGTGGATGTTTTATGATTCCATGTTATATACTGTACAATACATAACAGTAAAATCAATATGAATGTACTAAATATGTGTAGAATGCCATTCTGTTTATATCTGATAGTTTAGAAAGATAGCATTTTATGTCTGTAAATGATGAACAGAGCAATATAGACTGTTGGTTGACTGGTATTTACCATGTGTACATGTAAGCTAGATGATATAACACATACAGACCTATCAGTTAATGGACTAATTGAAACAACATCAGCACTGATTGTTCTAACCAGATCTAATTATATGTATTTATATCATTTTCATGATAAACAGTATTTATATTTGTCTTTGACATTAAATTAATAATAAAATATAGGCTCACAAGCAGTGGCGTGTGAAGACATGGCAGGGCCAGGCGCATTTATTTCCTATCAAACATCAAACTTAAATTAAGATCTTTTTATATTTGAAATTATCGCTGCTAACTTCGTTGTACAGATTTGCCCTATCTAATTTATTTATTTTATCAATTTTGCAATTGTCTTTCTTTCTCACATTTTCTGAGTACTAGGCCCTATACTTGGGTCTTGGAAGCATACAATCATGAAGTTAGCACTGAGCAACACCAAATCTGAAACTACAATTTTGGGATAAAATTTCATGGGCCTCAAAGCTAAACAGGGCAATAGTCAAATAGCAAATCTAGGGTCATAGAAGTATGATACACTTCTTCCTTTGATTACTCAATCTTAGTAAACATTAAAACAAGTGTTGTCGGTTTTATTTAGGTCTTCTGCAAGAAGATTCTATTTATTCTTGATCAACAAGTGTGCACTTTAACACATCAATTTCCATGACATTGTGCCAGACACTAGTCTTGAAATATTCTTGCAGATAAGTGCTACATTTGACTTCCAAAACCTATGCTGTATTTACTTGTGTACGTACTTATCTATATACCGGTAAAATCATGCAGATTACAATCAAATATTGACACAAATATTAACATAGAATTTAATCTACTTCACAGGACTTGATAAAATATTGGTTAGAACTCACTTTTCTTATAATATAATAGTAACAGAGGGAAAGATATTCAAATGATAGCTGTTGTGATAGCAAATGCGGCAATGTCCAAAATATCACTCCACAATTTATCATTGAGAATCTAACAATTCTAGTGAATTCATTCGGAATACAGTATATAGCAATGAAAAATATAAAGATTTATAGAGAACCCATCGTAAAAAATATGGATGTGGCTTGAGTAGCCAACCAATTAAAACATCAATACTTTCAATTTAATCAATGCTGTTGGTAGCTTACATGAAACAAACTTTAGTTACAACTTAAGTCTTCTTATCAATTTTGTTATCACATGTAGTATGCTGATTCTTCACTTTATGCAAGAAATCAATATGGTTAACATCAAAGATCAGCTTATATCATTTAATATTATCATTGTTTAACCATCCTTATTAATATTAGGCAATATTTGTATTGATCCGATCCCAGTTCGCACCTGTGTGAAATGTTATCAAATCAACTCATCAAAGTAGCCTACATGTAGATAGCTTTGTGTCTTGGTTCTAGATACTCAGCTCTGATAATCAATACAGTTTCACACCATTGTCCTTAATTTATTTAATGAATTATTCATCATTAGTTTGAGATATTAGCTAGTTTTGAAGTTATCCAGATCTTGATAAGAATTAATTGATAATTATTAAGGCCAGACATGTATAACCATCTCACACCGCACACAACATATGTAGCATTCCTTTTTCTTTAAAAGTTAATAACACTTCTCTTTCCCAGCAGAGCAGACAAGGGTCTATTTTCAACAAAAGTTAAGTCAAATTTAAGAGATAATTTTTAACGTCTTCACTTAAACTAAGTTATCATGAGACTAACATATGGTCAACTTTTAATTCAATAATTAGCTTGTGCGCAGTGTTCCTTAGCAGTGGGAGATAACCTACAAAGTAAGGCAGAGATTATGTTTAAAAAGTTTAAAGATATGTTCCTTTAGGCATAATTACATTATCTGCTGCCTATTCATGGCAATGCTCACTAATTCATCATCTTGCAAGTGAGAGCAATGGTAGCTCAATTGGCTCACTAACCAGGTCCTAGGATTGATCCTGTGTTGGTCAAAAGATTTCCTCTGGATTTTCCAGCATGTTTTCCCCTTGTCAGTGGTGCAGTAAAAGTGGGTCTTGGACAATAAAATAAGCTCCCATGTACACATTGGCCTGCATGTAAAAGAACCCTTTGCAATTTGACAAGAGCAGACGGAACCACTGTTGTCTTAATTTTCCCATTTGGTTCAGAAAAGTAGGATGTTAATTATTGTCTTGCAGCTGTTCTATATTGAGCAACTCTGACAGATCTTGAAGATTATAATGTTTCTTCTATCTAATATATATTTCCTGATAGTCTGAGTATATTTTCCAATGGTTATGCATTTAGGATCGTAAATTGTTGCAGAAATATAGCTTAGAGCTGGGTTTATACTTTTTAAACTATCTGCTGCCACAAGACAACGGCGAAAGCAACGTCGAAGATGGTGTCAAATCTACCGATGGCATCAACCCAAAATAGGGACCATGCACAGATTTTTGTCAAAAATGTATACTTTTATGAAAGCTTCTAGTGGAATTTTATGATAATTATATTTTTCAATCAAATATCATAAAATTTTCATCAAATTTTATGATATTTTTATAATGTTTTTATCACATTTCGTGACTTTTTATCATTATCAAATATTATGTTTTTGTTTATATAACTGCACTGACAGTAAATAACTTATCTCCAGTCCACGGAGTAGTGTTCAGCCAGTGTTATGTGGATAAGAATGTCCCACTGCAGTAGCACCGATCAAATTTCGCAAATTGTCAGGTGAAACTTCCTAAAGGTCTGTCATATTGTTTGAGGGAACATTTATCGGCAGATTTTTGCCATGGTAGACTACTTTTCGTCAATTTCTAACTTTACTTGTTATTGAAGCTCTATATTCTATTACTTGCATGTCACAACCCACAATCGGAAAATGCACATAAAAATCTATTAAGTCTAGTATTACTTTTTTATCTGAAAAATATCAGTCTAGTCAATCAACCACGTGGGCTTACTTCTATTAACATAGTCTCGGAATTCCATTCCCAGACATAAAGGTAATGTTGGCGAGTGAGAACAGCTCTATAATTTGAAATCTAACAAACAATGGATACAAGGATATTTATGGCGTAGTAATTTCTGCACATTTTCACGTGTACAGGTAACATAAATTACGAGGTTAAAATAAAATGGGAGATTTGTCAAGATTTGTATCGTTTTCAACATTTATTAACTGATAATCTAAATAATACTTTATTAATTTATAATACAACAAACAAATAAGTTCCTAATTAAAGAAGCTCGTATTTTCCACCCTTTATAGAAAAGGTGGGAAATTGTCGCATGATTAAGCCAACATTGTCAAAGACGGGAAGCTATATCGGATGATATACAGTGTAGGTGCCGATAAAATTAGGTATTTATATTGTAATGAACAGTTAATATACATGTATCATAGCTTCGATCATACTTTATTTATTAATCATACAACAAATAGTTCTCAATGGAAGGTGTGTATTTTAAATCGGTAGGAAGTGTTACCCAATTAATCATTCATTAAATGAAAGAGAGCAGCAAGATGGGGGTCATAACATGCCTGGATAAGTTCCTGATTTACATCTAAATTTATTAGTATAGAAATTTATTATTGGGAGTAAAGATTTATGGTTAATTTTATATTTTGAAAAACTTTTGTCTCATTTTATTATAATTTTATGAGAAATAGTGAAATGTTATATTTTTTTATGATATTTTTCCATTTTATGATAATTTATAGAGAAATGACAAAAATTTTATGAAAATGTAAAGGTTTTTATGTTGTACAGTCCCTGCAAAAAGTATGAACACAAACAGACATCAGTGAGTTCTTGACCTTGAAGAAACACGGCAGATTTTAGCAATGAAAAGGCCCTTTAAACTTCTGCAACTTCAGACATTGGCCCCAAAATTGTCATACCTGACAGCTGACACGTATGTCTTATAGTAATCTGCCTTAAACACTTATCTGTGAATATGAGTGCCCAAAAACAGAAATTTGTACAGTGAAATTAGTGTAAAACAGGCATTTAAAAATTGCCCCACCCCCATGCGCCAGTGATTAAGATAGTTTGGGCTTTTTATTACAGGGTCTAGAATTAGATAAATATTAATGTGAATAATACATGTATATCTCGTTTTACTAACTGTTGTTTCCAATTCCTGCTAATGACATGCCAAACGTCTTTTTTCATTTGGTCCTTAAAATCAGACAACTGTTCTGATTGGCTGGAAATACATGGGAAGGTCAGCGTTGTCGACGTTGGCCTTGAAGTTCAACAAAATTGAACTTTACAAATTTTATAAAGTTGAACGTTGACGTCAGTTTTTTGCAACATAAGTATAAGTAGTTATGCCGTTCAACATTGTTTTAACGCCGGCTGAAAACGTAGGACGTCGTCCAACAGCTTTTGAAAAAGCATCGAAAGTATAAACCTGGCTTAAGGTGTTCTTTTTTAGGTCAAATTATATATTTTTTCAATTTCTCATATTTGAAAACTGTATATCAATTCTAACCATTATAGAAAACTGTATATCAATTCTAACCATTATAATGTTATATTGTAAGATTATAATCTTATAGTTAAAATAGGGGCTTATGAACCTTAATAAAGATTATAAAGAATTTAATGTCTTTTTGTACTATGGGTAATTATAAACCAGTTATATGTATGTAAATGAGACTTATCTGTAAGATTTTATTGGCTATGATCAGTGACATGTATTAAATATAAGAGTATGTACGACATTTAAAAAAAACAACACTGACAGAATACTTACCAATGCACTTTCTTTTACATCCAAATTTTGTAAAACTGCATCTCCTATAAAAGTAAATATTGGAATTTAGACATAAAGTTTCTATGGAACTTCAAGGAAAACCTTGAAAACAATGTTTTTCATTAGCCTAATTAATTAGTTATTTCATAGGTGGACCCAGGGACAAGAAACAACAACATTTCAATGTGGATGTATAAAAACATCCACCAACACCAATGCAAAAATGAGGTTGGGGGTTACCTCAACAAAATGTAAGTTTTTATCAATGAATAGTTAATCATGAGCTTATAATACTATTATAAGGTCCATGACAGGATTCAGTGTCACAGTTTGGTTGATTCTGTTTGTGTTTGGGCATCGGTTATGTACATGTATCTTCTTGGTTCCTGTTTTTATACGCCCACATTGAAATGTGGTCGTATATTGTCGTCGCCCCCGTCTGTCCGTCCGGTGTCCACAAAGGCCATGAGACGAAGAAGCCTATTGATATTCGGCGATTTCCGATAATTACTGCCAGAGTTATGGCCCTTGATCACTTCAAAACATCTTGTGGACGCTGTAGAGGCTAAAGTCAATATTGGATTGACTTTAAATTTATACACAGTGTTTAAGGTCATGAGACGAAGAAGCCTATTGATTTTCAGCGATTTCCGATAATTACTGCCAGAGTTATAGCCCTTGATCACCTAAAAAAATCTTGTGGATGCTCTAGCTAGAGGCTAAAGTTAATATCTGATTGACTTTAAACTTATAAACAGTGTTTGAGGTCATGAGACGAAGAATCCCATTGATTTTCAAAGATTTCCGATAATTACTGCCAAAGTTATGGTCCTTGATTACTTTGAAAAATCTTGTGACGCTCTGGAGGCTAAAGTTATCATCCGATTGACTTCAGATTGATACACAGAGTTTAAGATCTTGATATGAACCTATGTTTCGTTGCCTGGCACCCTATCTTTTCATATGGAATGGGACCTATTTAATAACAGCTGAGGTTTATCATGGGGTGTCACTTTTTTCTCTTCACTGTCTGTATGGAGCAATATGCTAGAGAGCTTTGCACTACAACTGTCACAACTAGTAGTAGAGTAGCTATGATGTCTTTAAATATATGGAGGCAACAATGCCCAATGAATTTTAGAAGGTAAGCAACTACATTGTACATGTATATGTAAATGTAAGTGTACAGATGGACGTAATTATGTAGTTGTATAAGAATTAGAATTGATAATATGGCTTAAAGTGTCACAAAAACCTCTGAATGTCATGTGCACATTATGTCAAAAGATTTCATCAAATCCATTTATCATCAGGCCTACCAGTCAAACTGCACTATAACCTTTTTCAAAGGAAGTTTATTAGCGCAGTGTTATCATATTTTCCTGTTCTGTGTGACATATATTAAAGTCTACCATATTGCTAACAGATGGTCAATTACATTGATATACATGTACTGTACATTATTTGTTTTGGCTTAAATGTGGGAGTTAAAATCTAATCTATATCACCATCTACCCTGAACTTTAACCTCTGTAAACCAATAGTTTTAACCATCAAGAATTTGTGACTATGTGTATTTTCATTTCTACTCCCTTTCAATGTTATTTGGTTACTAAACTGTTGCATAATAATAAAGTTATTGAAAAAACGCACAAGTTCACAAGAGTTATTTTTACTCTGTAACCATAGGGAGCTTCATATTTTCTTAAAATATTCATCATTATGCATCATTATGTAACCATAGCATAAACTAGGTCCACAGTACATCATTATACCCTAGACCTCCATCCTCTGTTTCCCCAGTGTACCCATTCCGTTCTACTCCACTATACCCTGGGTTAATCCATAGGGTTTCAACAAATTCAAATTATCTTCCCTGGCCATGATTATAGCTCAAGTCTACGAACCAATCAAAAAACAGTTTACAAACCAGCCGTTTCTGTACAGGTAGATAACCATATTCATGTCCATTTACTTAATGATTTATGTAAATACAGTAAACTTCGCATAAGTCGGATCTGTATAAGTCAGATCTTTGCTCAATGCTCAACTCGGATAAAAACATTTGATTAAACCCTTTGATCCTGCACCTTTTTCTTATTAAATTTCTTCGATTAAGTCGGATTCCGAAGTCGGATCTTTGCTCAACTCGGATCAAAATGTTCGGTCCATTTGATCTAATTCCGGCTTTTTTCCTTCGCCCAAGTCAGACTGGCAGTATGTTCAGAATATGACTAAATTTCGTCCCGATGGTCTAAAACGTGGTTAGGTATTCCATGCACAGAGCCCCAAAATACTTTCCCCTATCATTTTGACTCAAATCAGCCTATTTGATGCGACGCAATAATAGAATTTTCCCAGAAAATTCGGAACTCCCTGTCTGCTGTACAAGACACTTTTCGAGACAATTTAGGATTTATACAAAGTTTACTGATGTCTATCCCCAGGTTTTGGGGGACAAGGAATACATTAAGAGAACTTTGGATATCACTGAGCTGTTGAATCATTCTAAAATTGAATTGATGACCTTCACTCCTTCAGCTGTACACTATCATAGAATAAGCCATGTGAAGAGCGCCCTCACTTTTTATCACTTTCAAGAGTCTGGAATACAATCGCAGCTTGTTTGGGAATAAGAGATTTTGGCGGCAATTTTGAAAAAGCGCCCTCGAGGAAAAAGATTCAGGATATGGCCTGTTTACCTCACATATTCTTGTTCAGAATAAAAATCTGGTCTAGAAGAACCACATCATCATGGGAATTTCTACCTCTCCAGGTGGCACCTCGCTCAATTATAACCCGGACTATACTTGGCAATTTGATTCTCAATAAAACTCCTATCTACATATATATATCCACGCCTGTCCGATCTTCATTACTTTATTATAGAATAATTAGGGTTTCACACTGCGTTAAGATTATTATTCTTCTTCTTTTTATTATTTTTTTTTCCCCACTTGAGCATATGTCAGAAACTACTTGTCGGATCAAATCAATGTCTTCGGTTTTACTTGGAAAGTGGGTGTGACTTAGAGATTAAAGCTATTTCAAACTTTCTGCGACAATGCGAAATGTCCGAAATCACTGAAGTTGTTGTTTTTTGAAATATTGCCGTAATATTAACAATAATTATCGGATTTTAACATTTGATACATTTTGCCATGGCCTGAAGCAAGGCAAATAGCTACGATTCTTTAGATTTTAAATTTCCGATTAATCTTTAAAGATATTAGGCGCCAAATTTTAAAAATTTAAATTTTGACAAATAACTTTTTTATTTCTAAATACTTTTTTTTTTATGAAATTTTACCCAGGATTAAAGGGTCATGTGATTTGAGCAAAAATGTGAACAATTTTTGTCTAGATAAATTTCCTTGGCCGCTATTGGCTAATTCAGTTTATGGGTTCTATGTTAATTATTTATTGCTTGATTTGTATAAAACAAAATTCATATGCTCAGTGGTGCAATTTCTCAACTTTTTTATTACCGCCAAAGTTTTCTGTCGGCACCGTAAATGACGTAAAATTGCTAAAAACTACTATTTTGGCGATGAGAAACATCTTTTTGCAAGCAAATATTAATTATTACAAATCTTATAGATCAAGATGAATGCACCTACTACCACAGGAGTCTGTCCTTCTATCCGTATATATATGCATACACCATGTCCAACTAGACAATATATATAAAAAAAGAACAGGAATGCAATGCCTGTTGAAGAATCGATTTTACCTGCTCTCGCTTCGGCTTGTTTTTTTTTTAACAATTCGTAATGTCAGGCAATCAAACCTCTGTCGATTCACTCAGATATGTTTTTTCTTCAATCTAGTCGTTTTGATTTGCATAAATACTCCCACAAAATGATATCATAGCCACTTGTTTCCAATATTTACATTACTTTCGTCCATTTCCATTTTGTTAACCGTGCTTCTAGATATCATTTAAGGAATTAATTATTTACTTCCTGATTTGTGTAAAAGAAAAGCCCATATTATGCTCTGTGGTGCAAATTCTCAACTTTCTTCTACTGATAAAAGTTTCTGTCGGCACCAGAAGAGACGTAATTATGACCAAAACTTCAATTTTGACGTGTCTAAGTAGTCAGGTCAAAATACAGTTTAACCCCAAAAAAATTGCTGCAAAAGGTTTCTCAACTGATTCTGGCAGGGTTTAGTGTACTGTATAACATACTAAAAGTTTACCAAAGTAGGACCCCCGGAAAAGTGTTTTTTTCAAGATGGCGTCAAAGATGGCCACCGAAACGTCTTAATGATCATAACTATTAGTAAGTGCAGGAGGACTGACTACACGTAAAACGAAAATCTACAAGATAAACCTTCGGACAAGACAGAAAATAGACATTGCCCCAAATAAACAAATATCAAATCAAGTGAATGTTGGTGTCTATTCCTAGGTTTTGGGGGGCAAAGAACACATAAAGATCATTAAAATGGCTCCAATTTTAAGTAGATGACAAAGATTGGGCCATTTAATGATTTAATTTAAAGATAGGTTGCCAGGCAACGAAACATATGCCCACAGCAGCTAAATTGTCCGGGCAGTCAACAAGAGTTGTCGCATATTTTTACTTTTTTTTGGTAATGAAACATTTATAATACACTAAAATCTGATTAAGAGTAACAACTCATTAAGTAATTATCAGAAAATCATTAGAATTTGTTTGGTTTTTGTAAAGTTCTGTCCCATGCTTATGTTTAGTATACGAAACATTTAATATGGATTTAGCTGTTCAAGTTATCAATATTCATTGAAAATCAGTATACTTGTTCGTCTCAAGACCTTAAACTCTGTGTATCAATCTGAAGTCAATCAGAAGAAAACTTTAGCCTCTAGAGCATCACAAGATTTGGCAGTAATTATCGAAAATCGTTGAAAATCAATAGGCTTCTTCGTCTCATGACCTTAAACACTGTGTATACATTTAACGTCAATTGGATATTAACTTTGGCCTCTAGAGTGTCCACAAGATTTTTTTTAAGTGATCAAGGGCCATAACTCTGGCAGTAATTATCGGAAATCGCT